ACTTCCACCAACGGTATCGGGGTGAGTATCCGGGTTGTACGACTCAATGGTGTCCCAGATACGCTGCTCTGTTTCGGCGGGGAGGGCAATGGTCTGCGGGACAGGGGTGTCCTTGGGCCTGGTGGTTTGGGCCAATACTCCGGCCACAGGAGTTTCTTCTCGGGCGAAGACCCAACCGGTGTGGGGGTACCACGCCACAGGGATCCCCTGCCACTCTCTTCTGCCACCTGGTGCAATTCTTCCATCATAGGGGTCTGTGGCAGCTGGACTGGTGGTAGTTGCGGTGGAGGCCCCAAGGCCAAGTTCTCCGCTATCCTCTGTAAGGTCGTCTCCTGTGGAAGTACTCTCTGGTGTCAGCCTCTGCGGCGAGGTACTCGCTTCTGGAATAGGGATCATTCCCTTCCTCCTGACGTGACACCAGTCGAGGAGGTCTTGGATGCAGGATCCTTTCGAAATCGCTGAGCTGGTCGCCTTCTTCGCCCTCGTCCACAGCCCTTCCTTCTTCTCCTCCAACGGGAGGGAGGTCGATGATTCCTGGAATTGGAATGTTGCTGTCTCTGAGATCGATTCCTCATACATCTGTGATGTCGACTGAGGAAGCTCTGGGTGTGGGGGAAGACTCCCCGGAATCTGAGGCTGATCCTCTGGGCAGTGATGGGTTGTCCATTGTGTAAGGTTGGGATGTGTGGGTAAGGGTTTACTGGATAGGGAATTGGAAGATGTAGAATGTAATGAAAGGGTAATCAGTGCCCTTCGACAGTTGGATGCAACACCTATATAATTGCCTTAGAGCAATCACCAGGAGCGCTCCTGCTAGTAATCCAAAAGCTACTGCAACGGTAGGGAGCAGTTCAGCGAGTGGGATACGAACAGTCGAATGGCTAGGATCGTGAGTGTGATGAGAACTGGTGATGATGATGTTAATGTCGGTTTCGTAGTCAGGTGTCAGACGTCAAGATTAGACGTTCAAGATTGAACGTTCATGAAAGGTGTGAGGTCAGATGGAATGCACTCGTCAGGATTAACAGTATTACTACTGCTAGTGCAACGAGTTGGATTATGAGAGTGAAGAATTTCAGCTTTGCCATTGGTTCACCCTGAAGTACACTGACAGTCACGAAACTGTCCTCATGAATGTACAGTGGTAACCTCTCTGGTCAAGCGGATAAGGTGTTTTGCTGATTGAAAAAGCGTTGGATAGCGTTCGTTCTCAGACGTGGCACTAGGCAACGTGTGACAAGCTTCGGCTAAATGTTAGCCACCAACTCTACACACTAGATCAAGCAAGGATCGCCACTCGCACTTCGGTGGATCGATACACTCGCAGGCCTAAGTATGTATGGGATGAGCGGATGGAGAACTTAGATAGACACGAAACGCTGGAGTTTGAGTTGGGTAGATTAAACCTTAGCCTGAAGCTGGGGTTTAGCCCAGCTGAGGCCTTCCTTAAATATACAATGACTAGACTAAAAATAGTACTGTGGGAACAGGTCCGAAGATCGCGGGTTTGAGCATAAGCGAAAAGCATAAGCAAAAGAAAAGAAAAAGAAAAAGAATAAACCATAACATTTAAGTATATGCATCATTTGTTGAAATACATGATTTAGTGTTCCTAATGCTAACCATGTAGCAACCAGCATTCTCTCAGTGCTAGGTGCACAGCCCTACGGTTCCCAGCAACGCATTAGGTTTAGGGAAAGAATAAAAAGGATACAGGAGGGAAGGTCTTGAAAGAAGATGATCGGCAGTGCTCTCCGTCCAACACCGTGCTCATTCTTTCCTCAAATGCCTTTTTCCCAGCTATTATGAACTGGACACATCACTGCGGCTCTCGATTCCTCCAGAACTGGCGCTGGTGCTTCATCAAGCGACGAGGTCTGCGTGTGGTAGGGTGCGAGAGAACTAGGAGAAAGCATCTTTTGAGGTACGTGTCTACTGTGGTTATTTTTGGCGGCAGGGACTGATTCCATTGCACACAGGAGGCTGTCGGCTATCCATGAAGACGTCATGGAGGGAAGTGTTGGGCAGAGGTACGTCCTTTTCCGTAGAGCATGGCTGACACCAATAAGACAGGTTGTTATGCATGATCTATGGCATCTAACCTTTTCTTCTGTCTTTGCGTCGCATTCCAGCCAAGATGCGTTAAACTACGCCGTGACTGCGCATGCGACAGGAATCAAAACGATGAGCTGACGGTGAGCATGCATAAATTGGAGGAAATATACTTATGAAGTAGTGGTACGTGCTTGCAGCCGGTTGTTCTCATCAGCAGTACTGACGATGCTCGCCTTTTAGCTGGATTTCGGGCGTTAACTGATTCTTAACGAGACGTTCGTTTGCCGGGCTAATGGATAACGAAATGGATGTACACACATGCGGGGAATGCGCAAAGAGAGAAGGGACATGCGTACACGAGAGTACGTGGCATGCCTGCAATGCGCGCGGGAAGGAGAGCGTATGGGGAGTGTGGTGTGATCGCAGGAGGGAGCGTGCACGAGGGAGGAAGCGACGACATCCGGACTGCCGGGATTACGCTTTCCTTGCATCATGATCCAATCGGTAAGTCTCGTCACGAGTTTTATTGATTCTCGCTAACTCTTTTACTACAGAACCAAGCATATGTGCTTGTCTGGGTCATGTTACAGTGCTGGTGTGTGTGGGAGAGGAATGTGTAGAGGTGGGAAGCGTTGATCGAGCATTGTGATGTCGTGGTCGCTCATTAACATTCTCCAAAGTGGGCTGGAATCGCAACTCAGGGAGGTGTGTGGTTGTGCAATGCGTTGTGTCGAGAGCATAGATCGTGCTTACAGTGTATGGTGCGTTACTTTTTTTTTCTTTCAACACACCTTTTTTCATTGAGATTGTTTAGGATTAGTCACTTCTGAGCATGAGGAATAGTCGAATCTGAAAGGTGTGAAAGGCCTAGTCGATGCTGTTGACATCGCCCTTGTCAAGCGTTGCGGCTGAGGAAATAACCGCCCTGGAGGAAGTCCTGGGTGAGGGGTTTTGCTTATGGTATGTTCTTTTCTCTCTTGGCTCTTCCTGCGCTGACGTCCCTTCATTATTCTAGCATGTCGCCGTCTGTCTAAAGGTACGTCCAGGGTAAGGGTCACTTACAACGCTCTGGTTCGTGCCTTTTTGGGGACATATCGGACCTTCAAGCTTCAGCAGTCCATTGAAACAACTTCAGTGAGGGATGCTCGGCCACGGTACGAACGGGAAATGGCCCCTCCCGTTCGAACACCAGCACATATCTTCGGAACGGGGAGACTGTACTTTGATTGCTGGTACGTGCTTTTCCCCCTGGAAGCGCGAGAATTTCTTCAACTCTTTATTCTTTCGGTTCATAACTCTCTAGTCTATTGTTTTTTGTACGCTAGTGGTTTCAATGTCAAACCCTCCTTTGCGATTCGGTATGACCCTCTTGAAGTTGGGAGGCATGGCATGCATGCGTTAGGGAGTTTGTGGTGTGACCGCGAGAGGGAGTGTGCATGACAGAGGGACTTGAGACGTAGCGCGTGAGAGGGAGGAGACGTCTGCGAGAAATTAAATAGAGACTGTGCAGGAGGTACGGAAGAAGACTTGGGTGCGAGGATGGAATGTATAATTATTGCTCGCAATGGCAAGGGCGCATTGAGAAGACGCTCGACCTTGTGTTGTTTATGTTGGCACCAGCGGTCGTCGCTAGTCTCTCCACGCCTATTGCTGTTGAGGCCGGGAGGGAGCGGATGGTATCAGGATTGTTTCCCACGTTTCTTCGACTCTTACTATCATCACCCTCGATGACCTCACATGGACAGCCCGGAGAGCGCGACGAAAAGTATCGAAAAGGAACCGCAGCACACAAGGCCAAGCATGACCGACTGATGAGGACACGCTCAATCGCTTCACGAACAGAACTGGACGGTCCTTGGATGTAGCGACTTGCAGGAGGCGTTGTTCATAGCAGCCAAGAACAGAGATGCGCTTACTCGGATTGAAGGGATTCTGTCGTGCGATTGACGAAATGGTTCATCTGCAGGCTTAGGTGGATGATGCTGCAGGGGAGAAAGACCGATTCTGAGGGAAGAAAAGGTACGTTTTATTTTATGCTAGCTGCCTGCGCCGATGACTTATAGCTTCTGATAGGGATCCTCATCGCCCTAGTAGTGGATAGCAACGCGCAGCTGCAATGTACGAACGAAATGGCGCCACTTCTGTTCAATACATACTCGTGCGAGGGAAAGGAGGCGGAGAAGGACAAAGATTACGCGATTGGCTGACAGTGACAGTACAAAGATGTTGGAGCAGATTGGGCTGTGGACGATGGTAGGCACGATTGCAACGTATGCGCTTGTGCTGATACACTACAACAGCCTCCGCAAGACGCCGAATCCCTCCAAGCGACCCGTAACTCCAAGCTCGGCAACCGTTTCGAGTTGGCCGTAGCCTAATCCCATTGGTACGCGAGCCCCAGACCTGCGATCCGACACCCTTTCCACATACAAAGCTTGAAGCTTCCAGGCCAGGCGAGCTCGGCAGTACAACTAGCGAGCATTTCGATATTGTGGTCGCTCGACAGCCATTCTTCAAAGTGGGCTGGGATTGCAACTCGGCGAGGAGGTGCTTGCGTGCCGTATGGTTCGAGGCACGCTGTCAAGTTTGTGCATCAACGTGTTTCGCTAATCACACTGCGGGCAGGATTGTCGAGAGTATATGGTGCGTAAAGTCCTCCATCCTTTTTTGATCTCATGTACTGAAGCTCGGTTCTTCGGTACTGCTTTGCGTCCTTTTGCAGCCGTTTCTTTGTATAGAATGGTAGCGCGTCGCAGATCCCTTGTGCTGACGTGTTGAGCTAATCTTCATCTATGAACTTCGATCTTCAAGATGTGGAAGGCCCGATTCAGCGTCGTCCCCCACCCCCTTGCAACCGAGTAAATAGCCGCCTTGAGGTGTGGCGTCGAGTCGACTCGGAGGTTTGCATATGGTATGTCCTTTTCTCCCCTGGTTTCTCTCGGGCTGACGTCTCTACTCCAGCGTGTTGTCAAACTATGTCTGCGGTTACCCACAGCAAGTCACCTAGGTTTTGCACGAGTCTTTGAGGCTGTCGGTCCCTCAACGGGTTGGATCGGAGCTCCACCATCGCAGTCAAGTCATCTCCTTCCGTACCTCCTGCATCTGTAGCGTATGAGCCGGTTATCAAAGCCGTTCTTCGTCAACGGCTTCTTTGGAGGACTTTCTTGGGCTCTATCGCATTTTGTTGGGTCCAGACAGTGGCATGGACAATATGGTGTCTTGGTGGTATTGAGGAACTGGGAATTGGCGGGGTGGCAATGGTTCCAGTGACGCCGTCGACGTCAATGAAGGCATACGTGTGTTGGGTAGCGGTAGCCTTACCTATCGTGGTGCTAAGAAAAAGGCATCTTACAGGTCTGTCGACGCGCTCTCACCGAATTTATCTGTTGATTCAGATTTCCTTAGGTTATCACTCGACTTCAAAGACTCCTTCAAAAACATTGCAGAATGCTCGGAGCACTAGAAGCGCATTCTTGGTTTATCTTACCTCTGCAACCATTGCGACACTTCTCCATGTATCAATGGCTCGAATCACGCCTGTTGCTGTGCAGGAGGCATTTGGAGCATGGGTGAATTGGTGGACGAGGGAGCGGATAAGTAAGGTCGTGGAGGGATCCTTATCCAGGCGCGAACTTGATCTTGTCGTCGAAGGTACGATGGCATTCCTTCTCGGAGTATTCTGGGTGCTGATTTGTCTTTTGATTTTATTAGTTTTATCACGTTTAACGTGTTCGTCCCTGACAGAAGATCGATACGGGGTCGTCCAACGCGATATTCCCAAAATCCTTGAGGCGATGCTCTCTTTCTTGTCAGCGATAGAAGATTACCAGATTGAACTGAATGCTCTGCGACCTCCGCCACCAGAAGAGGAGGAAGGCCTATCGGATAAAGAAAGAATACAACGCGAGGTTCTTCGGATAGAGTTGGCTAAAGCTAGCGAGGTCCTAGGATACCTCGGTGATGGTGAGTGTACTGAGTTTACGCTGGTTGTGTGGACTAACGGGGATTGGATGTAGGATTTAAGAATGGCATCGCGCGTGTTGTACAGATGTTTGGGGGTAAATTGAATGCATCCAAGTTCCCACCGCGCATTGCGAACAAGCTGCAAGGGTTTGTAGATTATAATCAGTAATCATGATCGACTTTTTTGCTTCTGTCAGCAGGCAGTTCTGGTTCATCGCCAGTCAGCAGTTCGTCTCAAACACCTACCCGAGTCTAGGAACAAACTACGGTACATCAAGAGGACACAGGGCATCACTGACTCACTTTCGTGCGAAGATCATCAAAAGCGCTAACAGACGGTATAGCTTCCGTTTACTACAAGCGACTGGTGTAGAACTAAATGTTTTGCTTCAAGCTCACCGTACTTTATACAAGACCTTTGCTCAAGCATCGTGGCATATTCCATAGAGTTTGGCGCTTATTACTGATGATGTAATAAGTGCAGGGATGCATGATAAGGTCGAGAGTGGGCAGCATCCAGCCTGTAAATAGTTCGGAAACTTGATGGAACGGTGGCTCGTCTCGTTCCCCGTAAGTCTGTCGGGAGCGGGGAGGAGCGGGAATGCTGGTCTGGGCTCGGCACATCCGAGGTCCCCCTTGGATTGATAATCTGTTCCTTGGGTATTTTTGTGATTATCGGTGGTTATCGGTTTATTAGGTGGCTCTTGCGACGTACATTCATTTAGACGCCGGTCTTGGTTTGTTCCTGACTGACGAACAGTGTTCCTGTTGATCGAACAGGCCTTACACCAATCTAGCTTGCTTTTCAGGGCCATGGCACCTAACACCTACTTGCTGCACATCCACAGGTAGCAACTTTGCAATGCCGACGGCATTCCCAAGTAGTAAGGCTAGTGTACGTTGTTTTCTCGGTCTGTGGTTTGTTGCTCATTTCGTGGCACACGCTATCAGCTTTCCGAACCTTGCGCGTCGTGGTATCAATTATAGAAGGTTAAACGAAGCACACTGGTGGTCGGGAATTCTTCACCGCTGTACGTTCGCTTTTTTAATGACTTTACTTGGTATCAGAAATAGGCGCGACTAGGTCCATCGATCATCGATCATTGCCGGAACGGCAGAGTGGGCGTGGATCACTCGATGGACTCTTATACGATTACTCGTGGTGCCGCAAAAATTCGCGTCTCCACAGCATAATGACCACCGGTGCATCAATTGAGATCGCGATTTGGTTTTGTTATGCTCCGAGGAACCAACTGCCAATCCAAAATGCGAGGTGTTGCGTAGAGATGGATGACAACTGGAACGCAACTTATTTCTCAAGTGCACAGTGGCGATATTTTGTAAGAGTGATTTTTTGAAACAGCAGTCCCAGTGATGCTGAGAAATGAATGCATAGGTGACAGAAAATGCGACCCACTCTAACGAATGGCGTGCTCTTGCCTCAAACCGAACCCCAAGGAATGTACCTCAAGCGCAATCCAAGTTTAGACACCCATGCAAGCTTTCGCCAGCAGCGTGTTGGAACGGCGTACCGACGCCGCTTTGACAACATGGAAATCAAAAACCGGTTAAACACACAACACCAATACAGCCTCATCATCGGCTTTACATAACTTCCAAAATGCCAGTGTCACGATCTCTCGCGGTTGTGTGAAGGAAAGCAATAGTCCTGCATAACTTGACTCATCACATGTTTCATATTTTGCTTTAAAAGACGCTGGACGTATTCATTATGGTTCATTGACCGTCGTTCTTTGCTGGTTATCCAAGATGAAGACTTCTGGCGCGATCTTCACCTCTCTCCTAGTCCTTTCCCTAGCCTTCAATGCTGCTGGACATCCCAATAATCCAGGCCGGCTACATCGCCGACAAGTCATGCGAACGACATCTATACTGAATGGTAGGTGAACACTATGTTCGTCTATGATTCAGCTAAAGCTTCGAATAGACCCTGCACCCCAACCAAATCTGCCAACTGCCCAAGAAGCTCAATCAGCAGCAGCATCCGTTGGTTTAAACTTAACTGATGTCCAGGCAGATATCTTGTTAGTGAATTCAAGTTCTCGTCATTATTCCTGGAACTGAAGCGATACGATGCAGGGTGGGAATGAAGAAGAAGAAAGAGCTCTTTTTCTTTTCGGTATTCAAAACGCGACTGACTTTAAGAACAAGCTGGCGACGGATATCCATCCTCTCATTACTTCTACCACCCAAATATTGGACATCACAACCCAGCCTTGAACAGCAGTCAATCTTGCACTTTCCCAGTCAGGACTTTCTGCACTAGGTATCACCGACGATTTAGGCGACCAGTTCTATTCTCAGGGACAGGAAGCTGATTCTGCTGCCATCGGCGATCCCGGAACTGAGAATTGGGTTCAATCGTTTGCGGGAACCTCTGTTCATGGCGTTTTCCTCCTTGCATCGGATACCCTTGATAATGTCAATGATACCCTGTCAGACCTCCTGTCGACTTTGGGAGATTCCATCGCTGAGCTACATCGCGTTCAAGGTGAAGCTCGCCCTGGACCAGAGGAAGGCCACGAACGTAAGTCTTCGCCATCTTTCGATCCATCTTGATAATGATAATGCATATGCAGATTTCGGATTCATGGACGGGATCAGCCAACCCGCAGTCATAGGTTTTACACAATCACCTCTACCAGGCCAGCTAGCTGTCGATGCGGGGGAAATTTTACTGGCCGAGGACGGTGATAGTACTACTCGTCCGCCCTGGGCTAAGGACGGTTCGTTCCTGGTCTTCCGTCAGATGGAGCAGCTGGTTCCAGAGTTCAACAAGTTCTTGTTGGACAACCCGATTTCTGAGCCCGGTGTTCTCACTCCTGAAGAGGGATCTGCCTTATTAGGCGCACGCATGATGGGACGATGGAAGAGTGTATGTTATCATCTGAAAAAGAAGGTCTACTGCTAACTTATTATTGCAGGGTGCTCCCGTCTACCTTGCACCCTTGTTCGACGATCCTACGTTGGCGTCGGATCCCATGCAGAACAACAACTTCACCTACCACGATGATGATGCAAGCTTTAACAACCAGACGCGCTGCCCGTTTGCCGCTCATACTAGGAAGACACGCCCTCGCGGAGATTTCACTCCGGAGGAAACAGCGCATCACATCATTCGCGCTAGTATTCCGTACGGACCCGAAGGTTAGATCCTTTTGTAGGCGAAACCAGGCGGCTTATAAAATGTTCACAGTAACTGATAATGAAGCAACGTCAAATACCACCAGCGCTTCTTTGGAACGTGGTCTTGCCTTTGGTTAGTTAAAACGTAGTAATTCGAACGAGCGTCGACTGATTGAGGCTACTATAGTCGCATATCAATCTAACATCGGTAACGGCTTCCGATTTTTCCAACAGGTCTGGGTCAACAACGCAAGGTAGGCATTTCGATTTTTTCCAGTCCTATGTCTTGGTCTGAGTACTTAATCCCTCTGTAGCTTCCGCGTCTCTGGTACCGGTGTGGATCCTATTATTGGTTCTGCAGGAACCGACCCTTCATCAAGAAGTCATCCGATTACTGGTCTAGATCCAACAGACCCTAGCCGTGCTATCACGTTGCAGAATGGTGTGTGTCCATTTGAAATTTGAGCTGGAAGGTTTGGACTAATATGATCTTTAATCAGACTTCGTTGTCTCGCGGGGAGGAGAGTACTTCTTCTCGCCCTCCATCTCTGCTATATTGAATACCATTGCCGCCTAATGTAGTTGTAGATAGAGATGTTGAATTAAGATTTATTGCGAGCGCAGCGAGTAGAATTGGCCGGCATGTGAGGAACCCGTCCGGTGCGGTATGCCAAAGAAGTGCAGATGTTACGGTCCTCGATAGCGTCGTTTCCGTTCTTTCGTCGAGTCGCATCTCTTTCATTTCTTATCCTGCCCCTCTGTAATGCGAGATTATTGCTTTTACACGTATAAAGAATGACTGTGCTGCTTTTCAACGGGTGAAAATGAGTATGTCGTCGTATTTCTGTTTACCCGCTGAGGTGCCTTGTGCCTTACTGGTCGTCTCTTCCAGGGTTCCACAGTCCGTATCCTGTTGTTTTCTGGGCATCATGCTTCCCGTTCTGAGCACTGTCTTTGGCACATTCTTGCCACATTTGCCAGACGCATCTTTGAGATTCAAGACCTAGAATGTGAATGATTTTGCTGCGCTCGCAAAAGGTGAGTACTCCCACGGTCCATATTATAGTAACCAAATGATCAAGCTCACAGTTTCATAGACAGTTAGTCACTCTGACCTCTTCCGCATTCTTTGAAGACTTGAATAACAAAGAGAAAGTAATTTCCTGGGCCTTCTGGAAGCTCTAACCGGTAGCAATTGGTACATCGACGTGGAAGGGTTGGTTTTGGAGTACTGTCTGAATTTCAGACAAGGTTTTACGAGGACGCCTACCAGAACATGGGACAAATATGGTACTATTTCAAGGACTGCATTCTGCATGGTGGATTCCTGAATGCTTCGTATTGGTCTCCACACTGTCAGTTTCATTTTCAACTAACAAGTAGACCCATCGAGGCGTACTCAATCCCACACGGCGAAGAGGGAGAAGTTGTCAGGGAGCCGCTCGACTTGGTTACCTTGCTACGGTTTTTAGTTCCTACGCGAATTTTTCTTTGATGTCAAACCCTTTGCATCGATGGCAAAAAGTTTCCTTGATTGTCCTCTCTTTTGATTATTTTGCGTATCGTTCCACGCTGAATAATGGTTCGCCTGTTTGGCGTTAGATGCTGCAGATACAGATGACACAGCGTTCCCCTTCTCTGTGACTTTTCCTGACGGAGCAGACGGTATAAAGTGAGACGGTGGCCCGGGAATGTTCCGAGGTGGTCTTCAGTGTCGATGAAGCTAAGTTGCTGTCAGCTTCGCATGTGGAAATTCCGATTCAGTCGACGTACATGGCATTAATGAGAAGACGTGTGTTGAATGAGGCCCACGTTGTTCGATATCATCCATAGGGCTAAAGACGCAGCTTTAGCATCGCACAAATGAATTGAATGGTCGATCCTTACCTCGACCTAGAAAGGTATTTTGAACATTAAAGTCGGGCGCTAGTATAAGGCGAATCGCAGAGGTGACAGGGCGAGAGACGCGAAGACCGAGAATACCAAGTCCTCTTCCACGTCTAAAGAGTCTTCGAAGGACCAGCTAGATGCTGATGGAAGCGACCCCGAGCTTGGAGTTCCAGTCGCTTGGAAGTGTTTGGCGGAAATTTTGTCCTACGGTGACTGTTATCGTGTGTATCAACATAGGTGCATACGGCATCGGCTCAGGTTGATTCCCCTAGTCGTTCCCATACAAATTGTGATCCTCGTATGGTATGGAGCCCTAGGTACTAGTAAAGGCTCGAAACGGTTGCCGAGCTTGGAATGTGCCGTCTCGTCTCCGTATGTAATATCACGGTTGAGACGATGCCACCACAGATGTAAGACGCCACAACTAAGATATCTCCGGTGACAGTCGTCCGGAGGCACCTATGTAGGACGATAAACCCTACGCGTGTAGTGAGCTGAATGGACTATAAATCAACAAAGGTGGACCAAGAAAGAGGACGACATACGCGATCGAGACTCGAAGCTTGAAGCGTATGAGAAAATATGCTGGCATCACGAACTCGCAGAATGCCCACCAAAGGACAGAGAAGCACACCAAATCGAATTTTCAAAGGACGGTAATACAACATCACGCCACAACGTACGATCAGGAGAGGTCAGGAACCTCCCAATCAATCCACTGCGAATCTACAAACCCAAGGCCATTCGCCCCATCCGTCTTGATGATATTTGTATCCGCATTCTGATCCTTCAAGAACCTATTCACGAACGCATTCAAATCCGGCTGCTCCTGACTGGGGAACGCACAATGCGCATGGTTCCCCACCTGCGAAACACCCATGAAATCACCTACACCAAGTCCCTGCCAAACCAAGTTCGCCGTCTTCTGACAACCCCAAACCGACTCGGGACCCAACCAATCAATCCCAGTGTTATCAATGATGAGAAGCGGACGAGGAGCGATGAGTCCCGAGAGCATATGATGATCAAAAGGCAAAGGGTCGACGCCAGATTGAGCAAAAGTGTTGAATGCAGTAGAGAACCAAACGTTCTCCTGAACGATCTCGCTAGCCGTTTGCGTGTCGATCCCATTAGCCAACATCGAATCGGAAATCCTCCAACATCCCGCACCACCACTCCCCGATTCCTGAGGGATCGTCAACGCGATCCTCGGTTCGAAAGCCCCAGCAACAAGAGCACCCTTCCCGTTCCTCGAACAACCCGTAACACCAACCCTCTCAAGGTTGATGTTCGTATTGACCTGTTCCAACGCATCCATAATCCTCGCAACACCCCAAGCCCAAGCCATCATAGCCCCAGCCGAATGATTCGATCCATAAAGCGTAAAGAACTTGCCTTGTCCACGCGACGATCCATCATTCTGTGCCGCGATATCGTCATTGTTAAACGAAAGAATCGCCACACCCGAAGGTTGAGGAAGGCTAAGGAATCCTCCAAAAACGATGAGAGCGGGGAAAGGACCGGAGCCAGAAGGCGTCTGAATCCCGACGTTGAAAGAGATCGATTTTCCGCCGTGGGAAACGTTGATGGTGAGAGTATTTCCGGAGAGGGTGCCGACGACGGATTCGGGACGAGGTGGGAGTTCACCGAGCTCGAAACGTTGGAAAAGAGCGCTGATCTCGGCTTGACGACAGGTGAATTCGTCGGCGGTGGTTACGGCGGTTCCGTTGAGGAAGGTGAAGGGATCGGGGAGCATGCTATCGGGTGTGAGAGAGACATCCGACGGGAGGTTACCGCCTGTAAAGTAAAACAAGAAAACGAATGAGTCTACAGAATAATAAGGAGATAAATAAGTGAAAACTTACATTGCGCGAACGCAGACGCGGCGAAGAGAAGAGAGGCGACAAAAGAGGTTTTGATAGTCATCGAAGTGATGCAGTCCAAGAACGAACAAGGGAAGCGTCGCTGCTCTTGACCATGACCACACGATGCTTTTTATACCTGCTAGTGACGTTAAATCTTCCCATGCGTTTCCGTCAATTTGCGTTCGACGTCTTCATGAGAACAACTGGAAAGACGGGCTCGAGGAAAAAAGAAGCCCTAGCAAGACCGAAGTCGATGCGACAAAATTAAGTTCCATGGGGTCTCGAGTCGTCATCAAACGGCCTCTCTAGAAAGACGGGATGACAGAATAGGAAGATCTCGAAGATCCTACGGGAAACACCTGGCAAACATCCATACAAACGCGCAAAAATAGATGGGAAAAACAATGGGCACAATCCGCGAGAATGATCACGCGAGCTGGGGCGGGCAGGCCACGATGTGCCGCAACATATCAGACGAGGTCTCTTGAGCTGTCTTCGCCTACACTGAGCTCTATTGAGTCCCGAGGTTAACGCGCAACTCTATTAGAATTAGGTTTACTCGCCTCGAAGGATTTGGGACCTTGTATACGCAGCAAATAATTATCGCCGAGATAAGTGGCATGGTAAACGAATCTTCGATCCTTCTGACTCGGTTTACACCCGAGCGTCGACCTCAGCCATCGGTCGTCTAGATACGAGAGCTCCTAAGATCCAAATAAAGCCACGATAATAGTTTGCTTCCAGACTTGTCGGTATACAGTATAGTGCTACAGACTAAACCTTGGTGTTAGTGTGTGCCAAGCTAAAGAAGAAGAGGAAGAAAGACCGACAATGTAACGGTCTTTGGGCCCCCATCAAGAGGTTCACCCGTCCTCTCCACAGCCAACTTCTCCGCCTGCTCGAAGATCGCTTGAACTCTCCTAACATCCGGCCATTCCCCGTACCCATGACTTGCCCTCATACTCCCCGCATCGTTCCAAAAAGCAACATCATACGTCCTAGCACCCTGAGCATTCCTCACACCCTCCGCCAAAAAGTAAGGCTTCGCTTTCCACACAGCGTACAGTCTCCCGATCCCACTCGTGTACCTCGCCTCCATACCCTTCAACGGCGAAATGATGAGAATGTAGTGTTTGATAGTGATAGGAAGATTTCACCTCGAACTTTGCGTATCGTTTCTTCTATACAGGATATGTAAACGTCCATTCGGACCACACCTAGGAAATGTTGGATCCATGAGGTGTGATCTATGTTTGGTGGTGAGATCGGATGGCGTGGATTATCAAGCCTGCAGATATAGCCCCTTTCACCCGGAGCGCCTTTTCTAGATCCTCAATCCAATGCGCACGAACAGCGCCTCCTGTCCAGTTACAGTTGAGTATATCCTGCTCGAGTCTGCCGTAGCTTCTTTGTAGTGCTCCTAGCTCGAGCGATGGAGAAAGTCGCGCAGGTGATGATGGTATGTAAGAGTCGAGGAAACGTGGGAGATCAACAAACAACCCTGAGCCGCCCGACTGTCTCCATTTTCACGCTACAAAGTAAATTGGCGGCGTAAAAAGGCTGCAAAGCAGTACCGGAGAATCGACATGAGATCAAAAAAGGATGGAGGACCTAACGCACCATATGCTCTCGACAATCCTGCCTGCAGTGTGATTAGCGAAACACGTTGATGACAACGTACCTCGAACCATACAGCACGCAAGCACCTCCTCAATCCCAGCCCACTCTGAAGAATGGCCGTCGAGCGACCACAACAGCTCGCCTGGCTGGATGGAGGGCAGAGTCTCAACGAGCTTGCATGGAGGTGGTGGATGCAGATGGAAGCTTCAAGCTTTGTATGTGGAAAGGGCGCCGATCGTGACGCGTGCCGGCTCCCACGTTTCTTTGACTCTTACCATCATCACCCTCAACGGCCACGCGACCTTTTTCCAGAACTCACATGCGAAAGCACGACGAGAAGGAACCGCAACACACGAGGCCATGTATGACCGCTCAATCGCTTCCGAGTCACGAACAGAATTGGACGGTCCTTGGATTTAGCGACTTGTAGGAGGCGTTGTTCGTAGCCGCCGAGGACAGAGTTGTGTTCGCTCGGATTGAGTACGTTCTGACGTGCGATGGATGAAAGGGACTGTCTACGGGCTCTTAAATGAATGTTAATGAGGAGAGAAACCGATTCTGAGGTCTGAGGGAAGAAAAGGTACGTTTTTTTTTCTATCTTAGCTCTCTGCCGATTACATATAGATTCTGTTAGAGATACCCATCTCCCTACTAGTGGATGGCAACGCGCAGCTGCAATGTACAAACGAAATGGCGCCACTTCCGTTCAATATATACTGGTGCGAGGCAAAGGAGACGGAGAAGGACAAAGACCACGCGATTGGCTGACAGTGGCAGTGCGAAGATGTTGGAGCAGATCGGGTTGTGCACGATGGTAGGCACGATTGCAACGTATGCGCCTATGCTGATATACTACAACAGCCCCCCCGCAAGATGCCAAATCCCTCCAAGCAACCCATAACTCCAAGCTCGGCAACCGTTTCGAGCCTTTACTAGTACCCAGGGCTCCATACCATACGAGGATCACAATTTGTATGGGAACGACTAGGGGAATCAACCTGAATTCACGCCGATGCCGTATGCACCTATGTTGATACACGACAACAGTCACCGTAGGACAAATTTCCCGCCGAATACTTCCAAGCGACTGGAACTCCAAGCCTGAGCTCGGCGTCGCTTCCATCAACAATGTAGCTGGTCCTTCGAAGACGTGGAAGAGGACTTGGTATTCTCGGACCCCGCTCTGTCACCTTGTGGACTCACCTTGTAGTAGCCCGACTTTGATATCCAAAGTGCCTTTTTCCCAGGTCGAGGTAAGGATCGACCATTCAGTTCATTCGCGCGACGCTAAAGTTGCGTCTTTAGCCCTATGGGTATCACCGTCTACGCAGCCTTCCAAAGACCCAGACTTGGATATCAAGCAATGTGGTCCTCGCTCAACATACGTCTTCTCATCAACGCCACGTGCGTAGACTGGATCGGAATTCCCACCTGCGAAGCTGACAGTAACTCACTGAAGACTACTTCGGAACATTCCCGGGCCACCGTCTCAGCCTTCAGTCCTCACTCTATACCCTCTGCTCTGTCATGAAAAAGGGACAGAGAAGGAGAACACTGTGTCATCTGTATCTGCAGCATCTAACGCCAAACAGGCGAACCATTATTCAGTGTGGACGATACGCAAAATAATCAAAAGAGAGGACAATCAAGGAAACTTTTTGCTATCGATGCAAAGGGTTTGACATCCAGTTTAGCGCACGGAATGGATGAGTCGAGAATTCTCTGTACCTTGCGGGTTGGCTGTATCATAATAATGGCAGCATTTGCGATTATCAGAGTGTTGGAAGCGCAACCGCAAAACAGTATATCACCCCGCCGATGTGATCCGCCTGGATCGGCCTATTGAATTGATTCTACAATTTCTCGAAAAGATCATGTACTGTTCGACATGCATAGGACGTAATGTTCTACATAGGGAATAGCAGGTAACTAAGCTCCCAACACGTGCATCGTAGGTCTTTAATGGAACCCTAAAAGACCTTTGCTTCTTCCCTCATCATCATCCTCAGCGTCGTTGTCCTCGAAATCTCTGATTTTTCCACAAAAGTACGTATCCTTCTCCAAGGAAGGGATGCTCGTTTACCCTGACTTCCCCACTCTGGCTTACAGATATCCCTACCGACCAGTGGCCCTCGAACAAACCCCTTATCGATGGAATCCAAGCACTCCGCTGTTCGTTATGCCCACCGCTCTCGCTCGCGTCAGGTCTTCTCATATAATGTTTTCAGGAAACTCTCTGCTTTTCATCAGGCACTGTACTTCCAGACAATACAGCTGTGGTGCCATATACTAATGTGTAGCTATATCATGGTACTCCTCCGCGCAGGACGGTCATCAGAAGCTCTGGACTCGGAGACGCTAGCCTCAGTGATGGAACACATACGCCTCCTCGAATCTGAGACTCGTTGCCGGTGATGAACAGCTGCAGGCCACATCGCTCGACGCTCCTCTCCGGCACGAACAAGCTCTGGCCGCACACGATCTCGAAAAACCATAAATCCATATTCGCGCCCGTTCGACGCCTTCCGAACGACATCTTGTTACGTATCTTTCAGATATCCTGTCAATGCAAGGGTCAAGCCTGACGTGAAGACCATCCCTTGGCTTCTCGGTTACGTCTGTCATCACTGGAGAGTTCTCTCCCGGTCCTCCCCTTCCTTGTGGACTAACATATCCCTCGAGAGCGTGTGCTCTTCCGACCTCTCATCCGGTCGACGCAGTCTACGCAAAAATCTCCTCTCCCTCTCGGGAGGTTTGCCGCTTAGGATTATATGGAGATGCTCCATCCTTACGAGACGCACATGCCCCATCGTCCAGTTTGCCCAGGCGATGATAGAAGTATCATCTGGGAAGACATCGCTCTCCACTCACACCGATGGTCCCACATAAACCTCACGACAAAGGGGCCAATGATAGCCCTTCAGAACTTCACTTGTTATTCACCCTTGCTACGCAATCTTCGCTCAGTCATGCTTGATGTTTCTTCCCCCACCGACATCTGTCGCCTATTTTCCTCAGCTCCCCTTCTCCAGGATCTCGCCTTCTGTGGGAGTATTACCCTATGGCGGGAACTCGCACGAACGATACCCCTTCACCAGCTCGTCAATCTCATGGTAACCGTAAGAATCTACGAACCAGACGACGCGAATCCAGATTTCTACGCCTGCCTGAAGGAGGCTGCCCTCTTGGAGGGCTTGCATTTCAACGTTGCACGTATCGTTCCGAGACCCTCTACACCGTCTGATGTACCGCTCTCTCTTGCCTTCATCCATACCCATATCCATAGACTGACGTTGAACGGCGAGATTCCTTCCGTTCTAGACCAGTGCTCCATGCCGAACTTGAAGGAACTGTTCGTCTACAGCGAATACAGGCCCTATGTGGGGGGACTACTAGAAATCGATCCCGCTGATATCAAGCGCCTTGTTCGTTTTGTATCGCGTTCAGAGTGCAGTGTGCGAACGTTTTCGTGCTTCAGACCAATGCCACTTTCGACATTCAAAGCGTTTGGAAGGAGTGGTCGTCGTCGTCGTCGTCATTGACAAAGCTCACTATCACCGTTACCTCAGCGACTCGAGCGGATGCTGTTCGAGAGCTGACCTTTGAGGAGGAGGGCAAACCCGGTATCCTACCAAACCTCCAGCATTTGACGCTGCGTACGTCTGAAGGCGTGTGTATCTTCCAGGACGACAGTCTTCTCAAAATGGTGTCTTCAAGGCGTACTACTCGATGTTTTGCGGCGCTCGTGATAATAACTAGGATATTCTACAGGGGGGTCTTCAGTCGGGATATTATCACTCAAATGCAGCGTCTGCGTGGGATGAGGGCAGTAGGTGTCCTGTGTTAGGCTCTTCCTGGATGAGTATTTAGATTATTTCGAAAGTGATGAACGCTTCGCCGAGTTTCTGGAAGAGGGAGAAGGGTAGTAGGTAGTATGAATGATGTGCATAGTACAGAAGACAACCCTTGTATCTGATCATTGATGGTCACGTTCAGACTGTACCGCGAGAACTTGGTCCATGGAGAGAGTCGATCTTCTGCCAATGAAGATCGGTTTTTGAGAAAAGCTGTTGAGGACATGCCGAATCGTTCGCAGATCCCGCCAATTGTAGCTTGTTTGGGGCAGCAGGGAGATGCAGTACTACCTGTTGAATGTTCGAAAAAGAATCGCCGCATGGTGGTCATGGGTGGCAGTTCAGGTCAGGATTGTTTGTTGATCGTGACGCGTGCCGGCTCCCGCGTTTCTTTGACTCTTACTATCATCATCCTCAACGGCCACGCGATCTTTCTTCAGAACTCACATGCACATGCAAGAGTGCGACGAGAAGGAACCATGGCACACGAGTTCTTTGAGTTTAGGGACTTGCAGGAGGCCTTGTTCGTAGCCGCCAAGGACAGAGATGCGTTTACTCGGATTGAAGGGTTTCTGACGTGCGGTGGACGAAAGGGACCGTCGACCGGCTCTGAGGGAAGAAAGGGTACGTTTTATTTTATTTTAGCTGTCCGCCGATTATATATTTCTGATAGGGATCCCTGTCGCCCTACAACGCGCAGTTGCATACGAACGAAATGGCAATGGCACGACTTCAAGGCCTTTCTGTTCAATACAGATGCAGAGAAGGACAATGACTACGCGGTTGGCTGACAGTGAGTATCTTTGAATTCACGCCAACGCTGATACCCATGTATGCGCTCATCTTGATACACTGCAACAGCCCGCGCTGGACAGTTCTCCCGCTCAATCCCTCCAAGCGACCCCTAACTCCAAGCTCGGCAACCGTTGAGGCCCGTTCCACATACAAAGCTTGAAGATCCCTGGCCTGCGTTCGATTCATCACGCGCACGAGTTTTATTGATCCAGGGAGGTTGACGGTGGATAGATTATGCCTGCGGTATCATGACCCTTGCCTCGCGACAGGGTACACAACGCACGCACCTTGCTTTTTGAAATGAGCGGGTATCTCGTCAAAGTGTCCCAATTCTCGTGCTGTTACTACGTCGGTCACATAAATACGGCAGCGCTAGTGTTGATCGATTTAATGATTGGCACGATCTACACCCGCGGAGGCTGTGAAAGATATCCCACCACAGCAAATCAGTAACAGGTCTTCATTCCTCCTCGCCTACACATCACCACGAGCTCCCATCCTCCCATCCTCATATATCTCGTCAGCTTCCTCTCAAGTCCAGGCGTTGAGGTGACATTTAACCCTCACGTTGATTACCCTTCTGATCGCATTTCATACAGTGGGTCCATGAAACGCTCCCGCTCATGGATGAGAGAAACATGCTCGATGTAGAATACAAGTTGTTATACGGTTCGCAAATTAGCGTATGTGGGTTGGAACAGCGACTAGTTCCCGACGCGAAATGAAGAGTGGCCGCGAGGTGGAATAGCAGAGTTTTTCTCCTCGCGCTCAATATTTATCCGACGACTAACTTCTTTCCGTAATAGATTTTCTCCCTTGTAGTAAAGTTAACGTACATCAATAATCAGACTGTTTTTCTACTATCAACTAGAGCTCAATGTTCTGACGATGGCCAGGCCTTCGAAAACTCGCCACGGTTTACTTGAACCACCCATTCGATAATTCGACAAGGAGAACTATGATTTGGCATCTAGGACGCTTCCCAAGAAGCTCTGAATGACAGGAAAGCTCGAAATGTTTTAGTTATTGGCATGTTTGCTACTATCCAGCAATATTGTTTTCTCGATCCATTTATCTACCGAACGAACGAATGCAATCACCAAGACGCTCTGATTCACGAAATATTTCCTGCTCCCGCTGTTTGAAGAAAATGTGAGCGTAGAATTAACTTGAAAGACCAGCGTTACTAACGAAATCACTGTCCACGGGGAAGGACTGGGGAGATGACAGGAGAGCCTGTAACAACCTGTCTACCTTCGAGGTTCGGGAGGGTGGGAAGGACTGGGGAGATCGTGACCTGCCTGCCCATAACTTCACCACGAGGAAGAACTGGGGAGATGACTGGGGAGCCGGTAACAACCTGTCTACCTTCGAGGTTCGGGAGGGTGGGAAGGACTGGAGAGATCGTGACCTGCCTGCCCATAACTTCACCACGAGGAAGAACTGGGGAGATGACTGGGGAGCCGGTAACAACCTGTCTACCTTCGAGGTTCGGGAGGGTGGGAAGGACTGGGGAGATCGTAACCTGCCTGCCCATAACTTCGCCACGGGGAAGAACTGGAGAGATGACTGGGGAGCCGGTAACAACCTGTCTACCTTCAATACCGTCGCGGGTAGGAAGGGTCGGAAGGACTGGGGAGATCGTAACCTGCCTGCCCATAACTTCTCCACGGGGAAGAACCGGGGAGATGACTGGGGAGCCCGTAACAACCTGTCTACCTTTGAGGGTCGGGAGGGTCGGAAGGACTGGGGAGATCGTGACCTGCCTGCCTGCAAGGGCGGGAACAGCTGGAACAGCCGGAGGAGCGGGTGGGGCAGGAGGAGCCGGGAGAGCTGGAATCACCTGCCTGCCTGTAAGGGCAGGAATCGCTGGAACCGCCGGAGGAGCGGGTGGGGCGGGAGGAGCTGGAGGAGCTGGAATCACCTGCCTGCCTGTAAGGGCTGGGAGAGCTGGAACCGCTGGAACCGCCGGGGGAGCGGGAGGGGCGGGAGGGGCGGGAATCACCTGCCTGCCTGTAAGCGCTGGAATCGCTGGAATAGCCGGAACGGCGGGAGGGGCGGGAAGAGCTGGAAGAGCCTGCCTGCCCGTAATAACCGCACCGCCATCCGATTCATCGCGGGGAACGGGGGGAGCGATAGGGTAAAAGACAGGGACAGGGTAGAGTGTAGGACCCTCGCTGGTCGTAATATCATTACGGGGAAGGACGACAGGAATGACACCGCCGCTGGCGAGTAGAGGTAGGGCCAGGAAAGCAGAGACAGAGATACGAGCGAACATGGTGAAGTGAGATTATTAAGCTGTACAATTGTGAGGGCTTGAGAATACCTGCTGGTTTAATCCCTCTCTTATAGCTTTCCGAGTCGTCTCCTCTGGGCGATGGCAGTCATCAGTCGTGGAGTAGAAACAAAAATACAGGGCCCAGGACGAGTGGAGGGGAACAAATGACGCGGTCAGGAACGATGAGCCTTGTTTAACAGTATCTTTTCATGCCTGTGAGGAACCGAGCAAGGGAGTATCAGTCAAAAATAGTCCCTTATCGCGGTATCAGCCTTCTCTGACCTTCATTTCCGGTGGATGGGCTCGTTCATACAAGAATAGTCATCAGGTTATAGAAATATGCTTTGCGAAGATCTAGTATCTTGGGTGATGATTGATGTTCCTCGCCGTCATCCTGCCTCTGGATAGTGGCACTGTTCGAAAAAGGTCACTTTCATGCTCATGCAAAGTAGCGTTGAGAGAAAAAAGTTCGATGCTTAGCACCAGAGTCGATCTAAGCATGAGCTATGAATACGTCCCGACTGTCAGGCTCTCAAATGGCGGACTATGTCTTCTGATGCCTTTGCAGCTGATGCCAAGCAGTGGCGTTGGTTGAACACACAGCCTATAACTCGTCATGAATGGCTGAATCTGTACTTTGAAGCATCTCGCGAGACTTAGAAGCCAGAGCACGGGATCAATCATGGACGAATGTTACATGATTTCTGTATTCGGGTACGTACTGATCGAACATCATTCTTTGGAAGAACATTGACGCAAACAAAGGTACTATACCTAACTGGATACAAGCTATGTCGCAGCCACCAAGAGCAAAGTCTTTCAAGAGTCCAACGGCGGAGGGGTTGTAGCATCACCTATAAGATATGTAGGCTCAGTGACAAAGGTCTCTACCTGCCCGTTGTCAGTTGATCGCAAGGGTCGGAAAATAGACCGTGATCAAGATGGTCCATGTACTCAGCTCTCCGAACCTACACGGTCTATCAGCAATCGTCAAGAACCAGAGTGAAATGGCCGCTTACATCCCCACCGCAACGGAGATGTCCGCCAACAGACTCATTGATTGGTCTATTAGATATACCTTGAGCGCCTTGCGTGTATTTTCATATCCGCTATGTCCACGTCCAGCCCTTTCTGTACCTCATCCGAGAAGGCCTGACTTAGCTCTTTAGCTGACGCATTCTGCATGTCTGTCAATGAATTTGGTAAACGCCAAGTGACACGGTGCCTGCATACTTCGAACTCTAAACCGAGTGTCCCACCCCACGAAAGAACCCGTCCTGGATGCGGAAGCGCCTCAGGAGGTTGGCCAGTTGGTTGATGAAGGTACCAATAGACAAGAATAACAATTGCTTCAATGAGCGATGCGTCAAACGGGAGCTTCCGAGTTGGTCGTAGGAGATGACTTGAATAGAGAATTTAGCGGCTCGGTCGGGGGAGGTAGTCGTGGGATGAACCTGGAGTAGTTACAGGTGAGAGAGGAATTTCAGCAAGTACTAAACAAGACTTACCTGGCCTGCTGTGCCACAACCCAACAAGTACATGTACGACTATCGAGGTTGTGGAGGAACTTGAGTGATCCGGCGGACGGTCATGCGTCACCTCAAGCGAAATCCTTGCGTATCCATTGAGAGAATCCAGCCAGAGTACCTCCCTTCAAAGCGAGTGACATGGGGTAGTTTATGTCTGAAAAAGGTTGCGTCTTGTTTTCTGGATATTTCTGCCTAGTCGTGAAGCTATGTTGTAGTTTGTTTGTCTGCCACGTTCCGGACCGCCTTCAGCCGGGCATGGTGAATTTTGCGTTTATATGATGCACGATGAAGGCCACGCTGTTAGGGATAGGTATTATCTGAGGTCCTCGACTTCGCCTTAGAAAATTTACTTATCATTTTGCTCTTCTGGAACTGGTTTCGTCATCCTTGGATTGTTGAACATTGATGCCAGGTATCTGTCCAAAGAAAGTTCTATAACACTCCGCTCGATAGGTGACGCCTCTCCAAGAACTTTGATAAAATCTGGCAGAAAAAATGTTCGCTACAACTATGAATTGATCCTTATTTTCGAAGTCTATTTCCTTTGGCTCATGCATTATCTTCGGACGAGCCTCGATGTCCTCGTCGATGATTGTGACATCGTACTTTCTAGAGTGTTGTGCGAAGCGTAAAGATCCAAAGGGAAGGATAGATTACGAAGGTTTAAATACTCTATAGCTGACCGAGAAATAAAGTAGGGAGTGCGATGCAAGCAAAAATGACAGTCTAAATTTAGTAGTCAAATCTCAACCCAACAAGTTTCAGACGCTCGCCACTCACCATGAGCTCTATCTATTGTGTCCTTTCAACAACTACCACGAGCTCATCTGACTGCTCCCGTTGAGCCTCAATGTCCATTTCAAGGACTGCGCTCTGCCTGGTGGATTCCTGAAAGTTTGCCATGGAAGGTTCCGAAGGTTGAGAAGATTGTGAAGACGTCTGGAAACGAAGGGTCGACACCGTCGCACTTTCATCATATTGTTCGGTTGGCTGTGTGTGTCCTGCCGCTGCTCTGCCAACAAGGAGTGTGGGTGCAACTCCCTACACAAGATGTTGATAAATGACGAGAGTCCAGGATAGTGAATGCACCTTCACAATGCCAGCTATTATGTCAGCGTAAAACGATCTAAAATCACTGCGAACGTAGAAAGCCAAGTTTAGGATCGAAGCTATCGAATAGAGAGCATAGGATTCCAGTAGCACTTCAATAAAACAGTGAAAAACTCTCAGCCTGCCACCTACTCCGTGTCTAACCCTAGTAACAGTCAAAATGCGGAAAATGATGAGCAGCGTGCACCATAATGTTGTAGCCAGGATGGAAGATAAGTAGAGACTCAGGAATACAGTAACTACTGGACTCAATGGATTGAAGTACTCATAATATATCACAATGATTTTCGACACTAGACATAAAGTTGGATATGTGAAAAGAGTAGATGAGATCGGACACTTTACCAGTTGCAGAAATTAGGAAAAGGATTGGAAGCAGAACAATAAGCCAGCGCTGTTCCCAGACTATCCAACAGCACCAAATCTAGAGTCAAGAAGATGGTAAGCTGACATGGATAATCACCAGCGAAGTAGCACACACAATATATGAGTCTGCAAGAATGGTACTTATAGTGGCTGGAATACCTGCCTCCCAACTGATTGCTTGGTTCGGGCCGTTAATTTTCCAGAATACGGTCCAAAAACTTTGCCTATTTTCGATGAATCCGGAGCGTGTAAATGACCATTCGGCAGCAAAATTGATAGTAATCAGGACATGAAGAATAATGACGATGACCAAGGTTCGTCGGTACGGCCTGCATTTGTTGAGGACTGTGCCACTCAGGTCAGCTTGGATGTTGTAATAGGGATGCTCCTGGCTCACACATATTCCACAATGTAACAGCAAGAATTCCGGTGTATATGCCTGTCATCAGTCAACACGTATATGTCAAGGCACTAAATATCGTTGCCCACCATGCAATAGCGCGAGGAGAATTTGGGAGTTCAGGTAATCGTCGAGATTTTGAAACATGAGAGCTTTGTCTTCGTTGGTAAGATCAGGTGGAATATCTGCCTGAATCGCCATAAGGAAAAGCAAGAGAGACGGTGTAATGGGCTTTGAGAATAACATGTACCGACCCTACCGTTATAAACGGTGCAGCCCATGGCCATGCTCATTGGCTACTGCAAAGATGATCATCAGTATCAAGTCGGACCAGGATCCTCATGTACCGAACGTGTTCAGCGACTTAATGAACTATCGTGTACATTGTCATTTTTAACTCGCAAATGCGACGTGACTCGGAGTGAGATATTGCCGGAGAAAAGCCTCTGTCGTAGGGAAAACACTTATACGAACTGCGAGCTTCTCAGATATGTGTTCTATTGAATTAGGGCATCCGAGAAGAGAATCAAGATAACAATCGAAGTGAGGCGCCTACCAAGGTGAGCTTGTTCTGTCATGACGTGAATCTTAATCAGGTCCTGCTCCAAAATGTAGGGAAGTTTTGATGCCATTTCCGATCGTCACTGCACTGAAGGATCCTGGACATTTGAGACCCGGTAAAGACCTTCGCAGGGGTACCAGTTTTTGCAAGTCATATAGAGACGAGAACCCGCAGCAAGGTCATATAAGATGGGAGAAAGTTTATCTTGGAAATGAGGTACCTATCAGAAAAGCAGGGGAAGAGAATACAACACGTACCCCATAATGAGCTCGATGAAACTCGATCTCTTCCGGAGACAGTTTCCCTTTCCAGTACTTGGTATATCTTCGAAGGCTGGGCATTGCGCAACATATGTGAGTCAACCCATCCTTGTTCGCGTCATCGGTTCTTTTTTAATCATCACTTAGAGCACTAAGATAGGCAAAGGTGGTGACGTGGACCAATACTGAGAGACAGTGAGAGAATAGACTTGTGGTATATAGAAGCAAACGTCAATATCGACCCTAATGTCATGTCGACATGACAGCGACCCCTTGATGAGAAGCAGTTCAATCAAGGTCCACAGAAGAGTAACCGAGCCCCTCGAAAGGATCCTACAAGATCGCGACTGAGGGGAGATACCTGTTCGACAAACAACGACGAGGACAAGGATACATCGATGGGTTCATTATTCCAGCGACCATAAGACCTGGTAGACCCTACGACGACCATCCACAACAAAGTTGGTGAGGGGCAGCGCATCTGCATGGCCAGTCCTATGTATTTCTTTCCCGTGTACCTTTACTCATAAGCACGACAGTAAGTTGACGAAGCCTTCTGGTGGTCAAGCGGCGCCGAAATCCTACATTTGTAGTAGTTATCTCTTCACAACTGAGCCTAAAACGGACTTCTATCTGAAAAACGACATGAGAATCAGATCAACGAGAAGTACGGGCATCAATCTCACCCTCGAGCAAAGTTCGTTGGAGTTGTTGCTCGCGCAGGTGAAGGACTCTTGCCGATCGTGCTTCTCGACGGTCAACCATTCTGAACTGCAGATGAAAGCTGTGTCAATGAGAGTATAGCAAGATAATGATGGTGGGCATACCCAAGAGTTGTATAGCCAGGAGAGCTGCTTAAAACGTGCTTGACGATGGTGATTTTCAGAATGCATTCCAACAAACGTATCAGCACTCAGCATGCATAGCATTGCATGCTGTCCTATGCTGTCATGTTCATTCCGGTAGGTTGCACACCATCCCGCGCCTTTCTCACCCCATCGTTCTCCTCTCCTGCCACGACCCCTGCTTGCTCGCTGGCCATCGATACGTCATGTCGAAACAAACCTGACGGCGTGAGCTTGAGCTGCAGGGACTTGGCACAGCTAATAGTCGATACCGTGTGACGGGGTGGGAGGGGAGGGCAGAGTTCATGTCCTCAAGACACGATGTCGGTAATGAGTGTTGATCCCGAATGACTTTCGATCAAATGCGGGAAGTCTGTGTCTGTCATAGCTGATTCACGCAAAGCTCATCAACTCCTGCCCTGCTCAGCTGCATTTGCCTAGGTCCAACGACCTCTCGCGGCGTTCGTCTAGGAATCATACAGGCCTGACCACTGTATATCACTTTCCAACAAGCGGAGCAGCTGCGAGAAAGATTCAAGCACGAGAAAGGTTCACGCAGGCAATGGGAGGGACAATGATGGGTGGATGATGCGGGTGACGGGAACACAGAGATGCGAGAAGAGCTTCTTTCTGCCCCACAAGCCGACCCTGTGCTCTTCATCGCTCACGTGTAGCATGACTTGGTGTAGCACAAGACGTGCTTGATGGAGAAATTTGCGAATCCGGGAGGTTGTGACAACGTTACAAGATATGTCGAATAGAAGTGGAACAGTAGATCGTGTGCAGAGAGTTTATTGAGACGGGAGGGAGAATCAGAACATTGCATGGCACACAATCAATGTAAGCTATTAAATAGCGTTAGCGTTAGATGCTTAACGTACGTTAACGCGCGAAAAGATTGAGATTGAAGAACTTACATTGCACCCCAACGTCCAGAGCTAAACATAATGCCAGACGCCCTGGGCGCAGGACACCGATCTCGAGAAAGTAGGATGATACCTGACGTCCCACATAGCCTCTGAAATCAAAGCAAAGATGAGTAAAATCAAAAGTGAACATCCTAAAGAAACCTACCAATCGACGGAATATGCCAGTGTAGCATCCAATAAACAACAGACGAGTGCGACAAGGTGCAGCACCTGCAGGATTTAGAGGGAGATATCAAATGGAGACACGTGGACTTGACCGCGGGAGCGCAATGCGTACGGGCATGTCCGCCGGACTCTCTTCTGCACGGCCACGATCACGGCCATTTTCCTGGCTCCATGCTAGTTCACTGCGTTTGCGTTTTGTTTGACACGTTGATGCGTTTGATGCATGTGCCGTGACAGAGGTGCGTTTTTTTCTGTTTTATTTTATGGGCATGACAAGACCTATGCTCCACCCTAGCGTCGATGTTCGCCTAGCAAGACTGGTTTGCAACCTACAAACGTTCAGGGCTCCCGCAAGTCCGAGTCGTAGGCCATGTGGCATGATGGTGCGAGATACAGTACTACCTGGACAAATCAAACTTCGTCGCCTCTGTTCTTTCCCGTCCTCCATAACGCGTTGAGACGTTTGGACTCGTCCACTACAGCTTCCCTCTCACGACAACAGCATATATCGATGTTTTCAGACACACTATTGATGAACGCGTTTGATTTTCAGAGTCCGAACACGTCTACTTTGCAGCTTCAGATTTTGCAAACCAGGCGCGTTGACGAGACACATTGTTTGGCGACCTCAGTTCACTCAAGGTCAAGGAATGGTGATAGTAGTGGTGGATTAACACGTAAGGCTGAAGGTGAGTTCAAACGCATAAGTGCTACCTCTTTGCTCACCCTGCATTCCTTCATCCCTAGACGCGCAATTATGATGTACTTAGGCTCCCAAAATGAACACCCCGAGAGGTCCAGGTACATCATAATTAGCAATCTGTGTACTCAACGTCACGCTTCGATGTCGTAGACAAGTGACCTGTTGAATTTCTGGCGTTCTTGTTATTGGTTTGTTCACCTGAGTGTTCTTAGCGTTTGGTGCCCAATATATGACATTGATCTTGTGACACCCTTATTGTCTGTCTCTTTCCGCATCAATAAAATCTGAGATAGTCATTGGCTTTACCTAACGTTCAGCTTGCAGCTTTCAAAGGCAACGGTTGGCGGTCGCTGGGAAAAGTTAGAAAATCAGAAACATAATAAATCATTGGCACATTTGCTACGATACGATCCAGCAATGTTATTTTCTCGACCTATTTACTTGTTCAACAGATGAATCCACTTTAAAAAATCACCAAAATGCTTCGATTCTCCCCGTCCCTTAGAGGCCGATGTTGAGGGGGGTGCAGCCGAGAGAAACAAGGCCGTTCTAAGGAAAGGTGAGCGTACATTTATCTGGATAACATTACTACTGACAAAGTTGTTGTCATTGCAACAGACGACTTGATTGTTGCACTGGGTTCCGCCAACACCAATGACGGTGATGGGGCTGCAGGACACACCGCTGTAGAACGAAGGAATCAGCCATGAGCTACCATCTATCGAGGATAATGGAAAACCTACACATTGCCAGTGAGTTGACCGACGACAACTCCGAGGAGGCCCAAGAGAGTTGCAACGGGGGCACTCAAGTCGGTGGGCTGATAATTCTGGTCAGCTTTCGCATCGATCAGTGAGAGGAAGAGAAACTCACGCTCTGGGTAGAATCACAGCACTGCGCAGTACCAGTCGCGGTGCAAGCGGCACCGTCGCCACCGCCACGGGGAAGGATAGTGGCGGTCGCAAGGAGAGGTAGAGCCAGGAGAGCAGTGAAAGAGATACGAGCAAACATTGTGAAGTGAGATTAAGCTGTTACGGTTGTGAGAGCTTGAAAATACTTGGTGCTTTAATCCCTCTTTTATAGCCTTTGACTGGGGACGGAGGGCATCGGTTGACGGTCATGGAGTGTAGCTGTGTGAGTGTGCGAGTACCCATGTCGAGCGGAGGGGAAAAAGTGACGCTTATGACGGGGTTAGGACATTGAATCGCTCCAAGGTACATTCACATGAAGCGAACATCGATCAAGAATAGTCCCTTGTCACGGCATCAGCATTCTCCGACCATCTTTTTAAGTGAATGGGCTCATTCGCGCAAGACATAGCCTGGGTATTATGGGGAGATGTTTTACGAAGATCTCGTATCTCGGGTGATGACCAGCGCCGCGCCGCCTCTGCAATGTTCAGGCAAGACCATTTTAATGCAACTTAGTATTGAGAGGACCAGATACTACAAACTTATCTGCTATCCTCTTCCCATAATGTAGTGTTCATCAGTGCATCAGTGTTGAGGGAGAGCGTTCGAAGCCGACTTCTTCTGGCGCTGGGGCCGGTCTAGGGGTTATGTCGTTATACGTCCATGCTGTCTGGCTCCAAAGTCTAGTTCCTTCGTAGCAGTGACTCATGTGTGATGTTAGTTGCATACAACCTATCAATGGCCGAACCGGCCAGGAGATTAAAGACACATGATGCTCATAGAAGTCGGAACACGAGGTCCGACTATCATGACGCGAGGCTTCAGTTGGGTTATTATTCTTCTACATGAATAACAACCCAACAGAAGCCTCATGCTCGTCGTCGGACATCAGGGTCGGAAGCAGACCCTGTAATTGTCGAAATTAGTGGGACACTGACAAAACCGTAAAAGCTAGTCCGACGAACCTTGATTTCGCTAATGAGGAGATACGACAGCGAGAGATTGTCCTGAGAGAATGGTGTTCTCAGCATACGCGACGCACGCGAAAAGGGTTAAGGTCGTTGATGATGAAGAGTTGTTCGGTCACGGCAACAAACAAACCCTGCCTTACCTTCCGTCGCCACCGTTTCCGATGAGCGATGGATTCCATGAACGTCCCCGATGTCGGACTCAATGCTCGAGCTTGCGATATACCATGTTCGTCTTGCGGGCTCTCCTCTCAGATGTTGGCCTTTCACGCTCGGGCATGAGTTTCCTGCCCCTTCTGATATTCACAACGCCAAGGGATTGGGTGTAGTGCAAGCTTGTGGCAGAGATAGCGATTTTTTGCTGTTGAGTGCTAGTGCAGAGGTCCAAGAATAATATCGTTTGAATAACCCTTTAGAGAACATAAAGAAAAAAGGAGGCTCACCTAACAAAGTGGTAAATGTTCAGAACACCAAGACCAGCAAATCGCCCCGCCTCAAGTACCATCATCCTGCGTATCACTGCCTGCGAGCCGGTGTCGATGCATAAAATAGCCCGTAATTGTGGTTAGTGTTCGTAGGCAGAAGGAAGCAGCGGACTTGTCGGGCCGGGAGTCCAACCTTGGCTTCAACCACGATGACGACCGTTTCCTCTCTTTTCAACTATCTGGCGACGCGTTTATTCTCTCAAGCTCAAGCTCAAGACTCCATATGGATTGCGACACCACTTCTCTGGCTCCGTATCCAAGGTTGAAGAGCGTCGCGAACAGTACTGCTTGTTATCGAGCTTGTGTCCGTCTCAGAGCTGACACAGCACGGCTGACCGCCGTCTCGCGTTATATTAGGGCTGAATTCAAGGAGATCACAGACACGTTCAGCTGGATATCACTGATGCTACTTCAGTCCAGGCTGCGAAAGAGATTATCAGGAAGTCCGAGGGCAGGCTGATACTTTCGTGAATAACACAGGTCCGTCTCGTTGTTTCATCTACTTTTTTTAAAAACTCGTAATGCTCCCAGGATCAGGCCTTCAGGCTCAAGTTACGTGCCCAAACCAGAACAACGTCCCAGTCGATGTCATCCGAAAAGCCTTCGAGTTATCCAAACCGCGCTTACCTCGGCCTGGTGAAGACGAATCTTTCACAGAGCTAGGAATGTGATAATACTATCAAATCAGTATTATGAGGTGCTTTCCATTCTCCTCTTGAGATATTTCATGCTCACCAACAAAGACACCGAGATATTCTCACGATGACTAGAGAAAACCGTTTCACTATTCTTCGTGTGACTCATCGTTTATGTTTCAACAGAACTGGCAGAAGAGTGAGAATTCTTAGTGAAATTTTCCGTGTAGTGGTCTGATGAAGAGGTATTTATACCAGTATATTCGTTTTATCTCATAAATCATTCCGCATTCCAGCTGAAGTGGTCACCAAAAGTCCGACACAGCCTATGATTACAGCAGTTCTGGCGTATCAGTCCACCGCACTGCGAGGCAATGCTTGACAGCCCCTCGCTTTTTTAAAAAAAAAGTTTTTCGAGATTGAAGGGCGCTAGTCAAGCTGATGCGCAGTATCATAGGATACAACTTTGCCTACAAGGTGCCTCAGCGCTTACGAATACACAGTTGCTAACCCACACACGGCTCGGTAAACCTTGTATGAAGTTCGGGCTTTGTACGTTGGTCACCTTGAACGTTAACACTCATATATTCAACGGAAAGCAGGTGCGTGACAGTTCTGCAAGTTCTCGTTCTCATACTGAAATCTAGAAAGTGCCATATCAAGGTAAGTAATTCGGACATCATACCTCTTACGTGTAAGATTCGACATCGCACAAAGGGCTCGAGAAGCTGTTTGGATCCGATCAGCGTCGAATGAAGAGTTGAAGATTACGGCTCACTGCCCTCCATTCCTTGACTTAATTGAATCCGGGCCTAGGCTCGCTTTGCTTAGGGTCGTCCCCCGATGCTAACATTGAAAAGTACACTGCTTCACCGACAATGAAAAGGCTAGGCGTTCCAAACACGAGCTCGCGTTCTTAGCCTTCAAGCACCACAGCTTCGCGGTTGATGGAGGGATCGCTCATTGATGAATGAGGTAGGCATCAATCTACAGATTCTATACATGTCATTCTGATTTTCCGATTTTGATGAAACGACAGAGACACATTCCCGACCCCGAGAACTAACACAACAGCATCTCGTACTTGGAAATCCGGCGTCTTAGGCGTCTTATAAGGAGCTCTGCAATCCTTCATCTCTCAGTTCAAGCCGTCCTCGTCTCCCTAGTGTTTGACACCTTCTTGCAATGTTTGATACTTCCTCTCTCCCAGGGCCCGTCACCCTTGATGCCGCAGGGCTTGTAGCACTAGCTGATCTCTCTGCTGTCGCCTTGAGGACAGCCCTAATGGGAACAGCATCCTACCTCGACATCCTCGTCCTCGCACCAGGAATGCACACCCAACAATCCGCCGACGACGTCAACCGCGGTGAATTCCCCGCGACAGGCTCGATGACCACCGGAAACATTTTCCGTGTCGAGAATCCCGCCACAGTCAGGTACCTCCAGAACATCAGCTGCACCGGGTGCCTTGTCACCGTCAAGGTATCTCCCAAACGTCGCCCTTGCCATACGTTCATGGTCCCTTTTTTAGGGATTGACCTCTCACCCATCTTCATTGCCGGAACTCGCGCCGCGCTGCTGTACCTCCTCTGTCCGGTACTGACCATCGTCGTCTTCGCGCTCCTTGCAGCCATCGGGGACTGGTGGGGATTAATAGTCCTCGGGATGCTTATTGTCGCTCGGACGATCAATGTCATCGTTATAAAGCGGAGGAGCCGGGTACATTGGAAGGGCGCGAAGGAGGAAGGGTATCTGCATCTGTTCGTGCTCCTTAGTCAGGATCGCTGGGTCCGGTTGGAGGGGACGATTAATAACCTCAAGACAGTGACGGCGGGCCAGTGGTTGCGTGATCAGAGTGCCGAAGAGGCCTTTGCTATAGGGGTCGCTACGCTATTGGTGTATGCATCTGCGGCTCTGGCGAGTAATGCGTCGACTGTGGGAAGTTTGCTCATTGCGTGCTTGTTGTTGTCCTCTGTTGCTTTGTTGGCACTGTGCAATTACTCGACGAAGTGTTTGCAGATGTATGATTGTATGGTTGAGAAGGTTAAGGGAACAAAAGTGGGGTATCCGCGGAGAAAGGAGATGGTGAAGGAACTGATTCATAAAAGTCGGAGGACTGATTGGGCTGATAGGATGGAGCTGGTTACGTCTGAGGAGGTAGCGGAGATTCTTAAGTCTATGCCATCGTCTGACGGTTCAGGGAACTCCAGCCTGTCGAATCAATCGATTTCTACTGGTACCCCCAATTGTTAGCTAGGACGTATATTTATTTTTCTGTATATTAACCAATTATTTCTTCGATCGCACGGCCAGTTCGTATGGAAAACCCGGCATTGAGGAGCTCTGGTAAAAGGATTCCGTGGCACTTAAGATCGTTGTCGTGGTTTCCTATGAGAGCCTTGCGAGAAACAATACTAGAATGTAGACGGACTCGGAAAACATACCGCGTATTTAAAGACTTCCCTTACCTTGAGTCCAAGGAAGACTCGGATAAATGGCTTCGGTTGGTGAGATCTCCGAGTCACTCTGAAATCGATTATTTTCAAATCCACGACATCTGGAAACAGTTTAGTACATACTTCGATATCACGCCGTGAGAGGAATTTTTGAATGAACCTTCATCACCCTCAATGCTAATATCATCGTATGAATTCTCGCCAGCTACAGAGCCATGGAAACAAGTACGTGTCCGTATCTCAGTCATTACTACAGTATCGACCTTTCACCTGTAGTGACTACGAAAAAGTCGGCCGGAATGGAGGATCGCATGCGCAAGTGTGTAGGGGGAGAGGTCGACGGGCATGAACTATTATTAGCTTAGATAGGACAAGAGGAAGCATGCATGGTGGAGAGGGTGACGACGCGGGCGAATGATCAGAGGAAGGAATTTTTTTTGGGTGAAACGTCAATTAAAGGGCTATATTCAGAGATCAGCGTTATCGTTGGATAACGCTGGTGTTACGGTGTTAAATAGTAAATGTTGACAAATAACAATATAACAGAAGTTAACTATATGACACTGCATGATGGTCTCAATAATTGAGCCTGAAATATCGAATTTGAAAGATATTTATTTTAATGATATTTGAGTCTAAAATACAGTAAGAAAACTTTGAATATAGTTTCTATATTTGGGAAAATTGCCTCAAAACTCAAAAGAAATCATGAATATTGAAAACATATTTTGACTATTTCTTAGATATTTTAGGTTCCGATGTTGCTAAAAATAAATATCTTTTGATTTCAATATTTTGGCATTAAATATTGAAGCTACCATGCAGTGTGATGAAGGATCTGGAGAAATTTATGAATGAAGAGTTTTTAAACTGTAAGCGCAGTAAGTGTGAATCCGCAGAACCTCCTAGGGAAAACAAGGCAGGTATAAGAAGGTCCAATGATGTCGCTAAACATGTAGGATGAGATCAAGCTTCAAGCTAAGGGTTATGCCCTTCTCAACAGTTAAATTTATCTTGCGTAACAGCTTATAACAATAGACTCACTGATTCGATCACACAGCAACCGGTCGATGGGGACCACTTTTGGGATGAACTAAACCCATGCCAACAGCCCAATCCTCTCTCTTGCTCTCGAGAACCAGCTTTTCCGCCATATCCAGCCTCCGGTTGTACCTCTCTGGCTCTCCTTCCTTCCGCACGACACAGTCGTACATTTTCAAACATTGAGTCAACGAATTGCACAAGGTTAAAAGAGTGACGGAACAAAGTAACAAGCACGCAATAAGCAAGCTCCCCACTGTCGATGCATTAAAGGCAAGGATGGCGGATGCGTAGATCACCATCGTGGCGAGCGTTACGGAAAAGTTCTCCGTAGCTGAGAGATCTCGGAGCCATTGGCCTGCTGTCACAGTCTTCAGATCATTTATCGACCCCCGCAAACGCACCCAACGGTCCTGACTCAGAAGTATGAGGAGGTCCCCATCACCAGTCTCTGTAGCACCCTTCCATCCTTGCTGATTCCTCCGCTTAATGACGACCACATTGATCAACCTAGCTGAAATGAACATTGCTAGCGCCCCAACCCCCCACCAATCCCCGATAACACTCAGGACCACGAACACCGTGATAGTCGATATAGGACATAGGAAATACATAACAGTTGCAGGAACACCAGCGACGAACGTCGACTGGAGCACCCGGTTTTGGACGGGGACATCAGTGTTTTGAACTCGGAGGGGATTTTGGGACACCCGGGCTGTGACGAGGTGTCCGGGCTGGCCAATGCTTTGTAGGTAGCTCACGGTGGCGGGATTTTCAACGCGAAATACGTATCCGCTGTTCATCGCGCCGGTCGTAGGAAATTCTCCCCGGTTGATTTCATCGGCATGCTGTTGTTTATGCATCCCCGGTACGAGGACAAGTATGTCGAGGAAGCTGGCTCCTCCAGTTAGCGCCGTCCTTAATGCGACAGCAGGGAGGTCTGCGAGGGCGAGGAGCCCTGCGGCTCCGAGGGTTAAGGGGCTTGAGATAGTTGATGTGCGCAGCATGAAAGGAAGCTGAGGAAAAGTGTAGAATTCAGACGTAGGAGGAGAGCTCATGGTGGTGTGTAGGTAAGGAGAAACGCAACGTGAAAGCGTGGCAACGAGTTGGAAAGATGTCCAGTGATTTGTAGATTGCTGTATGATGCTGTAAAGATAAAAGGTTGTTGCGAAAGACTCTGGTATCGCGCCAATCGTTAATCGATCAACACTGCATTGAACAATAGCCGTGGCTAGCGCATGTCGTAAGTAACATAGTAGCATAGCCCACGACGTAGTAACAGCACGAGAATTGGGATACTTTAGCATTCTCTGGATAATAACGATGAGATGATTGACATGCCGGTCAAGAGACAGCATACCGTTGGATGTCCAAGGGTACTAGGCTCGTTCGTTCAAAACCCAAAAGCGAGATGCGTGCATTGATAAGAGATGTGTACCCTGTCGCCGGGGTTCTCGAGGCTCGCAAAGTACAACAAGCGTCAAACATATCTCATGGCGAGGGTCACGATACTGCAGGCATAGTGATACCCTCAATTTGCTACTGGTGGCCTTTGATGAGTTCGTCTGGTCGTGACACAAGCAGGGAGGCGAAAGTGGTCAAGTTTCCGTGCATCTGTTCATCAGGATCGGCTAGTCCTGGAACTGTGTTCGGTATATATGATTCCTAGCTTTACATGATGGGTAATCTCAAGACAACAAAGAACAATGCATACGAACACACCATTGACAGGTTTGGATAATTGGATGTCCCACTGCATCACGACGGTGCCCTCAGTCACCTGGCCTCGCCGAAGTCCCAACGATCGTATATTTGGCTCCTCTTTACCGCTTAGCACCAATCCTAGAGTGGCCCCATAAGACGTTTCTTAAAAATATCTAATACATAACACGCTTCAATTTAATTCATACGAAAAAATATCATGGATTCTCACCTTGGCGTCTTGATATGACCAACCCATCCATCGGTGACCGAATTCTCTATGCCTTTCGTCTCTGTCAGAAGCTCGTGTATGTGATGAACTGTGAATCCTAGTGCTGACACCGAGAGCTCTGGGCTAGCTCAGCCGATAGCCGTGTGCCCACGAAATCGTTCTTGGCCCAGTCCATCTTGCTTTCTTCGGAGAAAATAGGTCACGACTCAGTATTCGAAGGAAAAAATCGAGATAGATAGACGGAATGTAAGGTAAAAACGAGAGAGTACACATGTACAAGACGAAAATGGAAATCGTGAAGGTTGGCCGGAAGCCGGGCCGCATTAGCCGATGCTCCTCCTTGCTACTTACTGCCATCTCCATCTGACATGCTGCTCGGTACCTCGGCCTGGTATTCCGCCAGGGAGGGGGAATCTTTCGCAGAGCTAAGAATGTAGAGGATCAATGTAATACTATCGATATCAGTATCGCGAGGTGCTTTCCATTCTCCCTTTGAGATATTTTACAATATTGATCAGTTCACTAGCAATGACACCGACAAATCTTCATGACGACTAGAGAAAACCGTGCCATCACTTGCTATTCTTGTTGTAAAGGTGTGACTCATTGTTTATATCTCACCAGGAGATACGTCTCGTACCTCACTGGCAGAAGAGTGCCATTGATTGAGAATTTTTGGCGCAGCTCTGCGCGTCGTGGTCTGCGATCTGATGAAAAGGTGCTTCTACCATTATAACCGTTTTAACATATAAATCATTTCGTATTCCAGCTGAAGTAATCACCGAAAGTCCGTTACAGCTTATGGGATGCCGAAATTTACAGCGGTTCTGGAGTATCAGTCCACCGCACCGCGAGGCAATGCTTAACAGCTTCTCGCACTTTTATGACAATTTATCGAGATTGAAGGGCCGCGTGCTAGTCATGCGCAGCATGCATAGGATACAGCTTTGTTTGCCAGTGGCGCCACGGTGCCTCAGTGCCGCTGCCGCTCAGCGCTTACGGTCACACGATTGTATACCCACGGGGTAAACCTTGTTCGATGCCACCCGAAAGTCCCGATCAGCGTCAAATGAATAGTCGAATATTACGGCCTTCAGGGTCATCCTCCCATGGGTGCATAATACCAACATTGAAAAAGCACACTACTTCACTGACAATGAAAACCTTAGACGTCGCAAATACGAGCTCACGTTCTTCTCAGCTCTCAAGTCACAGCTTTGCGGATAATGGGAGGGATTACTCATCAATGAACGAGGTGGGCATCAATCTAGACGTGTCGTTTCAATGTTCTGATTTTGATGAAGCTACAGAGACACATTTCCGACCCCGAGAACTAACACAACAGCATGTCGTACTTGGAAATCCGGCGTTTTATAAGAGACCCTGCAATCCTTCATCTCTCAGTTCCAGTCGTCGACGTCCTCGTCTCCCCAGTGTTTGACACCTCGCGATGTTTTTTGGCACTTCCGCTCTCCCAGGGCACATCACCCTTGATGCTGCCGGGCTTGTAGCACTAGCCGATCTTTCTGCTGTCGCTCTGAGGACAGCTTTCATGGGGACGGCTTCCTACCTCGACATTCTCGTCCTTGCACCAGGAATGCACACCCAACAATCCGCCGACGACGTCAATCGCGGCGAGTTCCCCACGACTGGCTCGATGACCACCGGAAATATCTTCCGTATCGAAAACCCAGCCACAGTCAGGTACCTCCAGAACATCAGTTGCACCGGATGCCTTGTCAATGTCAAGGTATCTCCAAAACCTCGTTCCCGCCATACGTTCAGAATCCCTCTTTTAGGGATTGACCTCTCTCCCATCTTCATCGCCGGAACTCGCGCAGCACTGCTGTACCTCCTCTGTCCGGTATTGACCATTGTCGTCTTCGCGCTCCTTGCAGCGATCAGGGACTGGTGGGGATTAATAGTCCTTGGGATGCTTATTGTCGCTCGGACGATCAATGTCATCGTTATAAAGCGGAGGAGCCGGGTGCATTGGAAGGGGGCAAAAGAAGAAGGGTATCTGCATCTGTTCGTGCTCCTTAGTCAGGATCGCTGGGTCCGGTTGGAGGGGACGATTAATAATCTCAAGATGGTGACGGCAGGCCAGTGGTTGCGTGATCAGAGTGCCGAAGAGGCCTTTGCCATCGGGGTCGCTACGCTATTGGTGTATGCATCTGCGGCTCTGGCAAGTAATGCATCGACTGCTGGAAGTTTGCTCATTGCATGCTTGTTGTTGTCCTCGGTTGCTTTGTTGGCTGTGTGCAATTACTCGACGAAGTGTTTGCAGATGTATGGTTGTGTGGTTGAGAAGGCTAGGGGAACGAGGCAGTACGCGCGGAGAAAGGAGATGGTGAAGGAACTGATTCATGAGAGTGGGAGGAGTGATTGGGCTAATGGGATGGAGCTGGTTACTTCTGAGGAGGTAAAGGAGATTCTGATGTCCATGCCACCGTGTGATAGTTCAGGGAACTCTAGCCTGTCGAATCAATCGATTTCTACTGGTATCCCCAATTGTTAGCTAGGGCATGTATTTATTTTTCTGTATACTAACCAATTATTTCCTCAATCACATGGCCAGTTCTTCCTCTCTGTATGAGAGCCTTGTGAGAAACAATACTAGAATGTACTAGACGGACTCGGCAAACATACCTCGTATCTAAAGACTTAATAAAAAAAATGCGTGATCACGCGATTTTATGCCAGTAAAAGATTTAAAAAGAACAATCATAGGCTGAGGTAGCAGACGTAATGGAAGAGTAGATGGTGTGAAGTTGAGAAAGGATTAGAAGCAGGTAAACGGTCACGAGTCTAGGAAGCAGGAACGCGGGTCTGACAATTGATGGCAACTTCCTCTTTTGCTAGCACCACCATGTTCGATCGTCTACTCCTGGCACCAATCGATTCTCAACTCTCTGAATAGCCGGATGAACTCGTCATTTAAACTTTTTGTCGTCGTTGACCCAGACAGCAGAAACTTCGATAACACGTACGGAATCCTAGGAAGTTTGGATGGTTCCATCGAGGAGGGTAGTGCCCGCTTGTAAATTTTGACTTCTGGTACGTGACGTCTTGCATTCTATCGTATCTGAAGCACTGACTCGTCGCAGAATGCCTATACTCTACCAAATTCATGTTCGTTTGACCTAACCTCTCCGGATCCTGCTCCAAGGATTACAGCTCCATGGGCAGAGAGGTCGTGTCGACAGCGTGCTCATTGGCCGGATCAGACGTGTGTGATGGCTTTATGAGCTTGGCGGCTATGACCCTAACGCTATTCTGGCTAGCGTTAGCGTAGACATTCTCGTTGACTTTAAAGGTGAGTTGTCGATTGTTGCTTTGCTTCTCTGTGGCCAACTCGCTTTCCTATAGATTCTCCTCCCGGTTCTTCCCGTTGGATCCCTCCATGCACTTTCGACATCGCCCCTTCTCCAACGACGCGTATAGCCTTAGTCTCCATATGTCGGTCCATGATTGCGCTGAGACGACGTATCGTATTCTGGCGCGCGCTTTGCTGGCGATGACCAGAGACGGTAGTAAGTCGAACTGGTAGGTCGGGACGGCCAGGATTGAAGGATGGACTCGTTACATGCGGTGGAAGGATGTTGGAGTTTGATCATGGTGAGTCGCCAACCATCCAGTCAATATCCTCGCTAAAACTCTTTCTCCTCTCCCAGGAATTGTTTCCTTTTCTTCTCGACAGCGTCTGCCTCACTTGTCAATGTTCAACACCAAAGCTTGCCACGATTTTCGTCTTGATTCGGCAGCCCTAGTTCAAGGCAAGAAGGGTACGAATGACCGATGGGTGAGAAGATTTGAAAGAGACTAGAACGGGTCCAATCACCAGTCTGTGCGGTCGTGTTCATCCATCTTCACGCAATAATTCCATTCTGTACCTTGCCTACCGTCTGCTCCGCCATGACGAAGGTCGACGAATCGGAACCGCCTAAGCAGGAGTGGTTATGGAGAGGAGGGTTACGGAGTGGCTCAGTTCCATCTACTTGAGAGGTATGTGCTTAGCAGTTGACACGCACGCGTGAAGTATTCACTTTGATGCGCAGGTAGCTATCGATGCCCAGATCTCAAGCCGGTATCGATCCTGACCCTCTTTTATGACCTGCGTAACATCTTTTGCTGTGGTATGTGCTTTTTTTTTCGGTGTGACATCTTTTTTTCATTTACACCAGTAATATCAGCAACTTCCAATTCCCAGGCTACGGTGAAATTGACGATATACTTCATCTGTCATCGCCTACGGTATGTTTACCTTCTTATCGTCCATTCTCTCTTCATTGACCATCTTGCAAGAACAGTATTAAGCTTGTGCGTGCCCTTCAAGATGCGGAAAGCTCTACTCGAGTAGACCGGATGCATCATTCCAAAAATGCGAACTAGGCTAATAGCTTCTTAACCTATCCTCCCACCACTTGATTTGAAACTTTTTACTGGGAGCCTCGCGTGTGATTCCTGCGAACTGTCCCCTCTCCCCGCTGTCTGCCTTGCCAACACTGATGAGCAAGAGCATGAACTTCACTTTGGTCACATCAATTCCGACGCCGGGGAAGACGGCCGGTGTCGCACTTCAAAATGTCCACTGTATTCTGGTTCGTCACTTCTAGTTTGAGGGCCGCATTTGCAGTCGGAAAGGAAGAAACAGGGAGCACTAAAAGCGCTCAAAGTTCTGGAATGGAGGAAGAGGAGGGTGGGACACTTTAAACCGTCCTTTTTTAACCAATCCACATTAAGACACCCACGAACCAATGTGGTCAGACTATTCCGAAAAGCTACGGGCAATGTTAGTCTCTAAAGATTTAGTACGCAAAATAAAATACTCACAAATAGCCCTTGTCCACGCTCTATGGTGGTCGATCGGTCGCTTAGACCCTGATAAACACCCTCGATGTCGCACAGAAGTTTGGTTGACGTGACATCACCTCAGTCCCCGGTTCTTTCCAAACGAAGACCTTTTGTTCGCACCCCCCTGTTACTTTCTTTACCCACCGAACTGTTGGAGCGCATCATTTATGAATCCTGTAATACTGGCCGCAGGGCCCTCCGATGCACATGCATGCTCTTGTGCAGGTTCGCCACACCCTTCGTCTTTGAGACATTGGTCATCGACACAGAGACCATGTCTCTGTCCAATTCCCGGGATCGGCTGAGATTCTTCAGAGCCCTCGCTTCGGGGAAGACATTTACGCGATATGTAAGATATCTACACCTCATCTCGCTGGAGCTCCCAGAAGGGAGATGTACACTGGTCTCGTTGGACCGAAGGCGGAGGGAAAGGAACTCCAAGAAGCTGGAGGAGCTCCTCGTTGCTGCGATACCGCTTATGACATCGCTGCGGGGTGTTCAATACGATGGAGTTGAGAGGAGACTCCGAGAAAATGGTGTTCTTTGGGACCAGATAAGGTCTCTGCCTTCCATCTCTATGTTTAGTTGGATAGGATACCCGGTTCCCATCACCAACTTCCCCCATCTCACCCAACTCAGCATCAGAGGACACCTCTTCTCCAGATCTGTAGCCATCCTCATATCGAACAGCCCCCATCTATCATCACTCAGTGTCTTATCTACTAATTTTCCCGGATATAACCCATCCGTGCTCGCTTTCTTTCGCCAGTATCCCCCAGGAAAGTACAGCTCCATCACTAATCTCTCCCTCTGCGGTAATTTGGCCGTGTTCCAGTCCGACGTACCTCTCCTAATTCCTCACCTTTGCCAGCTACAATCTCTCGAGCTCAGTATAAATTTTGTAGCATCCGAGTTCTGGGCGTCACTACAGGCGGAACGGATATTCGTTCGACGGTTGTCCCTTTCCCTCTTGAGAGACGATCCTATGTTGTTTGACTATTTATGTTCATATTCGGGATTGGATAGTCTCTTCCTACTCATCAGGAGGGGCTCCGGGGAAGCGACCCAGAAAGGTATGGAAAGGGTACGCGAGAGACATGGGGAGATGTTGCAGAAGTGTGAGCCCCCAGGGCTCCAATTCGGAGAGTATGATGCTGAGGACAATTCTTGGTCTTGGAAGATAAGTGAAGCCGTGTGGATGCGTAAATGGGGGCTTGACCAGCATAGTCGCATGTGTGGTATTTGTATATTATAAGAAAGAGCTGTTGTTATTCAGAATCAATTGTCGGTATTCAAGGAGATTCCTTAGGGGTTATCTACAGGCACCGAACTGTAGAAAGAATACGTATTCAGAATTATCAATAACAGAGCAGGTGCTATCAGTCTAAGGTAGTAGCAAATACGGGGTCATGGATACCTTGACATTGCGATGAGCTTTGTTCTGTGAAGCTCGCATTTAGGCAGACGTACCTTCTTCTTCCAACAGCTTTCGCGCGATGGCCTCCGTTGCGCCTTCCTTAAACTGAGGCATTTCTGATGGATCCATGCCCAAGTAACCACGGCGGAACGTCTTCTGCTGCGTGACGACCATGAATTGACCGTGCAGTACCTCTCCTACCATTGAGAACCTTGCACCCATACGGCTGACCCGTACGTCGATGGTTTGCCATGCCGCGAGAAATTTTGTCACCGGCCTATTTTCGAGTCTTGAAGCCCATTCAAGAGCCGTTTCTGGGCTGATGAGGAAGCCTCCTTGTAGACGATGTCGAGGTATGCGTGTTGTTTGAGGGACCGTGGATTCCTGTGTGACGTTCGACATGAGGTTGAGTTGAGGATGGGTTAGGAGGTCAAGAGAGTGACACAGAGTCTCAGTCCATGGCGGTTGTTATCAACATTTAGGCGTGGGAATATTGTATCTTCCGTGTTCGGAACTTCGGACCGCGCACTTCTAGCCTTCCTCTCCACTCATGGATTCAGCAAAATCGTTTGGTTTTCAAAATGAGTCGATCTACCAGCAGCTCTCGTTGTTGATTGGCGTTGTGCATTGAAACAACGAGATCTACTCAGGTCATCCGGGATTTGGGATTCTGGCTGTACAGGACCAGCCGTCTTCCAGGTATGTCTCGGTCGAGTTTGAGTTGATCTGAAGTTGATGGAAGGAAAAATAGGTGATTTACGACAAACAAAGGCCTTCCGTTGGAGTAATTAGGTAAGCTTTGTTGATGAGGTCCTCCAGCAAGAAACCGCCGCTGCAAGACGACCGGAAGTTCGAATATTGGGACGCGACATGCACGGCGCGGGGTCAAAACTAAGGCAGATCGTTAGAGGCCATTTGCATCCGCGAACATCGATAATGGTAGTGAAGTCACGGTGATCACAACTTCCTCTTTTGCCAAAACCACCGTGACCAATCCTCTGCGTCCAGTGCTTGCGACGTTGATTCTCTGGCGAAATAGTCATCACTTGTGAGAGATCAACGGCCTTAGTATCAATGATCTCGAGGTGCAGAGTGTAGGTACGCGTTATCCCGCCTTGCTCTGGTTCGCTCTGCTAAAATGTCGTCTTGCAGTATTGGTTGAACAGGATGAACTCATCATTCTTGGATCCTTTGGCGTCACTTGTCCAGCCGCTAGAGCTTCGATAACATTGGGGGAATGACAGGGAGAGTCGTGGAGAGGCTGATGGAATGAGAAGCTGGTGAACTTTGGCTGTCAGGTACGTAGTATTTTGCACTCGCGGATATTTAGAATGCTGATTCGTTCTAAGACACTCGTACTTCTGTATCCATTAGAAATCACTACGGATATGTCGCGCCGTGACCCAGTCTTTCCACCACAAGGATGCAAACTCGGGAAGATCGTACTCAAAGTCCCGAAGAACTTCATGGGCAGAGAAAGCGTCTTTATAGCATGCGCGTTAGTTGAAGTGATGGCTACTGTATGATATCGATGGCCGTAACCTGCTTCCCCAGCACTCTGCACACAACCTCGGGTGCTCGACGGAAAACACCTTGACAATATTCGCGACTGCGTGACTTTCCCCGCTGGATAACGAATGCAACACGACGGCGGAGCCGTCTCGTCTGAACGGGGGTTAGTCGTTACTATAAGCTGTGATCCTCGACTATAGACTTGCCCGCCGTCTCGACCGACATCCAAGCGGTCAGCTCGCCTTTTACAAGTTTTCCAGTGCTGGGTTCACCTCTTTTTCGCATCGAGTTCCCTTGCGGATGTGCCCCTGCTCGTTTTGTGGATAGCGCCAGAAATGGCATGCCGTTTTCGACTCGCTCACTTTCTATTCCTGGATCTCCATACGTGCCCATTGCCTGGCTCTGTGTTCCTCTCTCTCTCTCGTTTGTGGTCTAACTATTGCACATGTTATTTTCCCGTGAACGCTCGCTCTCGTTGTTCCCTTTCCTCCGCAATCCGTCCGAAAACGAATCTCAAAATACCGAGTCGGGTCGAGACAACGTATCGCGTTCCGGCGAGCGATATGCGGGGATGCTTGAGAATGATAGGGAGTTTGGGCAGTGGGATGGAGGGAATCGTCCGGAAGGATGGGTTTCCCTATGTGTAGGAAGCATCGGCGTACTCTCCGGCTGTGGGAGTGGGCTTTGGCTTTGATCACGGTAAGGCGTTCACTATTCAACAATCGATCTACATGCTAAAAACATCTCTCCCAGGCCCTATCTCTTCCTTCTCCTCGCGACTGTGTTCGCTTCACGGATACAACTTATTGACGCCGAGCCAACAGGAGAATTTCCAGCCAATTTTTAGATCGAGTACGCAGACCATGATTGAGGCAAGAAGGCACACGGATGGCGCTGGGTGGGGTGATGGGAGGCTACTTCCACTCGCAAAGGGCTCCAACGGCAAGCGTTGAAATGCCTGTGTCTCAACGAACGTCGACTGATTGACACGACGACAAGTCACCTGCTATTTTGATACCAACAGAAATTTTCGCTATTTTGGGGTCGACAACGCTGAGTATTCCGTGAGCTTCTTCCACTCCGGTACCGATGTGGATCCCATCACTAGTTCGCTGATTAGTTCTGCTGGAACTGATTGATTCCTCTTCAAGATGTCGTCTACTTACGGGTGTCCACCTTCGAGATCGTTAATGATTAGGGAAAGATACACGCCAAAAATTTCCAAGTTACTATTTCTGTGAGGACTTAGGAACTTCTCGTCAATAACGCGTCCTCTTCAGGCAGGCCGGAATCGAATTCCTGGGCGCCTATCGAGTTCGTCCATCTTGTCGTATGATTTCTAAGGGCGGCTCGATGGCATCGGCCCGGCCTTTCTCTTCGTGGGACATGGCGTCTAATCCTTCGGGTAGTACAGCCTCGTTGCAAACATGCCTTGGTACTGCACCCCATCGACCTCCTGAACTCACAATAGTACGTGTGCTTGTGCTGCTCTTAATATGTCACATCCTCATTCTGGCTGCGACTAGGAATACTTGATGGATGGGGCCAAATGGTATCTCCGTTATTTTGATGATATCACGTTTAAAAGTGGTGTGGCCATAGCTCTGGGTAAGCGTATAAGAACTCGAAAAGAATGGCGTTAATCAGGACACGGTATAGACCACTACAAGTATGAGAATATGCCTGAGGTCACCCTCTCCGCTCCCACTGAGACCGGCCAAATGGCATCTATTCCAGTGCGAAGCCAACAGTCTTACACCGGCAGGAAACCCGTCATACCATCCACTCTTGCCGACACCCCCTGTGCCAACTTCACCGTTCAGAAACTCTTGAAGAAATTCAACACCACCCTCGGCACATCATACACTCGGCCCACGGGAGGAGTATACTCTGCTCTTGAGGACTGCATCTCGAAAAATTATGACTTTGGCACCGCATACGCCCATCTCCGCCCCTTTTGGAACGACTTGGAGAAGTTGACCACCATAGTAGATGAACTATCTAATCGCGAAGTGCGATACCAAAAGATGCTGCAGGATGTACTTGTTGAAGACAGAATCATCTCCACAAGTGTACCCCCTCGGCGTGTCTGGGATCTGTATAGTAATCGGGTGGTGCCATACTGGGTCGCCCGACAATGGCCGTGGGGGATATCACATTCATGGGCGGATGAAGATGATCGTGAGGATGCGTTGACGCCCATCAATGGACGCGAATGGCCCGTGCCGATCCCTAAAGGTACCAGCCTGAATCTCATCCGGATTGAGATGCTCAATCTGGGAGCAGAGTACGCGTGGTTAGATGTGCTCTGTTTGAGACAGAAAGGCGGGCTAAGGGCCCGGGAGGACCTGCGTGAGAAAGAGTGGAAGGTTGACGTGCCCACTATCGGAGGAGTGTATCATAATAGATACGCCGAAGTGGTGTTCTACTTGAGTGGGTTAGGACCGCCTTTGAACTCCAAGGCTGATGACCTTGTGAGTGACCGATGTTGGTTCAAGCGTGCATGGACGCTACAGGAGATGCCGAGCTCGGAACATCCGGTGATCATTGGTGGGGACACCGGCGACACAGGGCTACGGGACAAGCTTGAGAAGCTGCTATGGTCGCTAAAGAATAATGGAAGGACGTATGACGTGCTGCCGCAGATGCAGAAGCGGGTATCGACAAAGAGTGTCGATAAAGTTGTGGGGTTGGCATACCTTCTGCGTTCAGACTTTATGCCAGCGTACTATGAAAGTCAGTCTGAGGAGGATGCGTGGACAGCACTAGTAGCCGTGGCAGGGGGCTGGTCTCAGGCGGAGCTCCTATTCCTGTATCCTAAACCTGGGGATGGAAACAAAATCTGGCGGCCATCATGGAAGCAGGTCATGACTGAGGAGCTTCCAACACGGAGTCCGCTTCTTTATCGCTGGGCTTCCGAGACATATGTGGACTCATACCCAGGCAAGCATGCATATATTATCGAATCGGCCTCTGTGCGAGGATTGTCCAAGGGAGACTCACAAGGGAAGGATCGACGGGGACATATCATCGTCAAAGATAACACCGGGACGGAGTGTATATTTGACATTGTCGCCCGTCATCAATATCCGATACCAGATGATTCATACACGTTGTTGGGTACAATAGGCCTATCTGAAGCAGCAGACGTGCTACTCTGCGTATGCTGGGTAGTCGGGCGGAGACTGCAAGATCAGAGGCTAAAAAAGTTGTCGGTATTTGAAATGCACGACTTCGAGGAAATGCACGATCCCCAGCGGATGTTCCGCCCCAGGTACAACCAGACGTCCCTTCCAGATGGAGTGCTTGACTCGCCAGTTCGGACCAGACGTTCCCCGTTAAGACCACCCCACCAACCTCGTGTGCGAGAGCGTTTTGGTTTTAACAATCGTACTCCGGTCAAGATGACAAGTATGGTGTTCCGAGGCATTGCTACGAAGGCTCCTGTTACCTTTCTCGCGTGATGAATAAATGTTCGCAATACATTTGGAACGTGAATGCATAATTCCGGTAATATGCCCATCTCTACCTAACAGCTTGTTTATATGCATTACACATTAGAACACAATGTATCGCATGAAAGTTGGGAGCCATCACAAGCGTGGCAAGATCGAGTCCTCAAGTGTTTTCGTGAAACGAATGTCGACTAGATTCACATTACTTGCATCCACCGAATGCGGCGCTAAAAGGTGATGAAGCTACTATTAGCGAAATGTGAAGGGCCAATTCCTGAAGTCGATATCAGCCTTCGAGAGCCATTTATGGGCTGATGAGGAAGCCTCCTTGAAGACGAGGTTGAGGTACACACATTAGCCGGGGGATTGTGGATTTCTGTATAACGTTCGACATGATGTCGAGGGAGGGCAAGAAGGCTAAGAGAGAGGCACTGAGTCAGTCCATCATCGTTGTGATCAACATATAGGCATGGGAATATTGTATCTCCTCTGTCCGGAACTTCGGACCGCGCACTTCAAGCTAACCTTCCTCTCCACTCTTGGACTTAGCAAAATCGTTTAGTTTAAGAACGAGGGTCAATCTACCAGCATTCGTCGATTTGAAATGTGCATTGAAACAACGACATCTACTCTAATCACCCGGGAATCGGGATTCTGGCTGTACAGGACTTCAAACGAGCTGGAGTAGCGGTCTTCTAGGTATGTCTCGATCAAATTTGAGTCGATCTGAGGTTACGGAAGGAAAAATGGGTTATTTATGACAAATACAGGCCTCTCATCGGAGGAATTGGGTCATTTTTGTTGATGAAGTCCTCCAACAAGAAGCTGGTGCTACAAGAAGAGGTCCAGAAGTTCGAATATTGAGGTGGTCAAAGCGGAGGCCGATCGTTTGACGTACTCAGAGACCATTCGCGTGAGAGTGGTCAGAAAACCACATTCGCGAGAACCGATGATGGTGGTGAAGTACCTACCGTACCTACCCTGGTGAAGTCACGGTGATCACACTGTTCCTTTTTTGCTAAAACCACATGTCCAATCCTCTACGTCCGGTGCTTGCGACGTTGATTCTCTGGTGAAATAGTCATCACTTGTGAGAGATCAATGGCCTTAGTATCAGGTACAGAGTGTAGGTACGCGTTATCCTGCCTTGTTCTGGTTCGCCCTGCTGAAATGTCGTCTTGCAGTATTAGTTACAGAACGGGATGAACTCGTCATTCTTGGGTCCTTTGGCATCACTTGTCCAGCCAGTAAAGCTTCGTGGAATCATGACAGGAAGGGCTGAGTAGTCGTTGAGGGCTAAGCTGGTGAACTTCTGTTGTCTGGTACGTAGTATTTTGCACTCGCGAATATTTAGAGTGCTGATTCGTCTTAAGACACTCGTACTTTTGCATCGACATAGAAATCACCACGGATATGTCGCACTGTGACTTAGCCTCTCCACTACAAAAATGCAAACTTGGGAAGATCGTCTTCGTGGTATGTGCGTTGGTTGAAAGTGATGGCTACTGTATGATATTGACGACCGTAACCTTAACATCTACCTCGCCAGCACTGCATACGACCTCAAAACGTGCTTGACGATGATTGTGACGTTGTAGTACTTTCTGGAGTGTTGTGCAAAGTGTGAAGATTCAAAGGGAAGTAGAGATTACGGAGGTTTAAATAGTGCAGGGCGGGATCTTGGCATCTTGCACAAAAGCAAGAAACAAGTTGGGTTCGGCTAATCCCGACACCTCTTTTCTTTATACCACTTGCACTGATCGTGCATTACGGCAGCACATTCAGCTAGGCGCAACCGTCTTGTATAGCTTAACTATGCTTCCTCTACGATGCTACGCCAAATCTGACGCGTCCTCGAAGCAAGCTGTCCTCCATCGACACACGTCAAAATACGTCTGAATCAGGCAATGGTGGAGAACATACCTAGTTTTTCTATACGTTCTCTGCAGCTCCTGTACTCATGACCAGGTAGGAATGAAATCACTCCTTAGGCCTTGGGACTGTCCTACAAGCTTGCTCACGGCTCATCGTCTCTTCCTGCACCCTTTCTCCCCTCACACAACAACCCAGCCAAACCACAGACTTTTCTTCCGTCTCTTACTGTGTATACAAAACTGCAGCAGTCAAATCTGAATCTGCGCATACTGGCTGTCTTCGATCCTGAGCGATCAAAACGCAACGTTGCTAGAGGGGGCGATCCCGAGGTCCTCAAGTCCACCTATTTTACTCTCCTGGAACTGATTTTGTCATCATTCGATTGTTGAACGTTGACGTCAAGTATCTGTCCAAAGAAAGTTATGGCACTCCACTCAACCTCCCCAATTCTGACGAGGAGATATTCAGCATATTCAAATTGATAAAATCTGCCGGAAAGAACATTCGCTATGACTTTGAATTAATCCCTATTTTTCAGCGCCAATTTTCTTTGATTCGTGTATTCGTTATCTTCAGACGAGCCTCGATGTCCTCGTTGATGATTGTGACGACGTACTTTCTGGAGTGTTGTGCAAAACATAAAGATCCGAAGGGAAGGAGAACTTACAGAGGTTTAGATACTCTATAGTTGATCGAAAAATAAAGTAGGGAGTACGATAATCAAAAACGATAGCATGAACAAAAAATGACAGTCTAAATCAAGCCCAAAGTCTCACCCCGACTTTCAGTTGCTCGTCATGAGCTTTATGGCGTCCTTTCAATGACTACCACGAGCTCATCTGACCGCTCCCGTTGAGCCTCAATGTCTATTTCAAGGACTGCGCTCTGTGCAGTGAATTCCTGGAAGCTTGAAGTGGAAGGTTGCGAAGGTTGAGAAGATTGAGAAGCTAATTGGAAACGAAGGGTCGACACCGGCGCACTTTCATCATGTTGTTCGGTTGGCTGTGTGTGTCCTGCCGCTGCTCTGCCAACAAGGAGCGTGGGTGCAACTCCCTATACAAGATGTTTGATAAACGACGAGTCCAGGATAGTGAACACACCTTCACAATGCCAGCTATTACGTCAGGGTAAAACGATCTAAAATCCTTGCGAATGACGAAAGTCAAGAATACGACCAGAGCTATCGAATAGAGAGCGGAGGATTCCACTAGCACTCCAATAAAATGGCGATAAACTCTCAGCCGGTCGCCTGCTCCGCATCTAACTCCGGTCACAGTCAAAATGCGAAAAATGATGAACAGCGTGCACCATAATGTTGTTGCCAGGACGAAGGATGCATAGAGTATAGGGAATACTTCGTACGATGCATTGAAGTACTCAAGGTATATTTCGATGATTTTGAACACTACACATAAAGTTCAAGTTGGATATATGAAAAGAGGAGATGGGATCAGACACTTTACCAGTTGCGGAAATTAAAGAAAGGATTGGAAGCAGAACAATAAGCCAGCGGCGCCCCCAGACCATCCAACAGCACCAAATCTAGAGTCGAAAAGATGGTAAGCTGATGCGGATAATCACCAGCAAAGGAGCACATACGATATATAAGTCTGCGAGAATGGTACTCATAGAGGATGGAATACCTGACTCCCAAAAGAATGCTTGGTTCACGCTGTTAAGCTTCGAAAATACGGTCCAAAAACTCTGTCCGTTTTGGATGAATACGGAGCATAGAAATGACCATTGGGCAGCGAAATTGATAGTAATCAGAGCATGAAGGAGGACAATAACGACAACTGGCAAGGCTCGTTGGATCGGCCAGCATTTGTTGATGACTGTGCCACTCATGTCAGCTTGTATGTCGTAGACTCATAGTAGAGATATTCCTAGCTCACATATATTCCACAATGCAACAGCAAGAATGCCGGTGTATATGCCTGCCATCAGTCAACACGTACTTGTCAAGGCACTAAATGTCATTGCCCACCGTGCAATAGCGCGAGGAGAATTATGGAGTTCAGGTTAATGTCGAGATATTGCAATATGAAAGCTTTCTCGTCATTGGTAAGATTGGGTGGAATATCTGCCTGAATCGCCATGAGGAAAAGTAAGAGAAACGGGGTAGTGGGTTATGAGAATAACACGTACTGACCTACCATTATAACAGTGCAGCTCATGGCCATGCTCATTGGCTGCTGCAAAGACGCCCATCGGTATCAAGTTGATCCCGGATCCTAACGTGTCGAATGTGTTCGGCAGATTACTGAGCTATTGATAGTTTCGGCAACTCGCAACAGAGACGCAACTCGAAGTGAGATATTCTTGGGAAAGGCCCTGTATCATAGGAAAAGTGGCGATGCAAACTGCAAGCCTCTCAGATATTGGTTCTGTTGAATCACGGAAGAAGTTGCATCGTGGAAGAGAATCAAACAAACCATCATGATTCATGATGAGATTTTAGCATAGCTGTCAGACTGAGCTTGTTCCGCCATAACGAGAGTGTGCGATCACTACAATGGGCGCAGATGGACGCGCGCGCGGCACTTTTACCGACCCTGAAGTCGTCAGCGCATCTGCCCCTGATCACAGTTCTGACTGGCCAACCTGTGGTGTTTTCAGCGCCGACTCCCATACTTGAGCCGGGACTTGACTGCCAGCCTCGGCTCAAGGGTTCTAGTGTCATTCGCATACCTTTTTTTGTCTTCAGCGTTATATGTCCTCATGATGTAATGTCTTTTCAGCGCTGACCGAGATCGTAACACGATGAGTTTTTTTTATCTTCAGCGTTGTGTGTCTTCACGATGTAATCCCTTTTGGTCGACTGTACATCGACGTTGGGTACGACATTTGTTAGGAACATCGAATTCAGGGGGATATGTTGAAGCAAGTTTTGTCCTAAAGACATGTAGATTTTTCCGCCAAAGACATCCAATAAAATGGGTTTAAAGCTTGCTTTACGCAAGTCTAATTGCGGCAAGGGCAGAACGGAGATTGGCGCCGGATGCCAAAAATCAATCTATCCAGGGGACCGGGATCCTCACAGAGATTTCAGCCCGACACTTGCTCAAAGACCGGGTTCTCGCAGGTGTCTCTCGGCCGGTTCCTGGTAAGCTTGAACACGTCCGTCGTCTAATTATTGTCTTGAGAACCAGACACCTGGGAATGTTTTCACCCACGCAACCCAATTTCCTAAGAATGTCTTCACTGCTCATCCCGGCTCTATCGTTCTCCGGCATTAGGTATTGGCCGTACCGGCCCTTCCGAATGTGTGGCTTTCCCGGCGGGATGACGAATACAACACGATGGCGGAGCCGTCTCGTCTGAACGAGGGTTAGCCGTCATCATAATAGAAAGAAGGATAATATACTAACTGTGACTCTCAATTATAATACTTGCCGCCCTCTAGACCGACATCCAAGTGGTCGGCTCACGTTTTCCAGTGTTGGGTTCACCTCTCTTTCGCGTCGCGTTCCCTTGCAAAATACCGAGTCGAGTCGAGACAACGTATCACGTTCCGGCGAGCGATATGGGAGGATGCCTGAGAACGACAAGGACTCGGAGTTTGGGCAGTGAGATGGAGTTGACTCTCGTGAGAAAGTATGGTCCGTTTCGTGTACATCTCTATTAGATAGATACTAGTAATTCTTCGTGCTGTTTTTCGACCGTGACGCGTTCGTCCACGTGATCTCGTCATCAAACTTTGCAATCTCTCCAACACCGTCGTTGCCCAAGCTTGACCCAGCCTCTGGGGTGGCTTCCACCAGAATTTTTCAATCGTGACATCGAATCGTCGGAATCAAGACACTTCTTTCGAAAGCATGAAATAATAGAATGTCTGTGTCGTCTTCCAATACGCTTTCTCCCTTGCGCAGCACGGAAGATTCGGTTCATACAACGAAGCACCACTCCGTACGTGACGCGTGATCCATGAAAATCTGGAAATATCCTGACGCGCAATGCAGCTCAGCATCCCACCTGAACTCATCGACGAAATCATCGATTACCTCTGGGATGACAAAGACGCGCTTATTGCCTGTTCTTTTGTCTGCCAACTGTTCTACCTCCGCACCCGCGTACACCTTTTGCACAGCATCGAGCTCAAGCACGCACCCGACGATTCAGCATCCCAAAGCATCCTCCCGTACATCAAGAACATCACGATCCGCCGGGGCGCTAGTCCAATCCCCAGCCTAGCCCCATTCCTATCATCCCTTCCAAACCTAACCGCCCTCATCCTCGACAGTCTCCAATTCCCCGATCCATGGTCACTCCACCACCTCATCTGCCAGGTCCCCGGGCTAGCGAGCCTCGAATTGAGCGCGATGCGATTCCGGCAGGATTTTCTGGTAGAGCTCGGGAGCGTTGGCAGTGGGTTGCTTCCGAAGATCAACAAGATATCGATGTGGGGGACGTCGTTCCATGCATCCGTCGTGGAGTTTCTCATCCATCGAAGGGAGCTGCGAGCGGTATATGTGGATTCCCTGCGTGAGCTTTGTGTCATGTACCCCCCTGGGGAGTACCTCTCTTCGATATGCGCATTTGTTCGTGCGGCGAGATCACTGAGGAGCTTGGATATTCGGATTCGTCAGACGAGTGAGTGAGGTCCTTGTTTTTCTGTCTAACGTACACTGATGATGGTTTGAATGAATTGAAGTGTATCGTATAAACACAATATCGGAATGGTCGACTCAGCCCGACGTGCTTCCTCTAACGATGCGGATGTTGAAGATTGAGATGGAGTGTGACCGTTCCTGTTGGCATGTCAAAGCCATGAGATGGTTGCTCGATTCTCTAATCGGCGCTAATGAACCTATCATGTTGGAGACGCTTACACTGGTGGTAGTGCCCCCCATATTTTTGTATGGCATTATGGATGATAACGCGTGGGAGAGAAATGTATGGGAGAGACAGTGGTCGAGGTTGGACGAGATCTTGACAGGCTCGGATATGAAGATGTTTCGACGGCTAAAGGTGATACCCAAGCCTCACGCGCACATTGAGCGCTTTATTTTGGAAGGACCGGATTTCAGAGAGTGGGTCCGTGGAAGGCTCCCGTTCCTAGGCGGGAAGGGCATGCTCGACATAGTTACCGTATGTAGTTCGTGAATTAGATAGAGATGACAAAATGTATATATCATTTACTGTTCTGTATGATAAGATGCCTGTTCTGACATAAACCAACAAGCAGTAACTCGTCTCGTAGGTAGTACACCAGCAGGTCTTCTTCCTAACATTCCGATCTATTTATCGCCGGTACACCGCGCACACGCGTCGGAGACGATATGACATCTTGAGAAAAAAGACTCTTCTGAGTCATCGCATTCGATGCAGCCAATAAGAAAGGTTGATCAGTAGACGAAGGTGGAGGACAGCGTTGGGGGATCCGAATCATTGTTGCTCTCGAGTTTTGAGATGGTGGTGCAGTAGACGTGTCATCGTTTCTGGGTGTGAACCACCCGTCATGTTCACTGTCGAACTGTAACTAGCAAGCTGAGGCCTATGTAAAATTCTCTGTCGACTGTCCGAGTATCTGGCCGGGTGTACTCCTGGGTTGCTGATGAAGAAAGAGAAGGATGGCAGCTATGCAGGGAACAGGGATAGAGGATTCAGTGGGCAAGGAAACCAGCTAGAAGACAAGCATATGACAGACCTGGCCCGCTCCCAACAGCTGGTCTGGTACTCTTCGTCGTGCCAAATCCACGAGAGCGCAACAAAATAAGGGCAGGAGCTCGCGCTCTCAGCGTTGCGATTATTGGTGTCCATCATCGCCGGTCGGAAGCTCCGCAAAGATAGCGGCAAGTTGTAGTAAAAGACGCGTCGAGGATATTATTATTTGCGACTCAGTGATAGTGGAAGGAAAAGGCATTACAAACGCCAAACGACCCTTCCTTATTCGAGTCGGTCAAGGATAATACAGTACAAATATTTTGTCACTGCGACTCTCCTCTGCGCCAGAACGAGTTCGACCAGTACGTTCTCACCTGCTCCAAAAGATCCCACGCAGGCCATGTTGTGAGTAGTGCCGAGGCGTAGACAGCCACGAACAGACATTGAGGTGGCCAAGTATCACGCTCATTAGGAGGTACGCGGAGGGCTCTACCAGGTGGGATATTATGGCATAGTGTCCCCGGAGTATTAGGTTCCACAAAGAAATGCAAGGTCCAGCGAGGGGCATCCGGCGCAGTCCCGGTGACCACATCTGTGGTCTTCATTATAAAATTTGGGGTCTGTTGAGGTGAGCCACAGGTGACGAGCCGAACCCCGATGACGAGTAAATCCATACCGGAAGAATGGCAGCGCGCTGGCCAAGGACTCCACATAATATCGCATTGACAAGCAGCCCGTTTCGTGGGTCATCAATGTCATCAATGATGTCCTCAACAAGTTCCGAGCTTTGAGTCTTCTGTAATGGGGATTTAAGTTGGCCAACTCACCATTCCCTGCGGAAAAAAATGATCCAGTACTCATTGCGCCATCAAATCGTGGTTATATGCGGTCTTTCTGTCATCCTTCTGGGGCTACAGTACCAGGAATCAACGAGACGAGAAATGACGGCCAGAAGGAACGGCAGGAAAGCAGCAGTGGGCATGGCCAGTAATGCATTGGTCGGACGGTAGTGGTAAGAGGGAGAGGGATGTCGGACTTTGCCGACGCCTTACTGGGTTCTTCTCCTCGTGTTGGACCCATGCAATGTTTGTGTGAACACATTTTCTCCAACATACATCAATGCTAATCATTCTACGTACTAGAGCTCAAACATCTGTATTCCGGCGGATCGATGTCCTTAGTCGATAAGGGGAGTTATGCTTCGCTTCACAGGAAACTCCGAGCAATAGCAGAATCATTAATAGTCATTAGCATTATTTGCTACTATCTAGCAATGTTATTTTCTCTACGTTTACTAACGAAGGCATTACTTTACAAAATCACCCAAACGCTCCGATTCATGAAAATTTCCCTGGTGCCGTGAGAAACAAGGCTGTTCTGTTTGGAGGAGAGGTGAGCGTATCATTAACTTGAAAGACAGCAGTACTAACGAAATCATTGGAGGGCGGGAAGGACCGGGGAGATCGTAACAACCTGCCTGCCCATAATCACGGCACCTTCGCCACGGGGAAGGGCTGGAAGGACTGGGGAGATTGTAACAACCTGCCTGCCCGTGATGGCACTTGATTCGTCGTTGGGAAGGGTGGGAAGGACTGGAATGGCGGGAGGAGCTGGGAGAGCTGGAGAAGCGGGAGGGGCGGGAAGTGCTGGAAGTTGCCTGCCCGTAATAGCACTCAAATCGTCACGGGGAAGGGTGGGAAGGACTGGAGTGGCAGGAGGAGCTGGGAGAGCTGGAGGGGCGGGAAGTGCCGGAAGTTGCCTGCCCGCGATAGCACTTGATTCGTCACGCGGAAGGGTGGGAAGGCCTGGAAGGGGAATGACTGGGATGGCAGGAGGAGCCGGAAAGGCGGGAAAAGCGGGAGGGGCTGGGAGAGCTGGAGGGGCGGGAGGTGCTGGAAGGACGGGAATGATCTGCCTGCTTGTAATAGCCACACCATCGTCCGATTCATCACGGGGAAGGACTGGGGAGATGACTGGGGAGATTGTTACAACCTGCCTGCCCATAATAACATTATGTTCGTTGGATTCGTCACGAGGAATGGGAATGGGGGGAGCGACAGGGCAGAAGACAGGGGAGCTCGTAGTAACAGCGTCACGGGGAAGGACGACAGGAATGACACCGCCGCTGGCTAGGAGAGGTAGAGCCAGGAAAGCAGAGACAGAGATACGAGCGAACATGGTGAAGTGAGATTAATAAGCTGTACAATTGTGAGGGCTAGAGAATATCTGCTGGTTTAATCCCTCTCTTATAGCTTTCCGAGTCGTCTTCTCTGGGTGGCGGAGGTCATCAGTCATGGAGTAGAAACAAAATGAATGCCCAGGTCGAGTGAAGGCCAACGAATAGCACGTATGACGCGACCAGAAAATCATGAAAAAGCTATTTTCATGATTCTGGGGAACCGAGCAAGGGAGCATCAGTCGAAAATAGTCCCTTGTCACGGGCTAGCCTACTAAGACCACTGTTACCAGTGTATGGGCTCGTTCGTGCGAACATAGTCGGGGAAGATGTTTTACGAAGATCCAAAATCTTGGGTGATAATTACGCTCCTGCCGCCATCCCGCCTCTGACGGGCACTACCTGCGGACCACCATTTGGAAAAGACCAATTTCGTGGGATGTAGTGTCGAGGGGAGAACAGTTACTGTGATCTGACACTTTGGTACCAGGGCCGATCCAAGCGTAAGTCATGAATACGTCCAGACTGTCGGACTTCGATGGTGGACCATGTCTTCCGGTGCCTTCGTAGCGATGCCAAGGAAGCGGTGTTGGTTGAACATACAGCCTACGACTCGTCATGAGTAGCTGGATCTGCACTTCGAAGCATCTGGCGATTCGGAAGCCAGAGCACGAGGTTCATTGAACGTTTCATGATTTTTGCATTCGAGTCCTTTATCACGAATCAATTTCTAGAAGAACGTTGACACAAAGAATGGTACTATACCTAGCTGAATACAAGCTATGTATAAGCCATCAAGGGCGAACCCTTTCAACGGTCTGATGGCGGAGAGGTTGTATCATCAGGCACATAGTATATATAGGCTCAACCTGACCGGTATCTGTGTGGACATGAACGCGGTCAAGAGGCTCCATGTATTCAGCTGTCCCATGAACCTACAAGGCCTGTCAGCATGTATCAAGAACGCCCAGGAAGGCCTTACTCGGTTTCTTACTTGACTTGCTCCACATCTCTATATCCGCGAAGATGGTAAACACCGAGTGGCGCAATGTCTGCGTACCTCGAACTCTGAACCACCCCATGAAGGCCAAGTGAATCGAACCCATCCTGGGTGTGGAAGTGCCCCAGGAGGTTGGCTAGTTCGCTGATGAAAATATCAATAGCCCAGAATGAAAAACTAAAGGGTTCAGGGCAATACGTCGAACAGGGGTTTGTAGAAGATGACTGGGAAATAGAATTCGAGGAAGCAGCCAATAGAACTTGTTAGGGATACGAGCCAGGGAGCCATGGTGGCCGTGTAACTTAGCCTTGTCGTACAACGCTACGACAATCGTAACAGAACTGGAGTAGCCATTGTTGAGACTGGCATTCGACAAGCACTAATCAAGACTGACCTGGCCTGCTGTGCACCACGACCAAAGGGAAAGGCGTCTCACCACGTTCATTTGTAACATTCCCGTCGCAGCCACGCAAGGAATAGTTGTCGATCTGGACCCGGCCCATCGTGCACCACGCTCCCAAAAAATCTGAAGAGTAGATAAGCATGTATTGATCTTGGTTATCCAGTTTCCTCACCGCTGGTGCATCTCAATTCGCTACTCTCCCAAGAATATGCGGTGGAAACTGCTTTATTCTCGCTGGTCACACAGGAAAAGGTCTATTCTATGACTGACAATCAGCTTGAGGGGGGAAAGCAGTATGTGTGCTGACCGATAAGACATCCAGATGACAGGGCATCAAATGATATCATACGTCAGCTTCACAAATCTGACAACTGCCTCTAACAAAAGACGCTCCGTTCAGCGCTTCAGCGCGCGTCAGCGGGGAACAACATCGCGTGATTCGGAGACAGTTGTGGTTGGGACGGACCGACATTGTTTGTCGAGTCTTGGCGGCGCCAAACAAACCTTCATCGTCGACCACGACTACCGGCCGGCATCTTCACGTTCGACGACGAGCGCAGTTCAGGGTAGCTTGAATGCACGGTTCCGATAGTGGCCAACCGTAGTTTCTGGTGCGTAAGGTCCATCTGCGTCGAGGGTCGTACTGAAACGTCGGCCTTTAGGGAATCGTGGACGTGACGCGCCCAAGGGTTCATCGAATCTCTTCAGCAAGTACCAATGCCTCAACGCGTCGTCCCAGGAATACAACAAAAACCAGAATTTCTCGCTCTTGAATGGGCTGTATTGATGTCCGTTTCGACCGCGACTTCCCTTGCGTCCTTTATAAAGTGCAATCTGTCGGTGCTGGTATGTCGTCTGCTGTGTTCTCTTTTGTCGTTTTCTGATTTCAGTCAGAACACTAGAACCCATGATTTGCGAAGGAGCTGCTCTTCCTTCCGGTGTTTTGTTTATCGCATCTTCTGATAGAACTCGTCGTCATGGCATAGAACCATGTCAAGAAACGCGTCGATTTCATAACTGTCCACGCTCGACCCTTACCACGAATGCTTGACCCTGGCCATATAAGTATGGTACGACTGCATACCCGGCGTTGGTTCTTAAAACCTTTAACGTTACGTTGAATAGCTAATGGGAAGCGCTGGTGAACGCGCATTCAGGCATTAGAAAAGCAAGGGCAGAGGCATGTATGCCCCCAGACGAGCAAGTTCAAATCTTGCTCAACTTCAAGCGGCCGTACTCTCCCTGCGCTCTAGACAGCGGCCAGCGTACGACCCTTTTTCCCATCATCCTCAAAAGCATCGGTTGCTTTTGTAGACCCTTCTCCCAAACCAACACCACCATGTTTATTGCTCGCTCTCCGCGCGTCCAGCTTTTGTCCAAATGCTGGTACTTTGCAGGAACCAGCCTATACCTCCTCGAGATTCTTCACTACTTCCGTATCTTCCCGCTAACGACACTCGCCACTCAAGAACGCGTCATATCTACCATGCTCTCCACAGGCGCTATCACCGGCCTGGCTATCGTCACCGTGCTCGTCATTCTTCTCTTCTTCCTCAACCTGACGACGAAGAGACCGGGAGCCAGAAAGATGTCCTGGATGGGCATCCTTGACGGCCTTTCGCCGCAGTCAATCTTCTTCGTTTGTCTTATTATCAATGATGCGATGTATCAGCGTGTGCCGGGAACGTCGGTGTTGGAAGGAGGATCAGCGAGAATCGGGGTGCTGATAGTGCAGTTGTGGGGGTATATGACATACATTGGAATTCCTCTCGTTGGGTCTGTTGGGTTTACGACATACTCTATCGCGAGGGAGCAGGCCAGGGACGTGGAGAGAGCGTCGATGAAGACATGAGGTAGCTGTTCTGCTATGGCTCTCTCGTAAACGAGATACTGACCTTTTTCTTGTCTCAGTAGGCAGTAGTTTCGTTTTAGATCCACTCTTCGCATAAACCTACAATACACAACCTTCGATAACGTCCACTTCTAGCATACCCTTCTTCTCCAAAAGTGGCAGTTTCTCTTTTACCCATTCTCTGCTGTACGGCCCTCCTCTCCACGGACTCAAGCCTTTCTGACACAGTTTGAACGCAACCTTCAAACGCCGAAACACCAACAATTCTGGACGAACAAGGACCTGGTCAAGGATGGACCATTGCGCTGCCCAGTCTTCGTCCTCCAGAGTCATGTACCAGTGCTCTCCTTTGTAGTGGTTATATGGGGGTATGACTGTCAGAGCCAAGGTCTCCAGCCTGACGGCGTCCGGGGGAGAACTTGAAAGAGAATGTACCAACCACCTCATGACCCTGATATGCCAATCGCAGTATAGGTCGCATTTCATCTCGATGTGGAGAATCGGCATAGTCAGAGGGAGTCTGTCGGGCTGAGCCGGCCAGCTGGACCACAGACCGGGTGTATAAGCTGAGTCTTGGTCAGAAAGTATGGGTGCATGCAATTGAATGGCACCCCTCACCTCCATAACGGAAACGGATGTCGAAACTCTTCAGAGAGCCTGACTCGGATGCTGCACCGACGAAAGTGCATATAGAGGACAGATACTCTGCTGGGGGATAGTCGATACGGAGCTCACGGAGAGAGTCGACGTAGGTCGCTCGTAGGTCCGCCCTGTGGAAGAGTGCCTCGACGACAGATTCGTTGAAGGACGTCCCGTATATCAATATCCTCTTCAAATTGATCGTCGGAAGTAGTTTGGACTCGGACTCGGATATACTTTGATTCTCGAAAACACGTTTTTCAAATCAAGCCCCGTCAACCCGGGGAGATGGGAGATAAGGGCGTGGAGGTGCCATGGGTCCTGGAAAACGACGAATGAAAGGGAGAGCGAGGATAGGTTCGGGAGCGTTGTTAAAGAATTTGAAGAGATGGATGGTAGCTGGAGTGGGACGCCCACACCTTGGAGTTTTATCTCTCTTATGTACTCGATGATGTCTTTGAAGGAGGGGTCATCAGGATCAATGTCCCGCGTCCCGTCGAGTTTGAGCTCTAGGGTGTGGAATAGATTCACCCGTGTTCGAGGGCGGAAGAGCCGACAGACGAACGAACAGGCGAGTAGGGAGGCTTTGTCGTTTTGGAGGCAGTCAATGATCGCATCGACGATTTCCGGTGGGATATAGTCTGTGATCTGTGATTTGTGGTGGTAATCATAGAAAAGGAGAAAGCTATGCTACGAGATCTGATAAGACTCACGGGTTTCTGGTTCGCCTCAGGTTGGTGCATCTATCATGCTTTAAGTTTCCGGCGTGATATTTTCGTGTGTGGGGACTACGAATTTCCGGGACGAAACGTAGGTCGTGACAACGATAGAAAAGCCTCGAAACGAAACGTGGTTTTCTTACCCGCCGAATTATCAAATTCAATAGCTTCCGCTCAGCGTATGGAACTTTTTGTTACTGTGTCCTTCATTCGAGGAGTGTTTTCCTCGCGTTGGAACTACAGAAAACATCTTTTCTTCCTGCAAGTCGCGTACCGGTACATCAGCAATTAGAAACAAGGTTTATATTCAGAATCCCGTATGGCGATATTATAGCATTCAAGCGCGCCATCTTACAAAAGCTGTCATCCTTAAAGATAGTACATGCCCTCCAGGCTTATGCAACCTCAAATGCTGGGGCTTTGGGGCTCCATGGTCGGCTCTCGAACAGCATCCGCCTGGTAACGGCGACGACGCCTATAACACCCTGGCAATTGTCGTCACTCAGCCAACCAAGACTGAACGTTGAGGTATACTTACAGAAGGAAGGGAAGGAACACCTTAGCCTTAGGGTTCGGAGGAGCCGTTCTCGTTCACAATCAATGGTTGATGAGCTTGCTTATCCAGCCTCTCTACGTAATATCCGTCGCGGGATTAGCCGACAATCCTCTCCCGTGTCTCGAAAAATAAGATCGACGCGTGAAGCTTCGTCGGAAACATTCATGCAAGTATGCCTTCCCCATCAAAGGCGCATATCCCTTCATCTGTGGCCTTGAAGATCTTCATGGCCGTCCAAGCCGTAGAAGAGGTCCTAAAATGTCAATGGAAGTTGGAGAAGGTTGGACAATCAAGCTTCATGCCTATCTACTGTGAGGGTACTTACCGACTTGTCCGTCGAATTTGCGATGATTTTCCCATGAACCATTTCACAGCGCTCGAGTTATTCCAGAAAACTTGCTGTCGAAAATCCGACCGACGGCATAAGCCTTTCAGGTTCTGCTTGAGGAGGAATTTCTTACGCAAATCACTGTAAATCTGGAAGGAAGAGGTGGAGTCGCGTCTTGCAGAAGATACTACCATCCGTTCTATCAGGTGAATTGAGCTCGGTTCTTGGATACAGGCATTCTGATTGAAATGTCAATCCCAGTATACAGTCTAAGGCAAAAGGGTGAGCAAGGGATCGTAAGAAGTACTTGGAGACTCACTAGCACCCGAACATAATAGGTACTCCGACATATTTAATAGCCGTCACGCACAGAACATGTCAGACTGTTCCTCTGCCGCCTTTGCTAGAAGACCACTAACATGAGAGACCGAGCTTGGCGGTCTATGTATGCAATCTATCTTCACTGAGTACTGAGCGCTTATCACTGAGAGGACGATGTAGAAGGAGAACAAGTTCGTCTGGGGAAAACACCGGTACCACCGGTCCGCGATACCGGTAGTCAGAGACGTCAATCCGGCCCATGTATTCTTCCCGGTAGCCTTGCGAGTGGCACTCATTGTCCTTCTTTCCATTGTCCACGACCTTTTTATATATACCAAGCACAAAGTTTGTTCTTGAAGGCGCTCCATCTATCACATACTAGGTCTCTGCGCATTTTTATATTGTATACGCCAAGTTTGCCTATTACTCTGGCCGGTGAGTACACCCTGCCTGGACAGACATTACCCGATCTAACCCAATACCTCTGCTACTTAGCACTCTGACTTTCTTTCTCTGAACATGAATTCTAACTCTAAGTTAGGACTCTCAATGGACCTGAAGTCGGCATACTATTATCTCAGGTAAGCTGGTATTGCTGCCCTTCACCTCTGCCGCCTGCTGACTTTAAGAACTTACACCTTCAGGAAGCTGCAATCCTTACTACCCAAGTCAATGCGTGATATCCTTTCATCTTCAAGTTCATCTGAGACCGCAGCGGCAAACACGCCGATCCCACCTCGCAAACCATATCTCAATAGTTTCTTATCCCGGATCCCTAAAGCTTCTACAACTGAAACGGACCTAATCAATGGACTTCCTTCGAAAATATTGGAAGAAATTTTCAGAAACGTCATCGCTAACTCGCTCTCCTCTCTCGAAACCAGTCGACGAAGTCGTGACCCATCTCGGCCATTCCAGGTGCTTTTCATTTCTCACGTCTGCGCATACTGGAGGAACGTGTCACTTTCTTTCCCTTTCTTGTGGTCGTTCCTCTTTATTCCTATGTATCGATCTTGCGGAGAGGCCTGCATAACGATTCCTCTGGAATTCTTGCGTTTCCATCTGCATCATTCCAAAGAATATCCGTTATCCCTTTTTCTGTATGATCTGGGAATAGGAACTAGCACAGGATTTCCACCTGAAATCTATGCTGGTGACACGGCATCCGCCATGGATTTGCTTCGAACGCAGTGCTACCGCTGGCGCGAACTCTATGTATCCTTGTATAGGCTCGATGATCTTAATCAACTGTTACTCTGTGAAACGGGCAATATCGCTTCGCTGGAGCGATTCAGCTGCTCAAAACATGAGATGAGGCTGTGGAAATGTCCCGTTTTTGCTACCGCCACTAATCTCCGTTAGCTATCTCTTGACAAGAGGGTCGATATTGGACCCGCAGGTCCCGAAACGCCTTTGTCCTTCCCCTACGGAAACATTCAGGGCCTTAACCTCACATCTCTCGATTTTCACTCAATTTGCCAATTCCCGAATCTCGTTGACACCACCGTACCTTTGATACGAGCCCCCAAAAATGTTGCCTATACATCCAAGATCGTCTCACTTACCTTATGTATCAAGCATAAGACACGAGAAAGTCTCAAATTTCACCTCTATGGTGTTACTCTTCTATGTCTTCGAAATTTGATCTTGGTCTCCCTCGACACTACGATTCGTGGTCCCTACAAAACCGAGTACCTTGCTATGAGCTTGATCAAGTCTTGTGCTCACATAATCCAGCATCTTACTCTATGGTGGTTTGCGATACGTGCGAAAGACATGATGGCTATTCTTGAGCCCCTTGCAGAGCTGCGCCATCTCGGATCACACGATCCTTTTACCAAGTACAATTTGTTCCTGCCGTGGAGTCCCATTTCTCCCGAACTTCTTCGACGTCTCACGGAAGAGCCGTTATTCCTCCCCCATCTCAGTACGATCGATTTCCAAACGCGATTTGAAGTTGACAAGTCGATGCTCGTTGCCATGCTCCTCTCCAGGACAGGCCACATACGGTCCACCAATCCCTACGCTCCACCTTTACACGCGAATGATGTCTTCAGACAGATGCAAGATGCGGACGACTAGGTCTATGGTATTCACACCAATCTAGGCCTTTGGGCTTCAAGATTCGTAAGTTTTAATCGGCGGTAAAAGTGCTGTACTGATGATGCCGTTTGCACTAGTACTGCTCTCTAACATACTAGTAGAATGCTATTCCGACATATACATGTATCCCGGCTCCGTGGAGGCGTGTTGAGGAGTCTGCTGGTTCAGGTCCCAAGATACTATCACTCTGTTGTCTTCAAACTACTTCATCACGAACATAATAAATAACACGGAACCTATTTGTACAGTATAAAATTTTTGGAAAGTCACACAAAAATTTATCACTTGCAAAAGACGCGGCGAATTGAACAAGGCCTCCGCTGCTTACTTATATGTTACTGCCATTCACGAGACGGACATTACCTGTTTAATCGAGAACAATCTCAGGTACTTATGCCTTGACTTTCAGCTCTAGATCTGTCAACCTCGTAATGAGCCTCTAGTGAAATTTCAACTTATCAGACGTAACATATTCACTAATTTCCCAGAACGAAATGTGTTCCGACGCTTGAACACAGATGCTTTCAGAAACCAATGTCTCTACTGTGGGTTTAAGACAGCAACGACTACTTCTGGACAATCCAGGATCCTCATTTCGTTTCGGATCGTGCCCAGATGGTGGCTCTGCTGCGATCGGGAGAGTCGATACTCACCGTTGACCCGTCTCCATTACGCGAAAGTTCATGGCGGTTGGAGATCTGTACCCTAAAACATAAAACGTGCACTGGTCGTTAGTAACGAGATCTCACAGTTTAATCTTACTCGCGCTCGCAATAACGGAGCAAGTCCTTTTTCATGTGGCATCGCGTAAAAAGCCCATGCTGTTTTCAAACTGTCCACCACCTATTACTGATCCCTACAATAGCAATAAATAGTAAATGCAAATGAGATATTAGACGATGCAATGGAGCAGCTCGCAAGCGAACAGCAGATCTAAATGTAGGGCCGAGTAAACTATGTAAAAGCATCCAAATGAAATAATGGTATGTGGAATCCTGAAATTGAAAATAAGTATAACCCATCTCCACTAATGATCTCGCCTCGAGATGCTAGGCCCAAGCTGCCCACCATCGAGTTCCGATATCGTGGGTGTTCCCAGCCCATTCTTTGCAGCCCCCATCCCCGCCACTATCACAGGGCTGGCCAGTCTCGGACTCGTGGGACTGACTAGACTCATCAGGCTTCCCGAACTCGTCCTTCTCGATATATATGGTCTTGGTGTCGTCGGAGGTGATGTAGGTTGTTCCTCAGTCGGCGTCCCCGGATTCGAATGTGAGTTTGAGCTTGATTGTGGTAGCTCAAGGGAGAAATCTTCCACGCTTCGAGGAGGTGGTCGTTCTACCATTGCTTCAAGGAGCTGAAAAGGGTACAATGAGCAAAAGGAAGAAAACGCAGACGATAGGAAGCTTACCTCCTTACGCAGTTCCTCTCCAGCATACTCCCCTTCCATCTCTTCGGGTCCCAGAAGAACTGTTCCCTTGCGGAACACTTCTCCCTCCTCCTCGACCCAGATACGAGACCTGCTCTCATAACGTCAGCATGAACGAGAAAAGTGAAGTAAGACATTCATTTACCGATTCGTCTCCTTCCCCTTCTCACCCTCATCCCCCTCCGAGTCTCTCGCTTCAACGGGAGGAAATCTTGGCCCTTCCCCATCTTCGGCATCGTCCTCCGAAATGAGAAATGCGGCGGTCGGACTAAGCACCTTTTCATGTACAGGCTCGGCACGTCCCTTACCCTTATCCACTCGGGGCGTGCCAATCTCCTCCACTTCTTCCCCATCCGTGTGTTCCTCGGCGGGGGAGTCGCCATTAGGTGAGGTGCCAGCGGCTACAGATCCGACGCCGTTCGTTGTGGGTATCACTAGCCCAAGCCCGATAGGTCGACTTGGCACTTTGGCAAGTAAACTGGTCAACTGATCGTTGATACCCAAAAGTTCTTCCATTCGTCCTCCATCCCCTTCTTCCTCTATCACCTGCGATAGCTCGCTTACCAAGGATCTGGCGCGAGCAGCGATCTCCGAAGCTGAGAGCTTGGTAGGAGTCTGTCGGGAAGCAAGTGTGAATGATGCTATGCTCGGAGAGAGTAGGTACGATGGTAGCGGAGATGGGGCTGATAAAGACGGTGACGTTAGGTGTGGTGTACTCAGTGGTGATGGCTCTGCAGGGTTAAGCAGGTTCTGAAGTTGTGCGACGCATGAGCGCGCGCGTACTACAACATCAGTCTCAATCTGAGAGGATATGTCAAAATTGTCAAGAGGGCGTAAGTGGCAGCGTTTATCCCTTACCTTTCTCTCCTCTCCTTCCCTGATACCTCTTGCCAACTCGCTGTCCTCGATCAAACCCCATAAACCTTTGTTTCTTCCATTGCCACCGTCAGCGGCACCGTTTTCTTGGTCCGCTACTAATCAAATCGTCAATAATAAAGTTTATGAGTGAGGTCAGGGTCACCTTCTCCTCGCTTAGCCTCTGCTTCCTCCGTATTGCGTACGCACCAGCCAAGAATCTCTCGACAACAACCTGCGAATTCTTCTCTCCCAGGAGGTACGTCAAGATCTAAGCATCGCATCGTGTGATTAGATTTCAGGCCCTGCAAGACAGACATAGGTTAGCTTCAACCGATATTACGAGAAGTATTCCATAAAGGAATACCAAAATAAGACACGGAATGCTAACCTTATTTAGTGCCCATACCCCTGCTAGGTCTAACTCGTTCCTCGTCAAGTCCAGGTGCAACAACGACCGCGACTCTGGAAGGAACTCTGCTAGTGCGATGGCTCCGGGAGAAGTCAAACCAGTAGAAGAAAGGAAGAGTCGTTTCAGGGAAGCGTTGAGTGTGAATGCCGTTCGAAGCGAAGTTATCTGCCACGAGAATAAGAAGCGCGTTTACGAACAGGCATGAACCTTACCCCGTCTAGTGCGGGCCCTGCACACGGATTCTTCGACAGATCTAGCGTTTCCAGCGACGAATTATACTTGAGTGCCTCCGCTATGGCCACCAGCCCTATCACGTCGAGTTTGTTCTCGCTCAAATTGAGCACCTTGAGCGTCCGATTCCGTTTCAGGACCTGTGCGACATACGTTATTCCCCCGCGAAGCTCATTCCCCTTTAAATCCAATGTCCTTAGAGCACCAATCCTCGGCAGCGTGTCAAGCGCGCGAACTTTGACGAGGAGCGCCGCAGAAGGTCCCCATTCTTCCTTGACATTGTTCGTAGTCACCCCTCCTTGTGAACTTGAAGTGATCATGGGAACCGCAGGTGACGTCTGAGCACGCTTCGCGCGCGGGACATATGGTGTATACGTTGTCTGGACATTTGTCGTAGGATGCTTCGGTGGCGGTGGAAGCGGCCCATTTTTAAGCTGAATTGCCGCAGAAGTCGGGGAGTTGGAATTAGTAGGAGTAGATGAGTTTGAGGACGTCGCGCTTGCTGTGGTTGCTGGTACGACATCAGGATAATCCCTGATCATTAGAGCAAGAGCGACAGCGCCCGTGGGGTTTATCCTGTTGTACCGCAGCGATATATTACGAAGGTTGGAAGTCCGTACGGCACGGGAGAGGGTTTCAAGGGCTCCAGGACGAAGAGAACAGTCATCTAGACGAAGGGTAATGAGGGTAGTCAACGCAGCGACAAGCAACTCTACACTCTTCTTGTCGAGTGCGTTCTGGCTTAGGTCCAGAAACTCGAGTGATGTTGACTTGGCGGCAAAGGCGGCAATCAGACGAAAAGCAGCCGTTTTCAGTCGTCGGTTCGAGGCGACAGATAGAAAGGTGAGCGTGTTCGGTATGAGAAGCGCGTGCAGCATCGGTTTGAGTATCTAGAGCAACTTAGTAATGAGCAAAGATGGTGTAATTATACACACATTTTCATCCAAATCACATTCCTTGAACACAAGTCTTCGAAGGCCCCATTCGATGGTAAATACGTCGCCTAACACTGTCGCTTTACCAGTCGTCAGTTGCACCCCAGAAAAGTCCACTATTCGAGGATTTGAGCCGTTTGCCTTCTGCTAAGATAGGTTAGGAAAGATCAGCAATCACACTAGACAATCACCTTGAACGCAGCACTAATCAGTGGATCTGGGACTTCTTCGCAGCCCGCACAGCATTCTCGCCAGAATGACTCGACCTCGTCCATTGTCCATCTTTCTCCTCGTATTACTCGTCGTCTTCTTTCTCGTTCTCGTTCCTCCACTGCCTTCTTCTCCTCCCGAACACCAGGTCCACTTGGCGGGCTAAAGCTCGATATTGGATAGACAATGGTCAGTTCCGGCAGAATGAAATGGGCTCTCTTCAGAACCGTTTTCTCGCTGACATTATCTTTCGTGGAGTCGGGCAATAGCCGGCTGAGCCTCGACAGCGAGAATAATGAAGGTGGGGCTGGCGGCGGACGTTTGAGGATCGACTTTCCGGGGATGGGGATCGTCACAGCTGAAGAAGACGGTGAAGAAGTCATCGCGACACCAAAATACTTTGGCAGAAGATCCCACAGACAATCGTCGTGGGCGCGAGGAAGTTGATTTTAGTCGCTCATACGACCGAGCTGGAGAGAGGAGCGGTTTGTTTGGCTGCGCCCCCAGTGAACGCGTTGCCACGTGCATTGATCTGGATCAGATTTCAGGGCCACCATGACCCTATCATTACCGATTTTTACTTGATCCTCTACCTTTGGAAGTAGAAAATAAGCAGACATTTCTAGCTGCTTGGAGCAACGAAGGTCTTAACGATATTTCCATGAACATATCATCCTATCCGTCCCTATGAGATATTGGGCCGCTCGGACTTGACAATTCGAAACCGTCGGTGTGATGAAATGGAAGGCAAGGTGCCGTGCATTCTACATGAAAGGTCTACTTGTTGTATGCTTTGTTTGTCTCAGAAACCCGTCATAGTACTTGTTATGTGAAGCGAAACCATAAGCTGTCGAAGATAGAATTTAACTGCAGAATATGATAAGTACCATTGAACAACTGAACACTGAGTCTGAGAATATCCACCTGAGCTTAATATAAGCCAACAGTTGGGCTCGTAAGCTTTTAATTTACGGGAAAGTTTTTCCAGGTTTCAAAAAGTCCAATCAGACTTTTACGAAGCAATACCCAGTAACAGGGACATCAAAAAGAACAGCCCGATACCTACAAAAGCATATGGCGGATGTCATGTCAAGACACAGAACGCTTCCAGGACGCAGCTGCGCTAAGCACGGAGAGAAGAGTGCTTCTGCATCTGCTATTCATACTGCTGTGTAGAACGTCAGGACAGTTCGTCTCATTTTGGCCGCAGAGTGGTATCTGGCTTAGGACAGACATAGCACAATGCTGGCATAGTGGGCTCTGTGCTTGTGGTGCAACTCAGTTGCGCAGCGGGACAATGAAAAATCGGATAACACAAAAGAGATCGCGCTCCTTCGAAGTTGCGAAGTAACCCTAATGCCGACGTACAGGACGCCAAGGCTTGGCACGCCCGTGAGACCGCAGGTACGGCAGCTACGCTCTGGAGATGTGGTGCGTTATCATGCTCCGGGCTGAAGGCTTGGGAATTTAAGGTCAGCGAGCTGCGATTACCTGTAATCGGTTTGATATACCTCGGCAGGACTGGAGCATGCCCTTCAAGCTCGAAGGCTTCCACTATCCATACAGAGGCTTCCTTTGGCGTACGCTTCTCTTGGGCGACAAGCAATCTCAATGGCGGAATGTCAACGGCCTTTCTTCCTCCGTCGAACTTCGCAGTGGTAATAAAATTTTCGTCCGAAGGCAGAAGTTTCGACCCAAAAATGGCGCCGGGATCGATGACCAGGAAGATGGTTGCCTACAATGCTGGGGCCGCATGTGCGTGCGTATGTGACTATACGGTTGCAATATTTGGTTCAGAGCCTTCCGGAAAGAGATCTCCGTATTCTGATTGCCGTGTCAAATCAAAGGAGAGTCGATATCCCGAATAACATACGCACCTCTTGAAAGAAATGTAAGGATATTGGGAGGAGCTCGACAACAAACGCATATATCGAGAGGGAAGTCAAGATATGACTTTTTGCGCGCATACAAGGGGTTAAGATACCAGAATGAGAAAACACAAACTAAAACGTACCGATTGCATAGTAGTAAACTCAATCCGTCAACACTTTCCCGGAACGGCCGGTAGACCCTCAAGCCATACAACGAAGGACCACGACGTGGTTCGAATAAAACTGACAGGACAAGGTAATTCATCCCTGAGGAGTTCATCACTATCAATTTTTCAATAAACGTACCATTTCCCGAAGTGTACATATGACCAAGGCTACCGCCTGGGTTCCATCTGCTCCAAGTGACTGTTCTCGGCCCCAAGCTGCCCAAGAGTATATTCGTGTATTTTCGGACGAGTCTGAACATATTCCCGCCATTTTCTTGCCCGAAAACGCGTCTGCGAGCCTGTAGACGGAAATCAACAAAGCTGAAACGGAAATGGACTAAGAAGGCTTGCCTCAACACGGGACGTGCGTACCTTCTGTACGTGGTTTTCGATGAGAAAAATAGGCATACTACGGAAAATGTAACGCAACACGGGCTTCAGTAGGTACTGAAGGTGCAACAAGTAACGGAGGAAGTTGCGCTTTGTCCATTTCAAATTGGTCGCAGTCATGACATTATAGTCACCGTTCCTACTTTGGGAGGCGGAAGGCGGGACCGGGCCGACTGAACTCACGGAACGTACCCGCGGTGGGCGTATAAATGGCCAGAAGTCTTCCACTGGAGCTTCTTTTATAACCATTAGTTACTGCGATTAATAATAATACAATAAAGTAGAAGAACTATATACAAGATATTTTAAAGAATTCTCACGAGAGGCGCGCGCGAATGATGACCCACAGATGCAGGGTCACTTGTCCTTCTTTCTAGCTTTCCGTATGTATTTTCCTCGTCTTGACTCCGAGTACGTACACTCAATATTTAGCGTAGTGCAGCTCCTAAGTGATAAATTAAGCGCTGGCTGATACAAAATGAAAGGAAGATGCTCACTCGCACCGCTGCCCAGAAACACCTACGCATTTATTCTTCTTCGTTCTGCAGTAGTTACAGGCAACTGACTTCGGTCTAGGTTCTCCTCTGAGCTTGGATCTTGAAGAATTCCGGGGTAATTGGCTCGAAATCGAGCTGTGAAAGCCAGAGTCTATCTGTGGAAGTATGCGATATGGGGAGCTGGAAGGACCAGCCTCGGCGTCGTCGTTAGGGACATAGACAACAAACCGGGGGCTAGTAGACCCTTCGGATGCGCCTGAAGATCCTGGATGAGATGCCGTGCCGCCGGCTTTGGGCTGGGAATTGTTGAAATGAGCGTGTTCATCGGAGACCTGCGTTCCAGACGAGTATGCATTTAAAATGTGGGGGTGAAAAGATGGATTGATGTTTCGTTGCGAGCCGTTATTGTCTTGAAGAAAGAGTGCAGACTGTAATTGTGCCTAGGTTGACTGTCACCCGCTGAACATGCACCCGTGGGGAGTAACACTCACCGAAAGCTCGGGGGTTACTGTTCGATTCAAAAGAGGTAGGCCTACTTCGGATGAAGCAGGACTATTAAATGGTAGCCAGTGTTGTAGAGTGGGTGCGCTCTGGGTGACGTTTGGATCGCTGTAATTATACTGACCGGCGGCCATCTGACTTTCCGTAGGATATGGCATTGGCATCGAACTTGTAGGGAGCTCCGCAAGGTTCCCGAAGCTTGACCGCCGCGAAGAATGGTAAGAGCTAGAGGCAGCGTCGGACAGCCAGTCATATCCGCCCTGCCAACTAAGACGCTTCACCTCAGGTCTTTCATTGTCAGAGCTGGTCCCTGTGCCATACAGGCTTCGGTGAGTCCGATAATCGGATGGCAATGAGTTACGTCGCTGAGACGTAAAGTCAGGTATCAATGACTGATACTGCCCTGAGGCCGGCGACGACTCGAAGCTAGCGTGTGAATGATCCATGTAGTGCACCTAAGAGTAACGTCAAATAAGACACGAACTTACAGGGCGGAAGGTGGAAGGAAAGGCGAAGCATACCTCTCCTCCATTACTACTTCCAGCGTCGGACATATGATACTCGGAGGAAGGAATGCTGGTAGAGCCATTCCAAAACACGGATTGATTCCATTTGTACCCTGAGGTCGCTACCAAAGGACCGTCTACCCATGAGACATTGACGCTCGGCAAGGAGGATCCAGCTGGACTCTCCACATGTGGAACAAACCAGTCCTCTGCGACTTCCTCTCTAAGTTCAGGCTCGAAATCGAATAGGAAGTCCTCCCGATTTTGCAACGACCGGTCGTTGAAAGGGTTACCGTTAGACATATAGAATGAAAGCGGGAAGAAAAGAGAGACAGAAGAGATCAGCGAAAAAGAAAGAATGGAGAGATGGACCGAGGGAAAACGAGTAGTTATAAGGAAGATAAGACAGCCAGCGGGGATCTCAGGGTATTGTCACTTGCCTTGGATCCGTTATCCCCGTCATCTTGCAAACGAGGGTCAACATGGTCCCACTGCACCATTGAGCTTTGCGACCTTGTCTTTCGCTGTCGTGAGAACAGGCTGAAGGATAGCACGGAAGCACAACGCGGTAGGCACGCAGTAGTTGCTGAAGAACAACATCATTTCGTAAGCCCAGGAGCACAAAAAGAACAAAGGCCAATTGAATTGAATTGAGCGCAGCGGCGTGATATGGAGTGATGGGAAGCGCGATTTGAAGCACACGTTTCCCTTCTTTACAATTTATTTGGTACACAATAAGTAAGGGAGAACACATGCCCCTCAATATCGGCTGAGACGTCAAGATTTTTCCCCGGAAAGAGATTATGTAGCCCCCAGGTACGGTAAAACCTTTCGCGAGAAATAATCTGTGGACGCATAATTGTACAAGATGGGGGGAGACACTTTGGAGAGGATTAACCATAGCTTTCCATTATGAACGTTGCTGAGAATAATATCGCGTTCGCATGCAATGCGGTCCGCCGTGGTAGAGAGGAAGGTAGAACCAACCAGTTGACACGTAAAATGATGAAGAGTCGGGATCAAGGGGTGAGTAACTACTTTTGGTATCTTGCGCTTCAACAACGATCAACATCGCCACTGACAGTGACCTAGCACGTCGCATGTCTTTCATTTCTTTGGAGATATCAACCACGTCCGAACCACGAAGTACTTCACTCCAAACCTAAGGAAATTTCCGGATGCTTTCATTTGTCCGGAAATTACTCTGCCCCGCCTGCCTCCGGAGATTATCTATATCGAGTAAAGGTACGGGAGACCGACCGGGACAGAATATTGTATAAGGGAATTCCGGCGAGGGAGACACGGTGGAATGATTTCCAAAATTAGTTTTTGTTTACCAGAAACATTCCGGAAATTTCCTTATTCTTGGTGTGCTTAATCGCCCTAGTTTCTTAGCGATGCATCAAATCGGTCGCGACGGAACTTACCTAACGTAAATGGCGCAATAGGTTCCCGTACTTCTAGTTCTCTGGTGGAAGAGGTCTGGCCGACGATGACAAACGGCTTACTACCACGTAGAACGCCAACTTTTATGACAACCTCATTTCTTTCTGTTTCTTTCGTCTCTTCTGGTGGTAGGGGGATGACGTTTTAGTTAAAGAGCTGTAATTCGAATGTACTCTGGAGTCTGGGGCGAACACTGACGAATCAATTAGTTTCTCCAATCGATGGTGTTCCATTACATTGGAGTTCTTGAAACTGGCCAACTTGCTGTCATCTCCTTCTTCAGTTTCAGCTCTTGTATTCGTGACGTTTCCTAAATTACCAGCGGGTCTCTTGCATTTTATCGTGTCAAACATGCGAGTAGCATTGGACCTACTTATCCACGTCTTCCGGTCAAAGTTTGGCACGAAAGGATGTCGTGATTGCTTTCATCTATACTACCTTGTAGCCAGAGTTGGTATGGCACGGAGGTACACTAGTTCTGTGCCTCAGTTGGCATGTGCATGAGGACTGACGTCTGTCGTTGTGGTTGCTAGCCGTAAGCACAAACCATCATGTCCAAGCTCTTCATTTCGCTAAATGATTGGTAGATATTCGTAGTGAGCTGGATTAAGCTTGATCCAGTGCTATTTCCCTCCTACTAGCCCTCCCATACCTCGTTCACACTAGATGCCCGAAAAAGGTTGCATGTAACGAAGGCCTAGTCAAAATGTTCGGCCGTCAGTGTTAATACCGATGCCTCTGCCGGCTGTCCCTGAAGAATTTGACTACAGTTGCGGTGATTAATATTGGTCCGGCCAAGTCGCTCATGGTGAGTAGGTGCCTCTCGCTTGTTACGATGCATATACACTACATTCTAACATTACTGTCTATCGTTGAAAACCATCTTTGCAAGGTACCTTTTTACTTCTAAAACCGCCGATGAAAAAAATTCCCTTTGCGTTAAGTGCGGGCGATTCTTGGGTGATTCAGCTATCTATCTCATGGAATCGAGAACCTTTCATATTTAGGTACAAGATACCCATGTAGACCTTTCTTTATGTTCGATACCTCTTGTACCTTGGCACAAGCTTGCCGTCATTGGTCAATGTTATGGTAACTCCCTTTCAATGGCCAAGGAAATATATACATACATCCTTTATTGGACTGTGAGGGAAAGTAACAAGAAGCACCGAATGCATTCAGTGACAATGTAGTTGGAATGTAGTGAAACGTATGGAAATTGATTGGCCATTGTTGGTGTTGGTGTTACAGTGCAAGAAACACAAAAACATCCGCTTCACAGTGAGCCAATTTCTGAATGTTTCGGCGTCTTCTGAAAATATAGCAAGGAAAGTGGGTGAGATACACGTAATCTGCAAAAAAATCACTTTTTTGAGTATATGTTTCAAAATTTCAAAACTTTTCCCATTTTTTAAAGGTTTGTATTGAGCTGAAAAGGCGAAATCTGCAATAAAAAAATTTTGTTTCAAAATTTTGGGTGTCAAAAATGGCAAAATGTTTAGTTACGCAAGTTTTGTTATGATAGCTCAAAACTACTCCCCAAAAGGAGACGATTCCGCTACTTTGACAAAAAATTGGGTGAATTGGTTGGGCAGAGATACGGCTGCAAGTTTCATCGTGATCGGAGGTTGAAAATGAGCTTCTTGCACTATAGTACCGGCACAAGGTCCCAATTGTTGGGTGGTGGTACCGGCCCGGTAAGTACCGGTCTGCCGGCAAGTGCGGCAAGGTCACACGATGGCTTTACCAGGCTTGACTTCCTACCACCACCTTCGATTCTACTGCAGCCGCCGATAAGGCTCCTTCATGGCGTCGAAGTTACTTGAATATGCATCTATTTGCCTAGTTTTGACGCTCAACGCCTTTGCGAACGACCAGTTGCCTTTGAACGCGTCGCCTGTGCTAGGTACCCTGCACAGATTTTTACGAAATGAGAGTATAGTATTCAATGAGTTGCAAGTACGTTATCTCCCTGTCTTTCAGGGATTTTTAACATCTTTCTCTTGCAGAAATTCGACGTCGATATCTGGCAAGTGACGCCCGAGCTCGTCGACATATACATGCCTCTTTCAGGACCAGGCCTACCGGAAGTTCTTCGCGCCATTCCAAGTTCCTCTACGCCCGTTCACAATCAAGATATTCCATACTATTTGCGCCAAGTCGAACCATGGAACCTTGCTTCCCTTGAAAATACAACGTTCCACAACGAGTACCATCCACTTTACGAAATTGACGACTTTGTCTACCAATTGGCAGAGCAACACCCTTCAATAGTGAGCATCGTCCACTTAGGCCATTCAGGTCAGGGGAGGGAGATGCGGGGCCTGAAAATATCTAATGGGCCGACGGAGGTAAAAAAGACAGATTACGGAAAGGGTGTCGATCCGTCGCAGAAGCTTGGGTTCGTCATTACAGGCGCTCAGCATGCTAGGGAGGTGTGTACTGCTCAGTTCATTTCATTCCTTGTTGTGCTCAAGTCTCCCAGTGGGTCGCTACAGCAGCGGCCCTGTACATTTCTCATGCCCTGGTCGTCAATTCATCCGAAAAATACTCCTTGTCATCGCTTCTGGATACTTATGCAAGTTTTACTCAAAATACATCTCACATGTGAAGCTTACAGTTCCGTTGTTACAGGATTTTTACATTGTCCCGACTCCTAATCCTGATGGATACGACTTCACCTGGGAGAGCGACCGCTTCTGGTATAAAAACCGCCAGATCATGGGTCCTAATGAAAAATGTATCGGATTGGATATGAACAGGTGTGTTGCTTATTCTTTTGCTTGACGCACGAGGCTGATTAGCTTGCAGGAATTGGGTACTCTCTACCTCATATTTTCACGCACGTTCTCTCATCCCTTTACGCAGGGATACAAGTGGAAGTCCAATGCAAAGTACTTTAAGAAACCTACAACACCCGTTGACCCCTGCTCGCATTGGTTCCCCGGCCATCGACCGTTCGAAGCCCCAGAAGTGAACAACCTCGCCAATTTTATCACGACGCTCCCTAACCTGCTCGCGTTTATCGACTTGCGAAGCTATGGCCAAATGAGTGCGTCCCTGATGAAAAGTGAAATATCATTGCTCACGAATGTTGTCGTAGTCTCCTCTCCGTACTCATACTCGTGCAAACGAGTGCCAAAGGACGCCGAGGATCAAATCGAAGCTGCAACTGGGGCAGCGCGCGCGTTACAACTCACTCATGGAACAGTATTCACAGTACGTCGTCGTTGCTGAACAATTGCCAGGAGCTCATCACATTACAGATTGCGTCCCTCTGCGAGTCCCTGTACCGGCAAGTTTGTACATTCGTAAAGTAATCATCTACTCATCCGAATATAGCGCCCCCGGGAATATCGTCGACTGGATGTACGCCCGTGCAGGGATCAAGTACTCTTATGCCGTTCACCTGCGTGACACAGGAACGGTCAGTGCGCTTTCGACCTTTGGTATTCTTATCCTGACTCTTCCCAGTATGGATTTTCACTACCGCCAGAATGGATCCGGCCCGTCGGTGAGGAAACAGGAAAGATGGTCAAGTACCTTGCGGAATTTATTGCAAAACAATTGAAAAGTCCGTCGTCGTCAGTGTTACATTGATATAGTGCTGACTTGGTCGTCGCAGGATGAAACAATGGGATTTTTTATGTGATAGATGTATTTTCGTTTTGTGGCTTATGTGAAGTTGTATTACTATCTCTTTTCTTTTCAGTTCAATGATGAATCACGACTGTGAACTCACGGTGTGGAACCTAGACTGCTTTCTTCGGAGGTTGGCTATTTTTGGCGGGACACGGGTGTTTGACCGTCCTAGTGAAATACACTGGGGTTTTCGAGCTGTGACGGAGTTACTGGTCCCCCTCTTATTTCCTTCCATTGGGCTACCGTGTTGATGCTATGTGAATTTAGCGGCGAACCTGCCGACATTCATATTGATGGGCTCATGCGGCGGGCCTTTAAAAGTGGAAGGACCTGACAATCAACATGAGATGATAACCGATGGTATTGATACTGGTAAATACGTGCTGTGAGATAAGAAAAGACGTGAAATAGATACTGGCACATACATTGCTACACATGATATAAGACAAGGTGGATGATGGCAAGAGCATAAAGAGGAATATATAGAGAACACAAGTCCAGCACGAGCCCACAGAGAAAAAACGGAGGTCACCCTCGCCGGCGGTCATCATCAAACTCCATTTTCCCTATCACCTCTTGCGATCCTTGGCTCGCAGCCGAACCGTACCTCGGGCGCACAAATCCCCTCATCCCAAGCCCAGTGGGACTCTCCCTCCCACGGCTCTCGGGGCTATCAGTCTTCTTCCTCCGAATGCTCCCCTCAATCCCTCCCAGCCCTTCCAGACTTGCAAGGAATGTCTCATTCATCTCCCGAAGCTTCTCGTCCACTTCTCCCTCACTTGTTAGCACGGCGCCAGATGTAGAGATCGTTTCCTGCTTTAACAGCAGCCCACCCTCTTCCTTCTGTGGCGGGGGCATCTCTGGAAACGCTTGCCGCGGAGACTGCGAGTGCAGCCTGTGTCTCCCACTCAGTGGTTTCCTCGCGTCAATATCCTGCACAAACGTCGAGATCTCGTCGTCATCCGTATTCGTGCTCAGGAATGAGGCACTCCCGACCTTCTCATTCCCGCTACCACTGCCCTCACTTCCCGGACCCAATGATGGGGCATATCGATGGCCGAAACTGCTTGAATATCGCTTCCTGGGAGGCATAGGCGGTTTCGAGCTATCCGAATCATCACTGCGCAAGCTCGAAGGTGCAAAAGGGGGTGAAGCCCGGCTTGCAAGGCCTATGGGTGATAGAGGAGCCGGTGGCCGACTCATCGTCGGGGATCGCGTAGGGCCTAGTGTCGGCAGATTCGCTATGCCTACAGAGGATAGTGATCCTCCCACACCGCCTCCAACCGAGGTGCTACTTCCCCCAAGGCTTCCACCTGAAGGCGATGCAGATGCTAATGTGTTGGTCTTGAACGGATGCACGGGATTGATACTTGGACGACGGATAGCAAGAGGAACTGATGGGAGATCTGCCGTACTACTTCGACCGATGCTCTCCTTACGCAAACGCGCTGCCAAGGAGAGTCCAGATGGTCGGCTGCTGTTATTGTCGAGCGATCCGGACGTAGAACTGGGAGGTAAAGGTACGTTCCTCGGACTACCACTGATTATCGATTGAGGCCGTGAAGAGGAGGAAGGCAGGACAAATCGGTCTGCAATAGAAATACTTATTGGAGATCTAGGGAGGGATGTCCGGATGGGAAGGCTGCTACCTGGTGATCCTGTTATCGAGTCTCGCTGAAGATTCTTGGTCAGTGTCGGCACAAACTCTGGGCCTTCCGAGAGGAAACGTGACGAAAGGAGAGATTCCAAGTCATCTACCCGGAAATGGGGCGTCGTCAGATACGTCGCAGATAGCGAGAGCGTGCCCATGGGGTGGGATACAGGCGCGAATACGTGCGTCTTGCTGGGAAGAGGAGGGGCGCCTGTTGCTGGCGACGCATCTGATGATAAAGGATGAGATCATCATTTGGCGTGAACTGTGAAGGACATACCGAAGCCTAGAATGAGGCCGGAATCACCTAGCGCCTGTGTTCGCACCCGCAATTGGATATTGAGGTTCCCATTACCTGCCCCGCGTCTCCGGAGCCGCTTGCACAGTTTCCATGTGGGGAGGATACGCAGCAGACTGTACAGGCTGCGAAAGAGCGGTATGCCATGTTTGTACACTGTGGACAGCGCGACGTCTGATCCTTCGTCCTCGCTGATATGGCGAGCATTGAAGTCGAGCACCCAGCTCTCGAGTAGAATGTACTTGGGCGTCGGCTTTATCTGCAGCCTGGATGAATCTGGCGAAAGGTAGACAAGGACCTGGTTGCTGCTCAGCTCTGGTACAGACAGAAGGACCTGGATTTCCAGTGGTGGTGGTGGTGGTGGAGACATCGACACTGACTTGTACTTGTCGCGAATTTCCTTCGGAAACATATCAGAGTCGTGCGTTTCCAGGTTGAACTGTGAGCTTTTCAGTATTCTGCAGTAACATACAAACACTTTCTGCGCACCCATTTGTCGACCTTCGACTGTAATCGCGACTCAGCAGTCGTTCTAGCATCGCTAACGACGTAAAACAGTTTGGTATAGAAGTGCAACGCAATCTGGTCGGCCTTGTGGTTGTCATTGGACATCGTTGGTAAAGAAATCAGGATATTATGCGTGCAGAGCCATTTCTAGGGCATTCAGGCAGGATATAAGGGAGAAATGCGACGGAAGTATGGTGGTAAGGTGGTAAAATGCTGGGGTCCGCGAGGGTACCACACAAAGGTACGATTACTTAAGCCCTGCCCAAGCACGACCCCACGTGGTTGTGGCGTGCGCCCTTGCCGTATTCCTTGACCTTTACACTTAGGATTGCCTTAGGATTCTTACTGTAATTACCGCAATAATTACAAGTAATGAAGATTAGCTTGAGGGAGCGAGAGTATATCTTCATTTTTTTGCTTCAGTGAATTTACCGCAATTGGCGTCTGTGATTCACACTTTGTCACTTTGTTTACTATTCAGGCCATCATGCATCAGCTGTAGTAGGGATCAGATGGCGCCTTTGAGAATCAGTTTTGATAAGAAAAAACACTGGGGCTGTAGGAGCGGGCTCCGAGGCCGACCCTATCATACTCCTTTCCCTGATTGCCGCCGTAGGCACCTTTAAGTGGATACTAAACCTCGAATCACTACCTCCTAGATGCTTGGACTGTGTTTTCCTCTGGAGGGGGGTCGTAGACTGGATTCTAGCATAATGACGATACTTTTCCCCAGCCCCCTCTCCCTTTCGCATTTCGGTAATCGCCGTTTACCTTCAAGCTTCGAGTCTTATGAACGGGGGCGTGATGCACACAATCCGCCAACCTGTCGTTTCGATATTCGACAATTTATATAAGAGTGGAAATATTGTGTTGTCAGAGACATCTCTCTAAGGTTTTCGGGCTCCGTTAATGCCACTTCAATTGCTAAAATGTTTATGCAGCAATGTTCGTGGGGTGCATGATAGTCTTCAGGCCTGGCGGATTAGGATCGACAAAGCTTCTATGTTCTACCAACGTCTTCACGCTGTGATGCTTATTGCGGACTTAGGGCCTGTGATTGTCATGATCTGACTACATGGAGAAGGTTGTTCTCTCGACTCGGTTCCCTCTATCAGCCGATTCAAACCTTCCTCAGTGTAGGCAAGGGCAAGCCCTACAACCTTTTGACTCTGAAATTGACGATGCTCAGACTTCTTAAAAGCAATTCACTTCATATGGAAAAACTCTCGCACGCATGCAGGAATTTATCGCTCTATGGAGTTGTACAACCCGAGGCGGGGGTTAAGTACTCTAAATCTCGAAAGGGTTCTTGGTAAAATGGCAATTTCGTGATGGAATCACTGATCGCTGGTCAGGTATGTTAGTAGTGTTGCTCAAATGTTCGCTGCAAGCAGAAGGCCGGTTGGACACTTACGCCTGAACACCTGGAAGAATAAAATTATAGATATGACGGTCAAACACGCGTATCCCGTTAAAAATAGTCAACCAAGCGATCATCTGCTCCCCACATAAAGTTCATGTAGATATCCTGAGGTTTCGATGGGAAATCAGGAGATTCCGGCAATAGCAAGTAAAGATTGTGCGTAACTTGGGGTGATGAAATCGCAAGTCGAGCAGCTGACAATCGGTTTGTACACGTTGGTAAGAAGCATATGATTTGGAGCACAATACAAAAAAGGGAGAGTCTCAGTTATCTCATATCACAAGCAGAAGTACACGGACACCCGATGCGCATTTACTAGATATGCCGATGACGCGATACTGAAGGATCGTCAATCAGGCACGGACCAGGATCTATGATCTTGATATTAGCACCGCTGCTTAATTGCGGTTCAGAACTTGAAGCCCAACATACCTAAGAGACAGTACGCTTCGGCGCACGACAGAGTTTCCACCACTTGTTGCTCTGGTCCCTCTGTGGCTAAATGATTCCACGACATGAGCACCGAATTTATCCGAAGTGTAAAATATAACTCAAACCTTGTTACTCTCGTTTGAAACATCTATACGTACCAAGACTTAGCGCGAATGCAGAGTAGAAAGTGAAGTTGCCTACGAGCTTTCATACACTCCCAGGTGCAAATAACACCCATACCATACTTGGAATCTTCAAAATACATCGTGCAATAGCCGAGGAGTGCATATTGCTTGGTCGGCATATACATCTCCCCTGCCTTCCAGACATCAATGCAAGTCTGGATGGGAAGGTCACCGCACTCCGGCTCGTTGAACTTGGGAGGGCCCCCTTGTTCGACGCGCTGCCTTCGTTCGTTGGATAGAGCTTGGAGGATGTCAGACATTATTGGTTATACGGACAGCGTTCGGTGAAGCTACTCCCTTGATATAAACCTCAGAAATGCGGTGATTAATAGCATGCTTAGATGTCGTGCCAGGGGCATGCGTCTCCCCCACTAGGGCTCACGTCACTCAGTAGGTCATCGTTAACTGGATCGGAGTCGAATAGACTGCGCAGAGTACCAGCCTAGGGATGGAGCCTCCAAAGGCGTCCGAAAATGAAGCCAAGAATTTATGTGTACCAGCGGCTCTTTTTCGCGAATTAGGAGAATCCATCACCAATTTGGTTCAGAAAAACATCAAAGAAGACATGAAATTCTAGGCTTTGGTGTTTTCCGCCGAAGGAATGCGAGCGTCAGCGAATCAGCAGTGGATAGCCCATATTCGCCTAATACGAGCAAATATACCCTAGAGAAATTGGAGCGTCAGTCTTTTATTAGATAGCCATCTCAATTCTCTAACATTCTTTTCCAAACACCTGACGCTCGTGTAAGCAATCCGTAGGCATGTCCGTCTCCATTGTCTCACAGAAACTCGAAGTCTAAGTCACTCTGCAGGCCAATGACTGTTCACTTGGCTATTTTCGCTCGCGCGCGCTCCGTGGAACACACGGTCCATCCTGGGAAGAAGAAATACATAATGTGAAGCCTTGCAGTGGATAGACGCGTAACGGCGACTAGAGGGCAGCCTCGGCCTAACCCCGCGCCCGATAATCGATAGCCAACGTGCTATTCGAAAGAAGGAGGGTGTTTGATTCGATATACTCCGCGAACCTCGTGGATGCAAATATAGCATGTGCTATCCTAAATGAGCTCGAAAGTTACAACCAGAGCGTCTTGGTCATGCTCTTCATCATTATGAAGGTGCTTCCGTGCAGTGGAAATTAACGTGTGGGTCGGGTGCGTTTCATTGATGCTGAGTGCGATATAGCCCCGTGTTCTTTCCTAGGTAAACACTCTGACCAATCAGTATATGGAATTCGGAGACGGAAGCTGTTCATACAGAACATAGCTCAGTCATCGGAGTCGCCATGTCACGGCAGTCGTCCCAAGAGGTTACGAACTTGGATTGTGTATTCCTTCCAGGGATACCAAGACGCACATACCTCGTCCGCAGTAAGCTCAAAGGGGTGTAACAAAATCAAAGACGCGTTCGGTTGAGGCTGGCCCCAGGGAAATGAGTAGTATCAACTTCTGTTACAAAGTCGATATCAGTACCAGTGCACCAAATCTGAACTGTTATGGATGCCGTTCTTACCTGTTGGTCAATAGCGGATTATGTGGTCGCCACAACACATAAGGCGCCAACGAAAGCACCTCGGGCTCAGTAATATCCGCCTTGAGATCGTTCCGACCGTTGACCGCAGAGAACGTCTAATTTTCTCAGATCACCTTTTGGATTCCACGACAAGCTTTCTCGACCGCTCCAATGCGGAAGACGCGAATAGCTAGGAATACTTAGACTCGCAAGGTAGTACTTATATGAAACGTTCACAGTTCGAATGGGTGTTTCCGGTGCTCTCGACTTTCGCTTCTGACTTAGCCTCGTCGTATGAGCCATGACGGCGATGGAAACTAGAGAAGGCGAAAGACGTTCTTCCGTTGTACAGGCGAATCGATGACTTTCGTGAACGGCCCGCAATTCCGATTCTGTAATGAAATCTTGTGGTACTGGTTCCCAGAGATAGCCCAATGACCTTCCGGATTCAAAGATGGCACCTACTTAAGGTCCAGACCAACATTGGTCAGAGGAGCTTCACTGATTATTCCAGGGTCGTACCAATTTGATACCAAGACTTGGGTGACGTATTAGTGACGGTGTTACCACCAGATATGGATTTCACCTTGCCTAAAAAAAATTCTTCCTTCGAAACAACATTCATAACAGTGCAAGCACTACAACATGAATGTGAAGGGAGAAGGCCTCATCATTTATTCTTTCGAAAAATCACTTCACATTTGTGGAAACAGTTGAAACGTAATTACATGTTCCATCGGCACCAAAACCATACAATGACTATCTAATTTTCATTCTTCCTCTGATGCATCGCCGCATCTTCACAGAAAGAATGAAAATAGGAAAGGGGTTGCCAAAAATTGCTATAAGCCGAAGCAAATAGACGGGTTCGGATGTATAATTTGCAATCAGCAAAATAACTGTACCTCGGTAAAGACCTCACTGGTGACAGTAAACCCTAGCACAAGAGATAAAGAATCAAAAGCCCGGGTGTGACCTTATATACGATTTACCACAGCGCACGGACCATGACGATTTATAGAAGGTTTCGCGCAAATCTTGCATGCCGACGCAAAATGCCGAGGTGCCGTTGGTCCGAATCGTTGAAGCCCCTCCCTAGAATGAGACAATGCTCAATTTGAATCATTACTGTCATAGTACATTAAGATGTGACTAGGATAAACAACTAACCGCCCGCCTATAGTGCACGAAGCTCCGTCCTAGAATGTTCAAACTCAGCCTTCCACCTGGTAAATCCTCTCAAGGGTACCTCCCCGCAAAGCGTCTTTGTTATGTGATGAAGTTCGTCAAGAGACTGCTCCATCACAGTTAGCGCGAAAGCCTCACGTTCAAAACAATCTCAGACTCACATGCAACAGCTGATACACCGCAACCACACCAGCAGCATAATACATGTAGTCCACCGAGGTAGCAAATTCCGATGTCAGCGTGTCCCGGCTAGCATAGTTGCTTTGGTGGTAAAACAGTTTCTCCAGAAGAGTCTCTGGAAGAACTTGATGTATCGGCTCAGCAGTACGCAAGGACTGTGATACAAGCGAAAAAAGGCCCATGACATCCGAAATCTAGATTCGATGGTTCAGTACCTGCGCGACAACAATGAGAATGTAGCGCACAAAGTTGGGATTCAGCACGCCAGTATGATGGAGAAAAGTCACCCGCCAAGCGTCGTCAAGCTGCATAAGTGCGCCTCCAAGCTAATCGGTGAAGATCAAGTCAGTTTGAACAATCAGCAACTGGGAAGACAGAACGGACCTGTGACAAACTCGATACCATTTCAATCTGCACCTCCACCAGCTGTACGTATTCCTCCCTGGGCCACTTGCCACGTAGACTTCCTTCCCATGTCGCTAGCTCCGTTAGCTCCCGTATTGTGCGCATCTCCACCGAAGCTCCCATAACTTTGTTACGGAATTCCTTCATCCACTTCGTCTTGACTTGCTCTCCTTGCCGTTCATCCTTTTCTTCGTCAAGGTCTACCTGTGATATCCACGCTGATATGAGGTGTCCGTAAAGCTTTGACAGCGATGCTATCGATGATGCATTTCGTAGACGTACGGCTTTTCGGCCTGAAGTCGGGGGTAGCATCATGACTACGAAAGATGCACCCGAACCTGAGAAAGATCAGATAGAAATAAGAAATATGCGTTTGGAAGCCTACCGATGACAACCAAAACCCAGCGCCTCCAGGCGACGGACCAACCTTGGCCTGTCATGAATTCAGTCGATGCGTCTCCTCGAGCACCAGAATAGTGGACGTACCAGGGGTAGCCAGCTGAGGTAAATGCCCATCTATCCACGAATATCCAACAATGAGAGCAAATGTAGCCTAGTAAAACATCATAGAATGACTTTTGTGGTTTCGGAGGGCAGGACATATACTCACACATGCCAGAACAACCCCCTGAAGATACTTGTAGGGACCGAAAAGGCGAACGAAAACTATAGGGATGAGTAAGAAGCCTACTGCTGCAGCGGATCCGTAGACATTCCCGTGTGATTTAGCATTGCCTGTGTGGAACATGAGAAAGACAAAGTCATCCCTACACTCTGATAATAACTCGCCTAGGTACCAGCCGAGAAGGCCGGCGACGAGTCCGGCGAAAGTACCAGTCAAACGGATTACCAGACTATAGAGGTTAACTGGTGAGAGAGGTAGAGAACGAAAAAAGGCTACCCACTTGTATATCTGATCCGCAGCGTACAGATTAATCATCGTTTGAGCCATGATGAGTGCCCTATATGACCAGGGTCAGTCTATAAACGGCAACGCAGGAAGCGAACGGTACCAAATGCCCTTCTCCCTGTAGTAAAAGACTACGAAAAATAATGGTTATTCCCAAAGAAAAGGTATCCAGCTGGACAGACATACATGCGGAAGACCGAACCACACAAGGAATCCAAAGAGCGATAGAAATGAAGATGTATTTGAAGGCGAACTGCAGTTTAAGTGAGTCACCGACAGATCTAGCATTTGTTAAAACGTACGATAGCTTCCGGAGTCTCCATCCAGCGATACACGGTAGAGATATAATGCATGACTCTCTGGAAAGCATTGGTCGGCGGCCTGCTATCCGGGTCGCGTCCTACATATGAATTATCAATACCCAAAGTATAATCAGTAGCCTCTACATTTCACGCACGATGATCCACTTCGTGCTCCTCCAACATATCCCGACCAATAGCATGGGGCGACACGTCTTCTCCAAGCACCCCATTCGCCTGGTCACCCTTCGCTGAGAGGATCTTCCAAAGCTTTCTCAGGCCCTTAGGGGCCCACAACCGGTTAGCCTTCCTCTTCTCCATAGTATCGCTCACAAGTGTCATCAATCCCAACGTGGCCTCGGCCACATTGATCATCGACGTAGCAAACACGTATGACACGTACAACGAGCGGAGTGGAAGGGTCTGGCTCCCTTCGATGAGCTCGGGCTTGTTGAGGATGGGCATAAAAGGGTTGATCAGAGCAAGTCTGTTGGTCTTTTTGAATTCATCAAGGGAAGACTGGAGCTGCTCGATGGCTTTATCTAGCTCCACACGCGCCTGTGCGTCCATATCTGCGTTGCGACTCCAGCGGTATTGATTGATATGGTTCAACGAACGCTTGATCACTTCGATACCATTCGAGACGGTTTGTCGGAGGGGACCCGTAGAGCGGTCGATGATGGGAAGGACCTCAGATACGTGGACCTTGTGTTCCACTTCGATGACCTCGTTACGCTCGTGGAATCGCCGGAGTAGATAGCCGTCACTGGTATCGGGAATTGTGGTGGTAGAATCAGAACGGAGGCGCTCGAAGAGATGTTGGGACATGCAGATGAGCTGAGAGAAGCTCTGGAGACCAGCTAGGATAATGAATTGGTGAATCGGATGCTAGGACAGCAAACGGGGAGGTACTGACCAACTCGAGTGACAAGTGTGAGGAGTGGTTCCAACAGATCCAGCACGTCATCGCCATTCCATCTACCGTGACTGAATTCCAAGTGGATAAACCGGGACGTAGCCATAACTGTCATTTGAATGAGTACCTCCGATTTGATCAACAAAGGAAGACTTACGCTGTTGCTGAGAGAGTACGACTGTCGCCCTAGCCGCTTTGGCCTCCTTGATTAAAGGTGAATGTTCGGAAATCAGGTGCTCAGGCGGTGTACGCAAGACTTCGTCTTGGGTCTCCACTATTTCTTTCAAACGGTCCAGCTGTTCCAATATGTCGTTAATAAGCGAGTGATTCATGCTTTCGGGGAAAATAAATATGGTCGTCAAAATCGCAATAGCCATATAGCAAGAAACCGATATGGCCATCGAGTTCATTAAGTTGTAGCGAGCGGATGGAAATAAAGGCCCGTAGGTCTACGGGTAAATTAGCTTCCACTCTTGAGCTCCAAAGCTGGGGTGACTCACGGCAAAAATGTCCACTGCAGTACAAACAACATGTGTTAGGTGGACAAAAGAAAAGAGCGAAGTGAAGGCGTACTTGCAATAGTTCCAAAGATACTAAGGAATACCAGAGTTGGCGCGTACGCACGGAAAAGACCCATCACGAAAGCTCCAAGCCCCAGGAAGCATCCATACACCACTGAAGCGCTGCGAGAAAGAGGTAAGTCACCCATTTACGTTGGCAGATACAGTAGTAGCGTACCGAGTATCCAGAAAGACACCATGGTAAATTGCGGTGGTTTGTGCTAGCGCAGGATTGGCTTGAAAGACCGGATTAGCTGCTATGCTGTACGACAGTCATTCAAACGGTGACGGTATATAGCAAGCTTGGTACTAACCTTGCATTTAGAACGGCCATCGACGCTTGTAGGACAGATGGATCTCGAGACTCATTGGCCGCACGCATGGCAGCTGCACCGATACCCCATCCCAAAAGGAGCCCAACCTCAACAGTAGTCATGATCTGCAGAGTATAAGATGCGGGGTTGTAGGGGAGTAACGAATCACTCACAAAGAAAAAGAGTTGTACAGGTAGGTAGGGTGGCACAAACATGCTTGTTAATAACGCAAAGAATCCGCTTGAAATAAGGTGAGCTTTACGGGAAATACCAGCCAGGGTCGCAAACGTACACCGTACCGAGCGTTCGCAGTGACGCATTCGGCAGTATGATCAAATATGCCACCCACGAAGCTATACATGATCTAACCATTATCTTCCAGGACCTCTTCGAGCGTAGGTTTTTCGAGATCCACGTGGGAAGGTGTGACCACAGAGTAGGCGGGGGCCTTGCCTTGAGTGGGGGTACAGGAGGAACAGGAGGGGCGTCATGCTGTTGTTTGCGATCGGACGCGAAGGACTGAGTTGAAGGCGAGATCTTGACTGTCCTCGCCATGGCGGTGGGGGTTCAACTAGGAGGGAAAAAGCGGGGAAGGGTAGTGATAGTTGTAATATACCCTCCTTTCTGGTTCGAGTCGAGATGCATGTAGAATGCATGTACTTATTTGACAGTTGAATACCTCGAGGTGACCGTACGCGACCGACACCGAGTAACTATTCAGTCAGAAGCGCGGCTTTCACACGGCGTTTTGTGTAGTACGGCACAGCCACAACACCGTAACCCCCCGAGACGGCGTTCCTTAACAGTACGAGTGTGTAGGGTTCGCATCCAAATCGGAAAACCATGGATACTGGAGCAACTTGTGGACGTGATGCTGAAGGGTAGTAGGGTCTATGGCAAGATACGAGATGCGGACTGGCTGCTGAAACACTGTTATGTCGAAGAGTCTAGCCTTCGGCGGACAATAAACGAAGGGAGTCAATTGAGTCGGGATACTGAAACCGGGTAAGGCACCACCAGCTGTATTTCTCGTCGGGAAATCATCACAACATCACCGCAACCCATGGAAACAGCAGTGTAATAGTATCATAGGTTCCTGAGGAACATTTACGACTGCGGTTGAAGATGATTGCTTCTGGGTACTTGGGACTTGGGGTAAACGAAACTGGGCTTAATTGGGCACGCATAATATAAATCGCGTGATTGCCTGCCAGACTCGCATCACTGGTAAATGAAAATGAGCATTTCGAATTCCATAATAGCTGGGTACAAAAAGGAGGCACCTTGGCGGACACGTCGAATTCATCACAGTGAATCACCTATCCACAAACATGCTTTAGGGTGGTACCTTGGGTCGTGTCTTGACCAAACATGAGGACCAGGCTGCATGTATCGCGCCAATTACTGACACGAGACCCTATGCTGGTGGGTCTCAGTTCAATACAGTCATTGCCGCAATTATGGGCAGAGGGGAGTGTTGATTCCGGCGGCAAACTGCGCTGCGCTACACGTCCTTGATCTGTTTCCTGCAGCGGCATCAATGAGTTGAGGCTCATTCGAGGGAGAGGCGCTACGCACCAGCAGCAGTTCGGTACCAGGTAGACATACAATCATCATAGTGAACATTTCAACGGTATCATAACAAACACTGGCGGTAAAATGCCAATGGTAGGACAGTGGGTAAGTTATAAATCCGGAAATCGGCCCGATCAGTCATCACATGATCGCCTGTGACGCTTACAACGGGTTATACATCCTCGACATTTCTTTCTCCCTAACCATCATGACGACCTCTCTCGATTATTTGAAGCAGACTGGTACCGTCGTCGTCTCCGACTCTGGTGACTTCGAATGTTTGTCTTTCATGTACGCTGCTACAAAATATCACTGATGATGCCGATAATGTAGCCATCGATGTCTATAAGCCGCAGGTAAGGCCAGCACATCACCAACGGGACCCGGTATGCTGATGAATAGATTTCAGGACGCGACGACCAACCCATCATTGATCCTGGCTGCCGCCCACAAGGCCGGATATGCTCGTCTCATTGACGCTGCTGTCGCCTTTGGCAAGTCCAAGGGTGGTGACATCGACACCCAGGTCAATGCCGCAATGGACAGGCTCGTGAGTATTGTATCTAAATTGTGTGGAGCTCTGCATTCATCCTGTCGTCATCATTAGCTCGTCGAATTCGGCAAAGAGATTCTCGCTATCATCCCGGGCCGGGTTTCCACTGAGGTCGACGCACGTCTTTCCTTTGACAAGGAGGCAACAAAGGTCAAGGTGCGCAATACTTGCCTATGTCGCTATCCCTGCTCATTTTTTCCACCAGGCCAAGGAACTTATTGCCCTTTACGATTCAGTGGGTGTCAAGAAGGAACGTGTCCTCATCAAAATTGCCTCGACCTGGGAGGGCATCCAAGCTGCCCGGGAACTCGAACGGGACGACGGTATTCACTGTAACCTCACCCTCCTCTTCGGATTTGGTCAAGCCGTTGCTTGTGCCGAGGCCGGTGTCACATTGATCTCTCCTTTCGTTGGCCGTGTAAGTAGACCTTCTGACCGCTATCGATTGATCTCATATCCGCACAGATCTTGGATTGGTACAAGAAGTCTACTGGCAAGACCTATGAGGGTGACGAAGACCCTGGTGTTATTTCTGTCAAGAAGATCTTCAACTATTATAAGCAGTATGGTTACAAAACCATCGTTATGGGTGCCTCTTTCCGTAACGTTCGCATCCGGCATTCGCTTCAACCGTTGTGCCTATACTTATAGATGCTTATAGACCGGAGAGATTAAAGCCTTGGCCGGTGTCGACTTCTTGACCATTTCACCTTCCCTTCTGGAAGAACTGAAAAAGTCAACGGAGCCTGTTCCCAAGAAACTAGATTCGGTTGCCGGTGAGTTTCCCTCCAACTTCCCCACGTATGATCTGACGCACGTGTACCGCCGCAGCTGCCAAAGCCAAAGACCTTCCCAAGGTCAGCTATATCGACAACGAGCCTGAGTTCCGCTGGGCACTTCTCCAAGATCAAATGGCATTCGACAAGTTGCACGAAGGCATCAAGAAGTTCGCTGAGGATGGCGAGACGCTCAAGGCCTTGCTCAAGACCAAGCTTTCCGCTTAAACGGTAAGGTTCGGAATGAAAATATGTAAACGATTGTATAGTGTTAGCCAAGATGCGAAGTAAGTAGATTTTTGTATGTCATAGACTGTTACGTTTCATTTCGACTGGACTGCTGAGATTGAAGTTCTCATAAAATGACTCACGTGTGGTATGTAGCGATCTTGGCGTCTTTTTACAGTTCGACAACATATGGCCACATTTGTGAGTACGCTGATAACCGTGTTGAGTGATTCGCGCTGGCTGGTACCGGGTTAGATCAATATGTTAAGTCCTTGTGAAAATTGTGACGCGATGCATGGAACGCCTCTATCAATAGAATCCTTTTGTTCAGAGAGGAGATACATGTACTTGTTCGCGGGACGCGGTGACAGACCAAACTTAATCATCCCCAGCGAAATCTTGAAACATCCAGTGTAAATCGGCGTTCTCCTCGATGCCCGTTCAACAGCTCTTGGGATCCAGGTGCAGACCTATCGAATCACGAAATACAAAATAAGCACTGGGTAGACATGACCTCAGACCGTGACCGGCGGAATGACCTTTTGACCGAGTTTTGATTCGAGGGGCAGAGCATCGCGTGGTGGAATTGACTATATGGGTCCATGTTTGACATCAAGGTCGGACTCAGCAGTGGACTCCGAATTACATTGCAACGTGAAGGTCAACAAATCCCCCCTTCATCCTCTTTTTCCTTCCGAGAGGTTGTCTGTTCGACTTTTAGCCTTCACGCAATTTTACCATGTTGAGTTTTTCCTCCTCTGGTTGTCGCCCCCTGTCCGGGCGGCGGGACGGTATTAAGCGGAATGGCGCTCGTGGCGATGTTTGGCTATGTCTTCAGACGCCACGTTTTTCGCAACATCACGTTTTCGACAAATATGGCATGGCACTCCCCTCACTCCAGTCCCGGATTCCTTTTGCGACCGCGCTCCCGCTGCCTCGCGGAAATAGTTCGACCGGCTTCTTCAAATCATGTATGTCGTACCGATGCGGTAGCAAGTAGGGGCCGACCGGTGTCGGTGAGTCTTCGAGTACCGAATTCTGATTAAAAGTTTTGGATGGAACCGACATAGTCTGGCTCTCTCTCATGGAGGAGAAAGACATATATCTTATCTAGCAATTCTTTCCATCTCAAGTTGAAATGGAAGTAGCCTATGTAAATTACGAGTCATCGTGCGACATGATCAGGTACCCGAGGCTGTGCAACGTCTTTTTTTTCAGAGTCATTCCAGCAGTATCCGAATCATGGCAACCATTTACCTGTAAAAACAACCGTTGTTTATTAGCGTTGGATGTCCCACCTCAAGGACTTACAAGGACCTACAAGTTCATAAAAACGCGAGATTTTTCTGCGTCAACATGCCAGCTGAACATCCCGCCGGCGATCGTGGCATGTACTGCCACAAGGGCCTATGACGATGCGATTTGCACTCATATTGCTGTGAAATCCCTCTAAGGAAAATTGACGATGCCTCGTTTTCTTACTATCCCAGAGTAATCTTCCTATTTGCTCTGGATTTGCACTGGTTCACTAACGATTCGTCCTTGTTCCCTTCTGAGCCTTCCTCCCGGTGTTGATGACGGGCGCTGTTCCGAATATGACTGTCATTGGAGTCTCGTATATAAGTTCGCTGTACAGCAGCTCTTATTAGCAGCAGGCTTGGACTTGGGTCGTCCCATCGCGTCTGTCGTCGTTCCCGGAACGGGATATCCAACATAGAGGCTCTCCAAAATTGCGCTGTGCGCATTTCCTTAACAATCTACTTTAGTAATGTCACGTCACCAGCCGCGTATTATCGCTTCAGCCCCAACGATACTACTTTACGACGCCGCTGGCCCAAATATTCAGCCTTGGGCTCCGAATATATGGCGCATTCGGTAAGTTCTTCTACATTCGCGCGCGCCTACGTATACTGAATAAATTACCAGATTTATACTAAACTATAAGCGCCTTCGCTATCGTACTATATGGGTCGAATTTCCTGATGTCGAAGCCACTGTACGATCAATGGGTGCCCCGCCCAGTGCTGTTCGAGGCGATGGTCGCCCCGTCTATACTCTTCCCGTAATTGTAGATCCCACGAGAAACCCCGCCGCTCCCCAGATCCTCTCCAACACCAACACGATCGCCGAGTACCTCGAATCGACATACCCTGCTCGACCTGTCTTTCCCCAGGGATCTCGTGCACTCCAAACACTCTACGTCCACTACATACAAGAAGTCTTCGTGAAGCCCCTCCTCCCCATCATGGTCCCACTCAGCCACCAGCGCCTTCCGGAACGAAGTCAGTCGCATTTCCGAGCGTCTGACACCCCGAGCCCTCCTGGGCAAGCTTTTCCTCCCGGCCCACAGCGCGAGGCTACATGGATGGCGGTCAAGGAGCAATTCGACTTTCTCGCCAACGTGTTGGCTAAAAACACCGGGGATGGGGATGGGGTGGTCGCGATGGGTCGAGAGGTTTCCTACGCGGATTTCGCGGTCTGTTCGGTGTTGATTTGGATCGAACGTATGGCGCCGAAAGATGGCTGGTCGAGGGTAAGGACTTGGAACGGCGGTCGATGGTGCCAGCTGTGGGAACGGTGTCGACCCTACATGGATGAGTGCTAAGTCCGGTCAATTTAATTCCTAAATTGCTTCAATAGAAGTACAGTAACCACTTTAGTATTGCTCTATCGTTTTGTTGTATTCCGATCTCTTTTCCACTCGTTGTTGTAGTATTTTGTACTTTTATTTTTCTTTCGTTTTCTATTCGTATATGCCTTTCGTACATAGAAGTTTCAGTATTAATGGGTCTCAGAATGGGTTTTTATCATGTTCCTTCGTTTATCATAACCAAGAGTGTCAAAGGATACCAGTTGTATGAGTCGCAGCAGTTAACAGTTAAACACCTTGGTATTTACTTATTTTTGTGCATCGAGTATCTCCGGTAGGGAATCGGATATTGTCATCAGGAATGATACGGTCGGTAAGCACGTCTCTTTACAACTACCGATCACACCACTGAAGGTTCCGACAAAGTTACGAGTCACGAATATAACAGCAGCGCTCCCAACGGCGCGTGATGATAGGGACGCGTGAGGTAGACAAAGACACAAGATCGGTCGCAACAATCGTCTCGATCCTCTGGTAACATCCGTTGCTGCGGTACCGTTCCCTTTGAGATTGTTAGCGCTGAGGAAAAGATGCCCGCCAAATAAAGTTTCAGCTTTCTTTTTCAAGTTACCGTTTCTGCGGGTGCTTACCCGAGACCATCGCAGACCGAAGCCTGAATCGACTTGAAGCGAAGCGCCCGAAGATTGCCGTATCTTTCACTCCGAGCCCGCGTCTAAATTGTCTAGTGCGTAATTTACATCGAGGAGATGGTACATCTATCTACCATCACGTCGACCTGCCAGTCTGAGAAGCGCATCGGCCTCGACACTAATTTTCAAAAGTAGCCACTAGAGGCGGGCCGCCCCACCAACTGAGATGACGTACTTGCTACACAGGAAGAAGCACTAGTCTCGGTGTACTTATGAAATACACCCAGCCTCGAGAGAACCAAGGTGGGGTAGATCCATGTCAGTGTTGAACTTATAAACGGAGGATTCCGAAGGTTGTTATATCATACGCAGGCCAAGCTAGTGGATGGGGCTCCCGATTGAGCAGGATTGAACACGGAACGCCCTTAAGAATCAAGATCAGAATATGTAATGGAACACGCAGTGACTCTTATTGACGGTACCTATATCACTTCGTGTCTCAAGGAGCTGTCTTTGGTGTGCGCCGAGTCCTTGAGTGCCACCCCACTTCGGCGCTGTAACGTGAATTTGGTTGACCTTCTGATAGTGATCCTCAAACGAGATGACTTGGTTCACAAGTCATAAGCGTAAAATATCCAGAGATAAGTATAAAACAGCACAAAACATAGATTCTTGCCATACATCGTATCTCCATGTCCAGACGTCCTTCGAGTCCTCCAGTTATCATACTGTACGATGTTCCAGGACACAATGCACAACCTTGGGCACCGAACATATGGCGGATACGGTACGTCGTTCCTGTGCTTCCCGGTCTCCTGCCTGAATCGATGTTGTCAGCTTCATTTTAAATTACAAGCACCTCAGATACCGCACCGTCTGGGTCGAATTTCAGAATATAGAGATGACTTTGCGATCGATCGGAGCGCCTCCAAGTTCCCAGCGAAGCGATGGGCGACCAGTCTACACCCTACCCGTCATAGTAGACCCGACGCGGAACTCATCTGCGCCCCAGATCCTGTCCAACCCAAACATCATTGCCGAGTACCTCGAGTCATGCTATCCGGCGCGTCCGGTCTTCCCCGAGGGATCGCGCGCGCTCCAAACACTGTTCGTGAACTATATTCAGGAGGTGTTTGTTAAGCCTCTACTACCGATTATGGTTCCTTTGAGTCACCAGCAGCTACCGGAGCGCAGCCAGACTAATGTGCATATCAGTCAACCTCTTCCCCCGGGACCGCAGCGGGAGCATGCGTGGATGCTTGTCAAAGAGCAGTTTGAGTTCCTTGCCACGATTTTAGATAAGAATGCTGGTGATGGTGACGGGGTAGTTGCGATGGGGTACCAGGTTTCTTACGCGGATTTTGCTCTTTGCTCCGTGTTATTATGGATAGAGAACATGGCTGCTCAGGATGGGTGGGCGAGGGTTAGGCACTGGAATGGTGGGAGGTGGGTCAGGCTCAGGGAACGGTGCAGGGAATATATGGATGTGTGTTAGCACACTTGGGCTTAATTTCTCCTGAATGCGTAGAATGTTAGACCTATGGTACCACTTAGACTTTAGTAATTATTAGCATTAAATCAAGCTACCTGCTCACCGTAAGATTGTTTTATTTGTAAGAGATGCTGATAGAAGGACGATGAGTCCTGAGAGAACGGCGAGATAGAACAGAGGTGGTCAAGCAGTCGCATAAGATAGAATAATTCTAGCTGGTCTCCAAGTGCGACCTCTTCCGTGTAATGATAAAGGATTGACGATGAGAGGTGAATCTTTGGACAGCAAATCTGGGCAGTCGTCTGAGTATGATATGAAGGGGAAGTTTCTGGTGGATGGACCACCACCACAATCGTAACAAAATCGGCGATTTGAATGTCCTGCAGACATCTAAATCAACTATAACTTAGCACGGTATTTTTTTTTTCAGAGCACTCCGAAAAACCTACGGAAATGATGATTGATTTTAATTGGGAGGTCACAAAATCGAGATATCAAGGCAACGCATACGTGAACCTCCGCAAGTTGTTCCTACACAATCATTGGCAAGATCGGAGTCGAACTTGGAAGTCATAGGTTTGCGGCGTGGGAATATTGTATCACGGAACCCGGGCCGCACTCTCCAACTTTGTCCAGCAAGCGCCCATGATGGCAGCTAGTACATTGAGCGAAACAGCTCTTACTCGGTTCGAGAAAGTAGCCCTCAATGTTGATGGGACCTGGGAATGACTATCCTATGCCATGTCTGTGTTCCTAGACAAGGCTTGTCCGGAGCACCGATACCTTTCAAGTTTATCATCTGCACCATTGTCAGTCTGCACCTAAATTTTAAAAGTGTCTCGTGAACAACCAGTGCTGACTGTTCATGCAGATTTTTCGAGCGTTTCACATCCTCGACATATGTCTCACTCAACGATTCTTCACTGGTCGAACTTAAGTGAGACAGAAAACTAGCGCTATGGAACAAATACGGACTATTTGCTAAAGGAATGGAGCGAAAAATCACGATAAGTTGTCCAGGGAGAAAAGTATGCAAAAAGCCAACCGTGACACTGGAGTTTTTTTTCAAAAAAAAATAGGAAGGCAACGCGTCTGTGGCTGCCCAAACTTGTGCTACTCCTGATCCCGCGGATGCTAAACATAAGGAAGATCGGTCCGAGTCGGATATCGTGAGGTAAACGTGTTTTTTTTTTCTATGCCGCGAACATTGGATTCTGAACTTTTTTTTTTAGGTCGCTACTCTTTGAGTCGGCCGCAGTGAGCGGTCGAGGCCAGCTGAGTTTTGCTCACTTCGTATTTCAGTTAAATGCCGAGTCCTTCTCTCTAGCTCTGAGCCTGATGTGAACATAGATTGTGTAGCGATCCTGTTCTTTATTTTCGCGTCTCACTAAAGATCGACCAAAGAAATCTCATGCAAGACCTCGAAGAAAGAAAGAAGTCCAATGAGGAGCCAAGTACTCCTTGCAGGTTTCACATCCTTCTTTAAAACAGGGCCGGTGCGTTCGTTAATTTTCATCCTCACTGGTCTCCAGCATGAAGACTTCCAGCACTATCTCCGCTTCTCTTCTACTGCTGTCCTTGGTCTTCAATGCCGCTGGTAGCCCCAGTAATCCTGGCCGCCTTCGTCGCCGACAAACGGTCCGAACGACGTCAATTTTGAATAGTAGGTGCCTTCGTGCGTTCGTAAGGGCCCCAGCTAAACCTGTGAACAGGTCCCGCGCCCCAACCAGTTCTGCCAACTGCTGAGGAAGCTCTATCAGCGGCAGCCACCGTTGGTTTAAATTTGACTGACATCCAGGCAGATATCCTGTTAGTCAAGTCAATCTCATCATTGTTTCTTGAACTGATGAGATGCGATACAGGGTTGGAATGAAAAAGAAGAAGGAGCTATTCTTTTTTTTCGGTATCCAAAATGCGGCTCACTTCAAGCATAAACTGGCTTCGGATATCCAGCCTCTCATCACGTCTACAACCCAGATTTTGAACGTCACCACTCAGCCTCTAACGGCTGTCAATGTCGCTTTTTCTCAGTCAGGACTTTCAACCTTGGGTATCACCGATAATCTAGGCGACCAGTTCTATTCTATGGGACAGGAAGCTGACTCTGCCGCCATCGGTGACCCTGGAACTGGGAAATGGGTAACGCCATTTGCAGGAATCTCAATTCATGGTGTCTTTCTCCTTGCGTCGGACACGGAGAAAAATATCGACATCACTCTATCCGAAATCTTGTGGATTTTAGGCGATTCTATTGGTGAGTTACACCGCGTTCAAGGTGCGGCCCGCCCTGGATCAGAAGAAGGCCATGAACGTGAGTGCAATCTTTTGACCCATGCTGGCTCTTGATAATGAGTGTATTTAGATTTCGGATTCATGGATGGAATCAGTCAGCCCGCCGTGAAGGGATTCACCGAATCCCCTCTGCCCGGCCAGTTAGCGGTCGATGCCGGAGAAATTCTATTGTCTGAGCAGGGCGACAGCACTACTCGTCCGCCCTGGGCTAAAGATGGTTCGTTCCTGGTCTTCCGTCAGATGGAGCAGTTGGTGCCAGAGTTCAACAAATTTTTGTTGGATAATCCTATATCTGTGCCTGATGTTCCTCTCACTCGCGAAGAGGGATCTGCCCTGTTAGGCGCTCGTATGCTTGGACGATGGAAGAGTGTATGTTACTTATCGTGTGAGATATTTATTCGAATATTGACCTATGATTATAGGGGGCTCCCGTCGATCTTGCGCCGTTATTTGATAACCCTATGCTAGCGACCGATCCTATGATGAACAACAACTTCACCTACCATGAATACGGTCAAAATCAAACTGACCAAACTCGTTGTCCTTTTGCCGCTCATACCAGGAAGGTACGCCCTCGAGCCGATTTCCCCCCGGAGCTTCCAACGAATCATGTCATTCGCGCTGGTATTCCATACGGGCCCGAAGGTTGGACCCCTTGTTTTTTCAGCACTTGTTAATCGGCTGATAGATTGTTATCAGTGACATCTGAGGAAGCAATGTGGAACAAGACGAGCCCTCTACTAGAACGCGGTCTTGCTTTTGGTCAGTTACAATGTTTTGATCCACATGCACTTCGTTTGATTGAAGCCGCTATAGTTGCCTACCAATCTGATATCAACCAAGGCTTCCGCTTTTTGCAGCAAAACTGGGTCAACAATGCAAAGTAGGGATTTCGTTTACCGTCTGTGTCTTAATCTGAGTTTCCTGTAGCTTCTTCCAGAGCGGCACCGGCGTGGATCCTATCATTGGTTCTGCTGGAACTGATCCCTCTTCACGTAGTCGTCCAATCGCTGGTTTAGACCCAACAGACCCTACCCGTGTCATCACATTGCAGAGTGGTATGTGCTCACTTGAAAACGGTCGGTTTTTTGGCTAATAAGTAACCGTTTGATTCAGATTTCGTTGTATCGCGCGGTGGCGAATATTTCTTCTCACCTTCAATATCCGCTATATTGAATACCATTGCCGCCTAATGCACAAAACAGGGTATTGATCGTAGTCAATGTAGTAAATGCAGCCTATGTTTACACAGCAGGGATACCCTAATGATATGACTTCAGGAACTGCATGATGTTAACAAGTTGCCACCGCGAAATTGAGTTTTGTATGATGATCGACGGACAAATATCAAAATCATTTCATTTTTATGTTCTAATCTGCATTCGACGCGACCCTTTAGGCATTATGTGCCTATCTCGCGATGCTGGTATAGCCTATGAACGGTCGGCACGCAGCGAAGAAGCAATACAGCATCTGATTATCAGGATTCATTTCATGGCATGAGAGTTGCTAAAGATTCTGCAATTGTAGATTCACTGTTCAGCAAGTCTGTCCCACTGACAACGGGAATTTTCAGAAAGTGGACATGTTGACATTCACACATCTCTTGTTGAACGTGATAGAAGATCTCTAGGACACATTAATCTCTAGCCTCGTTGATATTCACACACCTGTCGATATTTAAATGGCTGACATGATGCGTTCTGTCAAACGTCGTTTTGTGACCTGGACACATGTTGGGAGCATATGCTCACTTCCCTGATTGCTTTGACACTCTCCAGTCTTCCAAAGTTCCTTCGAAGGTCCTGGGATCCTAGGACTCGTATCGGGATATTTTATACAGTGAGCTCGTGACTTTTCGATCACCAGCGCAGGAATCAAATTGGTCCTTGACGTCCTTTCAAGATGATTGTCAGTATTTCTTGCGTCCAAAGGCTCCGAGTCCTTGCAAGATGCGTATAAGCACTCGTACAAGGAAGCAAACTTGACCAGTACGAAAACCCGATCCCTCTAGTCTAACACGATGCCTTACTATGGACCTGACGAACCGTACGAAACCATCATACTCGAGCGCTACTTCCTGGCGGGGGATGTTGTCGTTGGATTAGGCTTCGGTAAAGACTATTTTTTCGTTGCTGTCTCCATAATATTGACGATAATAGGGATTCAAACCGTGCTCTATGTATCCTGCGCATTATTCCTTTGGAAGCGCCGAAAGCAGAACCCAATCGCTCTCTTCCTACTTGCATACATCACGTTGCTTTTGTCGATTGAGATTATCTTCGTCGGGGTTCAGGCCAATACGGTGCAAATGATATATATCGACAACCGCAACTACCCAGGGGGACCATGGCAATTTTTCCTCGACACTCAAAACCTGGCCGTGAACGTTATATTCTACGCAACACTCTTCGTCCTGACGTTTTTATCTGACATACTAGTGGTGGGTTGACATGCACTTCTAATCCCTGACAATGTTATTTACCCCTGACATAGCTGTGGCGATGTTGGGTTATCTGGACGGCATCCGGTCAAGTCATAGCATATTTTGTAACTGCTTTCCCCGCTATAACACTCTTGGCTTCCTTCGGTATGTCTTTTTATTATCCAAGTATCGCATCTGCGCTCACTACTGTCGTACAGTAATGGGAACGTTGTGGACATTGCAGTCCAGCCAGCCCGGGCTCTCTTTTTACAGTGCCTTGCCTCTTGCCTATGGGGAAGCATATTATGCAATATCTCTCGGTGTGAACATCATGCTCACCCTTTTCATTATTCTGCGACTCTACATGTATCGCCGTAGACTCCTTTCGAGTCTTCCCCCTGAACATGCCCGTCATTACGTCTCACTCGCTACTATCATCGTCGAGTCTGCTGCACTCTACTCAATTTTCGCTATCTTGTTCCTAATCACCTACGCCGTGGGGCATCCAACTAATCAAATATTCCTGGGTGTCGCTTCAGCTACTCAGGTGGGTTTTACCATTTGTCTGAAATAATGACTTGTTGCTAACTCTCAGCGTCCTTGGGTAAAAGCAAATCTCAGGATACCTCATCATATACCGTCTAGCGGAGGGTCGAGCGTGGAAAAAGAACACCCTCAATACGATGCCTTTGAGTTCCATGAACTTTGGCAATCCACCCGTCTGTGCAGAAAGCGGTACTGCAACGCATCTAGGAACTTTGCAGTTACATTCCCGCGCCGCTAACAACGGAGCGAAGGAGGAAGAGAGATCAACAGACGAAGAAGTTTGATGATGGGATAATTAGGTCTGAAGTCACGATCTCACTAGTATATGCGCTTTGATCCTGCGGTTTTTATATGTACCTGGTTCTTCGGTCTTGATTAATATCTATACCTCGTTGTCTTTTCGGGCAGGGGCGGATGGCCAGGAGGAACCCACATGATAAGTATTATTGTTATCGTAAGTTATCCTTTATACTCCTCGATGACCGACTTAGGGGTCTTATATTCGCCAACTGGGACGTACCGATGATTAAACCTATGCATCGGTCAATGGTGTGTCCACAATAAACAACCTACTGAACGTACCCAAATGCAGCAGGACCGCCGCTCTTGAGTCCTTTCTCGCTTTGCCAGAGTGGCGATCCCGCCATGACTATTACAGTAACCCGCAAACCATAAGAATCTAGTGAAACGTCAATGTCATTTCTCGGACTACGGATCATGACTTACACATCTGTGTGCCCAAGTGAGAGCCGCTCTGGGAGTCTAGTACATTGATGAGGTCCGGTACGATGGCAGCAACCTATATATTCGATCAGAAATAGAAGAACTGAAGTATTGAACCGGCATACGCTACGGGTACCATCGGGTTTCTCAACATAGGCGCATAAATTCTCGTTCTGGAATGGAATAATCATGTGGTCACCAGGATCATTGCCCATATCCAATGGAGTAGCAGAGCTGTCTTCTAGCTCATCTTCGCGCAATCGTGCAATCTTGACTTCTCCCCAAGTGAAACCTGCCCGAACTTCCTGCAAGAGTTCATGAGTAATTTGAGCACAGACGTAAGAAAAACAAACAAACACGAGAAACATCGACAATCTTTCCGATAAACAGGAGCTTGCCGTTCTGTAGCTTCAGAATCTCATCTGGCACGCTCTTCAAATCACTAAATCGAGCCGGGCTATAAGTATCGGATCTGAGCGTGTAATTACGACATACTTCTTCTGCCGGCACGTAGCGATAGCACGGCCGATGCCCCAGGCTTGGCTCAGAGTACGACAAACACCATAGTCTCTAGATTCCGCTACGGTCATCGGCGCGAGGACGAGTGCGGCAGATGAGCCCATCTCCGTCGCTACAGTTCTCATGAACGCCTCTACCGCATAACTGTCCTTTGCACGACTCATGATCTACAGGTCCGTTAGCTTTGAGCGTAAAGTCCATGAATCTACATACTACAACGTTTCCGTCTCCATCATGTAAGGCACAGGGAGTGAGGCTGTTGCATTTTCGACCATGAAGAGATCTCAGAAATCATAACCTGCAAAGTTTGCTTACGCGTTTGATAAATTATACACAGCTGTAGTCGATATTAGTTAGATCTCTACGTTAGCTGTGACACAACAATACGCACAAGGAATGGTCTGATGCAGATTAGGATAGGCTAAATGCGCGCACATCAGCAGAAGTGAAACAGAGACAGCTGTACAACATACCACGACCCATCAGATCGCCATCCAAAGCAGGAACGTTATAGTAACTACAAAAATATCACAGTCATGCTAAAACAGAAAGCCCTTCATAACGTACTGGGACAATATCAACGACTGCATCCCATTACCACCGCCGATTTCATCGCTACAGTTCGGCGGATCAGCGAACAAAGAAAGACAGGGAACAACGACATTAACTCTACCATAATGTGGCGGCATATTCCGAAATACCACAGTGACGGGCTAATTCATTGTCAGCTGTCAAGATTTGCTTCGCATCACCCAGTCTCTCAGAGCCAACGGACGGGGAGCCCATCATACCACCCCGAACTACATACGCTTCGTCCGGGAGAGAAGAATGGTCAACCACCCTGATACAACCACCATCACGAAGGATTTGTCTGGCGATGAGATAGGATGGATAAGGTGACCCGCCTCCTCCCTGTGGTGTAAATTTAATTAATATCTTGGGAAAAGAGAAGATTTGGTGACAGACAGTTCCGAGCACGCCGCATCCTTCCATAATGAAGACTGCAAGAAATAACACATGAATAAGATGTGGGAATGAGAAAGAACTAGGCTGTGCGTACAAAGATCTGTCTCAGTAACAATCCATTCATTACCAACGATGGTGGGTCTGTATGTCTCGTAATCTATTTCTTCAACGATCTCCGCACCCTCTGCAAGGACATCTTGTACGGCCTCGGCCTTGTCTTCTTCAAGGAGATCGACCTGAGAGTCTTCTGATGTACTTGGAACGGCGACCTCGCCTTCCGACGGTGTCCCAAGCTCCCCAATAGCCTTAATAATGATCCTCGTGGCCTGATTGGTGACATACTGCAAAAACATCAGCATAGAAAAATCACATACTAGGCAGAGAAAGTTACCTGTACAGGAAGCACATTAACCTCTGCAATCCTAGTCGTATGTGGGTCCGCGCCAGCTTCCACTGCTTTAGCCATAGCCTCTACTTTAATACGTTCAAGAGTGTCCGAGAGACTCTTGCCCTCTAGAATCTCGATGGTGTCAACTTCCCCCGAGACGTTCGCGATGGCAGCCCCAACAGCATTGGCAACGTCGTGAAATGGAGGGAGACTGTCCAAAAGTGCATCAGCCTCATAGAGCAAAGATGAACTTCATACTTACATGATCTCTTTGACTCCAGCAAGAGTATGAGGGGCGATAACAGATCCTCCGCCAACAAGAAGCAGTGTACAATCTTCTGGACTCGTCTTCATGCGGTCAACGACACCCTAGAACGAGATAACGAGAGGCCCGTGTAACTGAAAGGGTTCAAACCCACCTCAAGCAGCCTCTTCACAGCATACTGGGCTTTCACCACCACCTCGTCACTTACGGCAGACACTAGGGACGCGTCACCAATATCCTTCTCTCCGGCACAAACAGCAATGTCAGTCGCAGTCAGAACGTTACCACCGAAGACTTTCGCATCTCGAGTCAACTTTCACGAGGATGTCAGTCTGGAATAGCGTGAGCAGCACTGATCTCACGTAATGACCAACAGAATCCGGGCCCACAGTAACCTTGGTATCTTCGACGCGAACTCTGGAGCCACCCCCGAGACCGATGGAGCTGACGTCTGGCATAGAGAAGCTTTGAAAAGACGTCGGTAAACATTAGATCAATGAACTGCGTAGTCACTCACTTGGTACGGACGCCTCCCACTGGAAATAAATTGAGGATATAAGAGATTCACGAAATAAACGACGGACCTTCGATGAACGCGGCAGCTTGCCGAGGAAACCCACTCGGCAACAACATCCCTACATCGGTAGTGGTCCCTCCAACGTCCACGACGAGCATGCTCTTTCCGGTTCCGTCTTTGCTCTTGAGGTCGATACCGGCTAAGTACGAGGCTCCTCGCATGGAATTAGTGGCTCCAGACGAAAATGTACGGATAGGCAGTCGCGCAGCATCAACAGCCGTTGTCAGTGTGCCGTCGTTCTGAAGATACATATATACAATGATGAGAAGGCTAGTGTTATCAAAACAAACGGCCGACCTGGGTGATGTAAAGAGGACATGTTAACCCGAGCCTCTTCATGGCCCGCTCAAATCCTCGTATGGTATGCTGTGCGAAAGACGTAATCGATGCGTTAAGGATGGACGCGTTTTCGCGTTCCAGGAAACCGATCTGTCCAACTATGACAATGGATCAGTGGTGGCCTGTGAACTGGCTCGGGAGAACACACCATCACGAGAACATATAATGTTGACGCCCGGACCAAGTTCTTTAGCAAGTATGTCTCGAGCCTTGTACTCGTTACTACCCGACACGTCCAAAGGAGAAACTGGTAAAGCTTAAGAAAGAGTAAGAGAAAATGAAATGTAACACGTACACACTCCGATAACGACGACGTTCTTCAATCCCTTTGCTTTGATCTGTGCCGCCTGTTCTACAACCTCTGCCTCTATAATACTATTGATTGGGCGACCATCTCTGAGATCCATATCAGTCATACAATATAGATACGACGAAGATGCGCCTTGCATTTGAAGACCACCATTGATTATCACGTAGTGCCCGTTCATGAGCTTCTTCAGATTCTCCGGGAAATCGATAAACTGCACAAATATCAGAATTCAAGGCAAAGAAAGGTCTATCATGCAATCGGACGAACAGGCGGGACTTCGGTGGTGTAAGGAGCAGCGAGCCGAATGATGGCCACCTTTTGCAGCCTCCTCGCATCCGATTGCACGACAGCATTGATGAAATGCTACTCAAAGTCATCAGTGTGAGTCTATAAGCGCTTGCACGATACCAAAGATTGGCTTACCGTCGTCCCAATGGTTAAACTCAGCACCTTCCCGCCTCGAGGGTCGACGTTCGCATCAGCCAGGACCTTCTTTACCGCAGCCTCGATGCCGTCCGTCACATCGACAGTCGTCGTATGCTTGAAAGACGCGACGATACCGCGTGTCTCTGGATCATGAATCTTGGTGAGGTCGATAATGACACTATCCGTATTTGTTCCTGATTTCTATCGTCAGTCCATTTCAGGGATAAAGTGTATCGTTACGCACCTCCAACGTCGACGCCAATTCTATACATGATAACAGAGAATGTGTATCGCAGCCGCCATTTACCTAAGCGCGAAGTGCCTACTGCCGGATGCCGCTCCAATGGAATGAGTTTGCCTGGCTGTTCAATCAGGTGTTCGCGTTAAACATTGAATTGTCGTATTTCAAGTTTCCCAAGCAAGATGATGGAAAGTAAAAAATGGGCGAGGAAAACATAAATGTTATAGAATGTTATGGTCAACGTTTCGTGAGGTGGTGGCTGGTGGTAGTGAGGAAAAGAAGAGGTTTGGCATACGCAGTGGCTATGCTGATTTGCCGGCGGCCAAATGGAAAGTGATTTTTGAGTGCAGCACTGCAGCGACGAGAGTGAGCCTTAAATGAATCGGGTATTGACCAAACGGTAGTTTGCATGCCGGTTTTTATGGTAACAAAATCCCATATCATGAGGAATGGAAAACCAAGTCCTGACGGAGATTTATTACTGTAGACTGATTAGTAATCACAGGTGTACTGGTTCGGCATAGATTGTTCATTGAAATGTTATGATAGATGCGTAAAGGCAAATGTTAAAAAATGAAAAGTCGGCATGATCAACAAGGTGGGGTATCCTATAAAAATATTACTGATATCATCCTACTGGTATTTTAGGCGGCAATGGTATTCAATATAGCAGATATTGAAGGCGAGAAGAAATACTCGCCGCCCCGCGATACGACGAAATCTGAATAAAACACTTATTAGCCAACAAATACGTCGTTTTCACGTGAACACGCACCATTCTGCAATGTGATAACACGGTTAGGGTCTGTTGGATCCAGACCAGTAATTGAACGACCCCTCGAAGAGGAATCACTTCCTGCAGATCCGATAATAGCATCCACACCGGTACCGAGCTGGAAGAAACTACAGAATACTTAAACAGGGACACACGAGCAAATGGTGATAACCTACTTTGCATTATTGATCCAGGCCTGCTGCAAAAAGCGGAAACCCAGTCCTATGTTTGATTGGTACGCGACTGTTAGAACACCCATCAATCAGTTGATGTTCATTCACATAAAAAAGTCTGACTAACCAAAAGCCAGACCACGTTCTAGGGAAGGGCTCGTCGTATTGGACTGTGATTCTTCAGGCGTCACTGTAAACATTCCATGAGCTTTCCGGATCCATCTACAAAAGAGAACTAACCTTCAGGTCCGTACGGAATACCAGCGCGAATGATATGTTGCAACCCGTCCTCCGGCGTAAAATCGGCTCGAGGGCGAACCTTCCTGGTATGGGCGGCAAAGGGACACCGAGACTGGTCGCCAAGCCTTTCACCATCATGATGGTAGTTGAAGTTGTTGTTCATTGTAGGGTCCTTCGCCAGCGTGGGGTTGTCGAACAACGGTGCGAGATCAACGGGAGCTCCCTGTAATGATATGTTAGTCGTCGGATAATCTTTCTTCAATAAATAACATACACTTTTCCATCGTCCAAGCATGCGAGCTCCCAACAAGGCGGATCCCTCTTCGGGAGTGAGCACACCAGGCTCAGAAATCGGATTGTCCAACAAGAACTTGTTGAACTCTGGCACAAGCTGTTCCATCTGACGGAAAACGAGGAACGATCCACCTTTAGCCCAGCCCGGACGAGGAATAACATCCCCTGCCTCAGCCAGTAGAATTTCTCCTGGATTGACGGCTATCTGACCCGGTAAAGGCGATTGCGTAAAGCCTTTGATAGCAGGCTGGCTGATACCATCCATGAACCCAAAGTCTGAAGATACATCCTCATCAACAATTATCCTGAGTTATAAACGGAGAAGGACATACGTTCGTGACCTTCCTCTGAACCGGGTCGGGCTGACCCTTGAACGCGATGCAGCTCGCCAATGGAGTCGCTCAAAATCGACAAAATTTGGGACAGAGTCACATCGATATTTTCAACAGTGTCCGATGCAAGGAGCATGACGCCATGAATAGATTTTCCCGCAAATGATTGTACCCAGTTGCTGGTTCCAGGGTCACCGATGGCGGCAGAATCAGCTTCCTGTCCTAAAGTATAGAACATGTCACCTAGATCATCAGTGATACCCAGAGCGCTGAGTCCTGAGTGAGAAAAAGCGAGATTAACAGCTGTTAGAGGCTGGGTGGCGACATCCAATATATCGGTCACAGACGTGATGAAGGGCTGGATATCCGAAGCCAGTTTGCTTTTGAAGCGAGCCGCGTCCTGAATACCAAAAAAGAAGAACAGCTCTTTCTTCTTCTTCATCCCCACTCTGTATTAGCGCGTCAATTAAACGAACAGCGAAGATAGTTTAAATTGACTGACAAGATATCTGCCTGGATGTCAGTCAAGTTTAAACCAACAGTGGTTGCTGCCGATAGAGCTTCTAGGGCAGTTGGTAGATCTGGTTGGGGTGCAGGATCTGTTCGCGAGCTTTAGCTGAGGCCCTGACAAATGTACACAGGCACCTACTATTCAGTATAGATGTTGTGCGCGCAATTGGTAAGGGACGAAGCTGGCTGGGAATATTGGGGAGACCGGTAACATTGAAAACCAAGGAGAGTAGAAGAAGAGTGGCGGAGAGCGTGCTGGAAAACTTCATCTCGGAGGCCAGTGAGAGTGGAGATTCAACCACGCACTCACCTTCTTTATAAGAAAGACGTGAAACTTGCGAGGAGTACTTGGCTCCTCGTTGGACAGCTTCTTTTCCTTCGAAGTCTCACGTGAGAATTGTCCTGTCGATCTTCAAAAGAAAGCAAATGCTTACGAAGGAGTCTATGAGCATAGCCGGAGAACCTAGGCGTATGAGTGAGACAATGAGAAGGCTTCGCTGAGCGCTCCAACGCCAAGAGTAGAGACCTTGAAAGTTTTCAAATTCCCTTCTTTGCGACATAAAGCAAAGAGGACGGTTTACCTAGACGCCGATATCGTATTTAGCATCCGTGGGATTCCGCGGAATCAGAAGTTAATTAGGAGCGGACGATCTGCCTCCGCCGTGCATGTCACGTCTCAATATTCGAATTTCCGGTCCTCTTCTTGCAGTGGCCTCTTGTTGGAGGACATCATCAAGATTTACCTTCAATTCCTTCCACGAAAGGCCTGACTTTGTCATATTGAGCCTGTTTTCCCTTCCCTCATGACTCAAACTCGACCGAGACATACTTAGAACGCTACTCCAGCTTGAGACACTTTCGAGGTCCTGTACAGCCAGAATCCCGATACCCGGATGATCAGAGTAGAACTTGTTGTTTCAATGCACCGCAAATCGACAACGAGAGCTAGCACTAGTAGATCGACTCTCATTTTGAAAACCAAACGGTTTTGCTGAATCCAAGGTTCGAAGTGCGCGGTCCGAAGTTCCGGACACGGGAGATACAATATTCCCACGCCTACTTGTTGATGACAACGGCCATGGACTGAGGCTGTGTGTCTCTCTCTTGACCTCCTTATCCTTCCTCAACTCAACCTCATGCCGAACGTCACCCAGGAATCCATGATCCCTCAACCAATACGCATACCTCGACATCGTCTCCAAGGAGGCTTCCTCATCAGCCCAGAAACGGCTCTCGAATGGGCTTCAAGACTCGAAAATAGGCCGGTGACAGAAATTCTCGTGGCATGGAGAACCATCGTCCTACGGGTTAGCCGTACGGGTGCAAGGTTATCAATGGTGGGAGTACTGTACAGTCAGTTCATGGTCGTCACGCAGCAGAAGACGTTCCGCCGTGGCTACTTGGGCATGGATCCGTCAGAAATACCTCAGTTCAGGGAGGGAGCGCTGGAGGCTATCGTGCGAAAGATGTTGAAAGAAGATAGTACGTCTGTCTAAATGCGAGCTTCACAGAACAAAGCTCATTGCAATGTCAAGGTATCCATGACCCCGTATTTGCTACTACCTTAGACTACTAGAGTCTGATGACTCTGAATACGTATTCTTTCTACATTTTGGTCCTTCCAAATACGATGACCCCTAAGGAATGTCTTTGAATACCGACAACTGATTCTGCCACAGTCGATTCATGACATTGTTTTTGAATTCATTCGATTAACATTATCCTTCTTGTTCATCGACGACAAAACCGGTTTGAAGGGCGAAGAATGCTGGTCTTCCAAGCACGTTTAAATTTGACGCAGGTGCTAATTGCAAACGTTTAAATGAAACTGACAATAAAGACGACATGCTGGAACGAAGGGACATCAGCACGAGCGGTGGTGTTGGCCGTCTACCACCTTGATCAATCTTTCTTATTGGCTGCATCGAGTGCGAAGACTCAGAAGAGTCTTTCTCCACAAGATGTCGTATCGTCTCCGACGCCGATGCGTGTGTGCAGCTTACCGGAATGTTAGAAAGAATGCCTACTGGTGTACTACCTACGAGACGGGCTACTGCTTGTTGTTTATGTCAAAACAGGCATCTTATCATAGAACGGTGGATAATATATACATTTTATCATATCTATCCAATTCACAAATCCTCCCAATTTGTATCCTCAACGGTATCTACATCGAGCATGCCCCTCGCACCCAGGAGCGGGAGCTTTCCACAAACCCACTCTATGAAATCTAGTCGTTGTGAAAGAAAAAGACGAAGGTAATCAGCGCGAGGCTTAGATATCACCGTCAGTCGTCGAAACACGTTCATATCTGGGCCTGTCAAGACCTCATCCAACCTCGACCACTGTCTCCTCCACGCATTATCATCCATGAAGACACCCAAATGTATGGGAGGCACTACCACCAGTGTAAGCATCTCCAACATGATAGGTCCATTAGCACCGACTAAAGAATCGAGCAACCATCTCATGGTCTTGACATGCCAACAGGAATAATCATTTTCTATCTCAATCTTCAGCACCGGCATCGTCAGGGGAAGCACGTCGAGCTGAGCTGGCCATTCCGACATTACATTTATACGATACTCTTCAATTCATTCAAACCATCATCAGTGTACGTTATACCGAAAAAACAAAGACCTCACTCACTCGTCTCACGAATCCGAATATCCAAGCTCCTCAATGACCTCGCCGCACGGACAAACGCGCATATCAAAGAGAGGTACTCCCCAGGAGGGTACATGATACAAAGCCCACGCAGGGAATCCACATACACCGCTCGTAGCTCTCGCCGATGGATGAGGAACTCCACGACAGATGCATGGAACGATGTTCCCCACATCGATATCTTGTTGATCTTCGGAAGCAACCCGCTGCCAACGCTCCCAAGCTCCACAAGAAAATCCTGCCGGAATCGTATCGCGCTCAAATCGAGGCTCGTCAGCCTGGGGATCTGACAGATGAGGTGGTGGAGCGACCATGGATCTGGGAATTGGAGCCTGTCGAGATGGAGGGTGGTTAGGTTTGGAAGGGATGATAGGAATGGGGTTAAGCTGAGGATTGGACTGGCGCCCCGGCAGATTGTGATGTTCTTGATGTATGGGAGGATGCTTTGGGAGACTGAATCGTCGGGTGTGTGCTTGAGCTCGATGCTGTGTAAGAGGTGTGCACGGGTGCGGAGGTAGAACAGTCGGCAGACGAAAGAACAGGCGATGAGCGCGTCTTTGTCATCCCAGAGGTAATCGATGATTTCGTCGATGAGTTCAGGCGGGATGCTGAGCTGCATTGCGCGTCAGGATATTTCCAGATTTTCCTGGACGATCACGTACAGAGTGGTGCCTCATTGTATGAACCGAATCTTCCGTGCTGTGCAAGGGCGAGAGCGTATTGGAAGACGACGCAGACATTTTATTATTTCATGCTTCCGAAAGCAGTATCTTGATTCCGACGATTCCGCGTCACGATTGAAAAATGCTGGTGGAAGCCAGGTCCCAAACGCTGGGTCAAAGCTTGGGTAGTGACCGTAGTGTTGGAGAGATTTGCAGAATTTGAAATCGGAAAAACTCTGATGATGAGATCACGCGGACGAACGCGTCACGGTCGAAAAACACCAAGTTCAAATATAAGAATTATTGGTATGTATTTAATGCATAAAATGGACCATACTTTCTCACAAGACACGATCTAACCTCAAGGGTGTACCATGCAAGAAAGAAAAAAGTATTCGGAAAGTCACGCGGTCGCCAATATTGTCAGGGTGTTTCCTGTCGAGCATGCTCCCAGGTCGTGTGTAGGGTGTTGGCGAGGCAGATGTTAAGTTTACGGCCGTCGACATCATACAGTAGCCATCACTTCAACCAACGCACATGCTGTAAAGACGCTTTCTCTGCCCATGGAGCTGCGATTCCTCGGGATTTTGAGTACGATCTTCCCGAGTTTACATTTTTGTGGTGGAAAGGCCAAGTCATAGCGCGACATATTGATAGTGATTTCTAATGGATACAGAAGCACGAGTGTCTTAGGACGAATCAGCACTCTAAATATTCGCGAGTGCAAATCACAGCGTACCAGACAGCTGAAGTCCACCAGCTTCTCATTCCATCAGCCCCTCAGCCCTTCCTGTCATGATTCCCCGAACGTTATCGAAGCTCTACCAGCTGGACGAGTGATGCCAAAGGATCCAAGAATGACAGGTTCATCCTGTTCTGCCAGCAACCAATACTGCAAGATAACATTCAGCAGGGTGAACCAGAGCAACGAGATCGTTGATACTAAGGCCGTTTATCTTTTGCAAGTGACAACTATTTCGCCAGAGAATCGACGTCGCAAGCATTGGACGTAGAGGATTGGACATGGCGGTTTTGGCAAAAGAGGAAGTTGTGATCACCGTGACTTCACCACCATCGTCGATTCTTGCGGATGCGGTTTTCTGGCCCCTCTCACACTTTCCTAATACCCAAATGCGCGTTCATCAGCACTTCCCAGTAGCTATTCAACATAACGTTCGAGGTTTTAGGAACCAACGCCGGGTATGCAGTCGTATCATGCTTATATGCCAGGGTCAAGCGTTCATGGTGGAGGTCGAGCATGGAAAGTTATGAAATCGACGTGTTTCTTGAAATGATTCTACGCCATGACGACGAGTTCTATCAGAAGACGCGATAAACAAAAGACCGGAAGGAAGGAATGTAGGCTTACCTACCACCTGAGGCAACAGCGGTGAACATCCCGCTGCACTGCACGGGCCAGGAGGACTTCTCTGAAGGAAAAGAGGTCTGAATTATTGGTATACGTCGATAACCAAGGTCGGGTACGGTACGGTACCCAAGGTCGCAGGAAAGCGTGACAGAAGAACAAGGCGGTGGTACGGTACGGTACGGTACAGTCGTCACGCGTCATGGTCGATGAAAAAGGTTGTACATAGCTTGTTTGGCACTGTCACTTGCCTCCTACAATGGTGACCATCAGCGACTGCGAAATTGTTTACTGCACCATGGATTACTTTTGAAAAACGTGTCTTTCGACAATCCAAATATGTCGGAAGAGCTTTCCGAGTTCGAGTCTTTCGAATTCTCAACGATCAAGAGGATATCGCGATACGGAACATTCTTCAATGAATCTGTTCTTGAGTCACTCTCCCGGCCGGTCGACGTCGACTCTCAGTGAGTTCCGCATCGAGTATCCCCCAGTCGAATATCTGTCTTCCATATGCATCTTCTTCCGCGCGGCGTCAGGCTCTCTGAAGAGCTTTGACATTCATTTCCGTTATGGGGGTGAGTGGTACTATTTGATGTCGTCAATGCTTTCTGACCGAGCTGAAGCTTACACGCCTGGTTGGTGGTCAAGCTGGTCGGTTCAAACCCGGTGATTTGACCTCCAACATCAGCAGCTCCTTCACAAATACGGGGTGCTCGTGTTCTGACTGAAATCAGAAAATGACAAGAGAACACAGGAGACGACCTACCAGCATCGACAGATTGCACTTTATGCGCGTAACTGAGTCCTAATATGACGCAAGGGAAGTCGGAGTCGAAACGGACATCAATACAGCCCATTCGAAAGCGAGAAATTCTGGTTTTTGTTGTATTCCTGAGACAGCGCGTTGAAGCTTTGGTACTTGCTGAAGAGATGAACTCTTGGGCGCGTCACGTCCACGATTCTCTAAAGGCCGACGTTCCAGCACGACCCTCGACGCAGATGGACCTTACGCACCAGAAACTACAGTTGGCTACTATCGGAACCGTGCATTCAAGCTACCCTGAACTGCGCTCGTCTCGAACGTGAAGATGCTGGCCGATAGTCGTGGTCGACGATGAAGGTTTGTTTGGCGTCGCCAAGACTCAACAAACAATGTCGGTCCGTCCCCACCACAACTGTCTTCGCGCGATGCTGTTCCATGCTGAAGCGCTGAATGTCGCGTCTTTTGTTAGAGGCAGTTATCAGATTTGTGAAGCTGACGATTATGGGCTCATTGACCGCGACGTTGAGCAGAGGCCTTCGCTGCACCATGGACTACATTGACTCGTAGCAGGACAAGGACCATTTCATCGCAGGGTTATGTAGGTGGTAGGCATGGGTTGTCAGGTACATACTCATCTCTGTCGAATGCACTCCCTCGTTGCTTATGCTTTCCTACTAGGCTTGTGTACTGGTGTCATTTGGTGTTCTAAGTTTTATCGGTATGCATCTCTACTTCTCTTTTTCCCCCTCAAGCTGATTGTCGGTCATAGAATAGAACGTTTCGTGACCAGTCAGGATAAAGCAATTTTCACCGCATATCCTCGGGAGAGTAGCGAATTGAGGTGCACCAGCAGTAAGGAAATTGGGGAACCAGAATCACTGTATGCTTATCTACTCTTCAGATTTCTTGAGAGTGTGGTGCACGATGGGCTGGGTCCAGATCAACAAATATACCTTTCGTGGCTGCGACGGGGGCGTTACAAATGAGCGTGGTGATACGCCTTTCCCTTTGGTCGTGGCGCACGGCAGGCCAGGTCAGTCTTGATTAGTGCTGGTCGAATGCCTGTCTCACCAATGGCTACTCCAGTTCTGTTACGACCATCGAATAGCGTAGTATGACAAGGCTAAGTTACACGCCCACCATAGCCCCCTGGCTCGTATCCCTAACAAGTTATATTGGCTGCTTCTTCAAATTCTCTTTCCCAGTCATCTTCTACAAACTCCTGTTCGACGCATTGCCCTGAACCCTTTCCCCTCGGCTATTATTATCTTCATCAACAAACCGGCCAACTCCTGGGACACTTCTGCAGCCAGGATGGGTTCGGTTTACTTGGCCTTCATGGGGTGGTTTAAAGTTCGAGGTACGCAGACGCTACACCACTCGGTGTATACCAACTTGTTCGCGGATATGGGGATGTGGAACATGGGAACCGAGTAAGGCGTTTCTGGACGTTCTTGATGCATGCTGACAGACCTTGTAGGTTCATGGGAGATCTGAATACATGGAGCCCCTTGACCGCGTTCATGTCCGCACAGATATCGGTCAGGTTGAGCCTATACTATGTGCCTAATGGCACAACCTCTCCGCCGTCAGATCGTTGAAAGAGTTTGTCCTTGATGGCTTATACATAGCTTGTATCCAGCTAGGTATAGTACCACTCTTCGTGTCAATGCTCTTCCATAAATTGATTCGGGATAAAGGACTCGAATGCAGAGATCGTGAAACGTTCGATAGACCTCGTGCTCTGGCTTCCAAATCGTCAGATGCTTCGAAGTACAGATTCAGCTACTCATGACGAGTCGTAGGTTGTATGTTCAACCAACACCACTTGCTTGGCATCGCTACGAAAGCATCAGAGGACATGTCCGCCATCGAAGGCCGACAGCCTGAACGTATTCATGGCTTACACTTGGATCGGCTCTGGTACCGAAGTGTCAGATCACAGTAACTATTCTCTCCTCGACGCTACACCCCACGAAATTGGTCTTTTCCAAACGGTGTACCGCAGGCAGTGCTCGTCAGCGGGATGGCGGCGGGAGCGTAATTATCACCCAAGACTTTGGATCTTCGTAAAACACCTTCCCCGATTATGTTCGCACGAACGAGCCCATACACTGGTAACAGTGGTCGGAGGAGACTGGCGCCGTGACAAGGGGACTATTTTCGACTGATGCTCCCTTGTTCGGTTCCCCAAAATCATGAAAATAGCTTTTTCATGATTTTCTGGTCGCGTCATACGTGCTATTCGTTGTCCTTCACTCGACCTGGGCATTCATTTTGTTTCTACTCCATGACTGATGACCACCGCCGCCCAGAGGAGACGACTCGGAAAGCTATAAGAGAGGGCTTGAACCAGCAGGTATTCTCAAGCTCTCACAATTGTACAGCTTATTAATCTCACTTCACCATGTTCGCTCGTATCTCTGTCTCTGCTTTCCTGGCTCTACCTCTCCTTGCCAGCGGCGGTGTCATTCCTGTCGTCCTTCCCCGTGATGCTATGACTACGAGCTCCCCCGTCTTGGGCAGGCAGGTTGTAACAATCTCCCCAGTCACTCCAGTCCTTCCCCGTGATGAATCGGACGATGGTGCGGTTATTACAGCCAGGCAGATTATTCCCGCCCTTCCAGCACCTCCCGCCCCTCCCGCCCCTCCAGCTTTCCCAGCTTTCCCAGCCCCTCCCGCCTTTCCGGCACCTCCTGCTATTCCAGCCCTTCCCCTTCCGGGCCTTCCGACCCTTCCTCTTCCTGGCCTTCCGAACCTTCCCCTTCCAGGCCTTCCGACTCTTCCCCGTGACGAATCGAGTGCTATTACGGGCAGGCAACTTCCGGCACTTCCCGCCTTTCCCGCTCCTCCTGCCATTCCAGCCCTTCCCCTAGGCCTTCCGACTCTTCCCCTTCCAGGCCTTCCGACCCCCCCCCTCCCAGGCCTTCCGACCCTTCCCCGTGACGAATCCAGTCTAACGGGCAGGCAGGTTGTTACAATCTCCCCAGTCCTTCCCGCCCTTCCCCGTGGACAATGATTTCGTTAGTACTTGGTTAGTACTGCTGTCTTTCAAGTTAATAATACGCTCACCTCTCCTCCAAACAGAACAGCCTTGTTTCGCCCGGCAACAAGGAAATTTTCAAGAAACGGAGCGTTTATGTGATTTTGTAAAGTAGTACCTTCGTTCGTAAATATAGAGAAAACAACATTGCTGGATAGTAGCAAATAATGCCAATGACTATTAATGATTCCGCTATATATTGCTCGGAGTTTCCTGTGAAGTGAAGCATAACTCTCCTTATCGACTAAGATCGATCCGCTGGAATATAGATATTTGAGTTCTAGTGTGCAGAATGATATCACGTCGTCTAAGCATTGATGTATGTTACTACCAGGGAGAAAGTGTGTACACACATAAGCATTGCATGGGTCCAACGCAAGGAGAAGATCCCGTAAGGCGCCGGCAAAGTCCGACATCCGTCTCCCTCTTACCACCATGACTGCCGCCGTCCGACCGATACATTGCTGGCCGTGCTCACTGCCTGCTTTCCTGCTGTTCCTTCTGGTCGTCTCGTTGATTCCTGGTACTGCTACCAGCACTCTGTGTTCATTTTGACATCGTTGTTGCGCTCTTGTCTACATTTAAGATACTGAGCGCGTCAACATACAAGATCGTTTCGTTCCTTCCTTCCGCAACTATACATATATCTGCACATGCAAACGCTCCGCCATGAACCTGCTTGATGGACCAGTCACCGCCAGAGCATCCCGACATCGGTCCAGCCTCTTGTCGGCACCTTGCAACCAATTGATTCTAGGAGGGAGTAATGTCAAGGTTCGTCGTTTAACTCTCATGATTTTTCTCGTCGCTAACCTGCTTTTAAAGTGATTCATAGTGAGGAACGTTGGCAGTCCATCTTCAGCAATATCTCGGTCAGATACCTCGGCATCCTTTTGAGATTCTGGCGCCGTTTTCTGCGATGGGACCTGTCGTCCTTGAGCTTGAAGCTTGAAGCTTCGAAGAGAAATCGATCCTTTGGAGTTGGAGATCAAAAAGAACGTGTCTCGTGGCTGCAATATCATACTTTCATAAGGTGGGTTTTCCCTCCGACTGCTTTTCCCAATGTAACACGTTACGCGATGGTATAGAGTTTAGGCCTAGCTTTTAGCCATCGTTTCGAAAATATGGCGATATCGATGAAGAGTCACAACTAGGGAGCTAGTCGTGTTTCTATAGTTCTTCCTGATCCCCGGCTCGGCCTATTTTCAGCGCCTTAGCGCCTATCCGCCCCGAACCCTCATCCCTGGCAGGTCTACGCCAGTGGTACGCGAATTCGCCTCATCGTTTTGTGCAGGGGCAACCCCATCGATGATTCGCAGATGGCGACCGTGAACATCTGGAGATAATATATGCCTTGGGATAATTTGACAAGGTTTCTCTCTGACACGTAGCACGGCTTAAACTTGTAATTCGCGGAAGCTGCCACAAATGCGACGGAGATTGCATACATGTCCATGTTGGAAGGGCCCAGTCGCGATAAATGCGGTGTATCTGTTGTGCGATGCGCCTTAAGTGTGGGCTTTCATAGACCTTGATCCTGACGTCGACGATCGAGGACGACTCGAAAGGTGTTTGCCCCTAAAATACTTATGTAACCGAGGACTCAGTGATTGAGACCTTGCGCCCCTCCATGCCTACTCCAGAGCAGGAATTCGTACGCCTTCACGTCCAACCTTTTCATGGTCGAGATGACACTCCAGCTTCAGCCGCCTGGATCCCTTGTCTCGAAATACCCCTTCATCGACTATCCGAGTTCTCTTTAAAGCCCTACAGATGGTTATGTTACGCCGGCTACTGCATCATGGGCGCAGAGGGCAGCCTCTCGTTCGACCCGGATTCTACGGAATTCGATTACGATGCGCCTCTCCGTCCTTGCGACCTCTATTACCACGCCCACGGTCCAATATTTCCTATCGATCCAGATCTCGAAAACGCTAGTAAAACAAGCTATTCAACCGGCCTTTCTGATTCATCCCCTCTCAAAACTTTGATTCTCGAGCGTGATGAATCTTGTGTTGCCACGAATATAGATGCTTCGTATTGCCGTGCTGCTCATTTAATCGTGCAGAGCCAAGGTAGTCAGGTACATAATTTCTTGACTAGATGCCTTGTCAGTCTTGGTGCTGACACTACTCCTTAGTACATCAGAATGTACACGGAGGGACGAAGCGGGGGAAAAGACGAGGACGTCATTGATGATATCGATGATCCACGAAACGGGCTGCTCGTCAATGTGCTATTACACGGGGTCCTTGGCCAGCGCGCTGCCATTCTTCCGGTATGAATTTTACTCGTCATCAGGTTCACCGGGTTCGTCACCTCAACACAGACCCCAAATTTTATAATGAAGACAACACATGTGGTTGACACTGAGACTACACCAGATGCTCCTCGCTGGACGTTGCATTTCTTTGTGGAACCTAATACTCCCGGGACTCCATATGAAGCTATCCCACCTGGTGGGGCCCTCCGCGTACCTCCTGATGGTGAGCGTGATACTTGGCCACCTCAATGTCTGTTCGCAGCAGTCTACGCCTCGGCGCTGCTCACAACATGGCCTGCGAAAGATTTCTTGAAGCAGGTGAGATCGTACTGGTCAAGTTCATTCTATCCGGGCGCGGAGCAGAGTCGCGAGGAGGCTGCGGAGCGTAAAGCGAGGGTTTATTCTGAGAAGAGAGCGAGGCGGGACGGCGAGATGGATACATTTGATATGCTTTTGATAGTTTCACAGGCCCGTGCTCGCAAGGCCTTGGCAGCCATGGACCGGGACCCTGTATCTCAGCAAGAGTCTGCTCAAAAGGCGAATGATGATGCACGAGGGAAGGTGCTTCCTTGGCTTCAAGGCATTGATTAGGTAGTGATGAAATATTTGTACTGTATTTCTGATAAGTATCTTTGACTGCTGTTTCGCGCTTAAAAATAATCTCGGCCTTTTCCTTCCAACAACACTTGGTATCTTCGATGTGTCTTTGACTACAAATTTCCGTCATCTTTATGGAGCTTCCAACGATGGACACCAATAACCACAGCGCTTGCTTCGTTACGCCCTCGTGGCTCCTGAGCACCTGAAGATTCACGGCGAAGAGTACCACCAGACGAGCTGTTGGGAGCAGGCCAGGTCTGTCATGTGCTTGTCTTCCAGCTAGTTTCCTCACCCACCGACCCTCTATTGTTCTCCCCATAGCTGCCATCCTTCTCTTTCTTCATCAGCAACCCAGTAGTACACCCAGCTCAGTCGACGAAGAATTCTAGGCCTCAGCTTGCTCATTCAGCACAGTTAAGATGATCAACATTCGTTCGACAGTGAACATACTCAGAAACGATAACACGTCTACTATTAGCTTACCTGCCCATCTTACAGATCGGAATACCAAACACAAGCAAGAATTCTTCGACAAGGGCTCCGCCAGATGCATAATTTAGAAGTCTTACTAACACAGTGTCTACAGGAAGGAGGACGAAGAAGCGAAAAGTAATTTCGAAGCGACACAAAACCTAATCCATCACCTACGAGACCGTTTTCCATGTTCGTTCGGCACGTTGCGAGTTTTCATTTCCACGTCTGGTCTCTCTGAGGAGCTAGTCTGAGATAGAGAGAGACGCCGAGCTTTGTTATCTTCGTATATGTCATCGAGATCCTCTTCGTCCTCGTGCAAGTCTGGCAGTGATGGAACCTGGTTGATCGGGGCAGTCGAAACCTCTTCGTTCTCTATCTCTTGATCAAGGACGCTGCCAGTCACCTCTGCAACTTTCGAGATATCACCCGCAAGCTCTTGAGTAGAATCAGATCGGAAGGGGCGGTGCCATGCCAAAGGTGTCGTTTCATAAATGTACATGCGTTTCTTGGCAGATTTGAAGAAGGAGCGGAGGCCATATATCGGTGCGAATTCCGAGTGCTCGACATGGGGAAAGTCCAGGTTTGCTTCCAAGCGCAGGTACTGATTCTTTAGAAAACGCCTGGCTTTCGACAAGGCCTCTGCTGCATGAGTGTACTCCGTCGGAAGATTACCGATGTGTCGATCATGCGCTTCTTTGTTCAACAGGAACATAGTACGACTGTTAGACCCTGCTGAGGAGTGTGGGAAGAGGCTCTTGTAGCTCGAAATTTGGTATTGTTGACGGGTAACCTTCCCAGAGGCTGGGACAGAAGATAACAGTGCGTGTTCCCCAATCCACCATAAGGACTCCAGGTCATGAAGGAAGTTGTGGGGGATGCAGGTAAAAAGGATCTGGTCGTCGAGCAACGGTGAATCATCAGTTCCTTCAGCAAGGTTCGCCATGCCTTCAGCCTTAGGCTTGCCAAATATACGATCTTCATCTTCCTCGTCTGTATCGTCGTCAACAATGCCTTCCTCCTGTGGGCGAAACAAATAATTCTGTACTTGAATTTCAACCGGCATGAACATGGCAGTACCCTGTTACTGATGTCAGACAATTAAACTGTCCCATAAGAAATCAACTCGCCGTTTTCCGGTCTCCAACACCTCGATCAGACAGAAATTTCTTTGAATATTCCATATCTGTTATTTTGGTGATTTTCGAGCCCTCCATCCAAATTAGATTCCCGCCACTGAGGTCTCGGTGTACATAACCGCCCTTGTACATCCATTCCAGTCCTGGTGAAGTTTTGGGTAAAACGTCAATAACAACAATGAGCCATACCTTTTGTAGCACTTGCAAGTGCATGTAACACGTCACCAGGATGCGCCAGTGAGTCCAACGGCGTGCCTACGTCCTTGTAGATGATCCGGCAGTGTTTCTTGTCGCTATATCGACATCTTGGATCCATCCCTACCTCCGCAGGTCCCCCGTCAGGTGCGTCCTTTGGTGTCGCAATTGTTGAGCCAGTTACTTGTGATGACGTTCCTTTGTCAGAAAAATCAGATGACGCGAGGGCGCCAATTAGGAAAGTGTGGAACTGGTCGGGAAGTCGCCTCCTCATGAAAGACCCCGTTTTATCGATTTTCCCATCACAGGTTACCAGTTCACAGTTCTCGATCTCCACAAAATGTTGTTTGAAGTCCTCCCCGTCTGTCCCTGAGTTTTGGATATTTTCAAAAAGAGACCGCTGTATGTCACCTTCAGTCGTGGCGTCATCAGGAATCCAGACATCCTTCAGAGCGTAATACTTATCCTCTGGGTCGCCAACGCGATAAACCTTCCACACGCGACTGCCGCGACTGATCAGACCAGCCGCGCGGAAGGAGCTCAGGCACTCGACGGTTCGATATACTTGGCGGCCGACGTGGTAATCGTATTGAATCTTATATTGGGTATTATTCCCAGAAGATTCTTGCACCGGTACTGCAACGCGCTGAACCGTCGGATCAAAACCAAGATCCTCCAAAGAGGAGAAGATGAGAGATATGATGTAGTGAATGAGGGGTCGTGGGTTCTGAACAGCGGTGAGCGCTGGGAACACAACCAACGAAACCAAACGACGTGAGACTTACGGAGATGAAATCGAAAGCCTGAGTGACAAACACATGGGATCTCGAAAAAAACCAGAACCTCATCGACGTGTCCCCGATGGTGGTACCGCGGATGAACCTACGGCAAGGGTCGGAGTATAGCATCTGTACAGCGTTGCCAGAGATCTTTCTGACATTCTAGTGTTGTGGATCAGCCAAAAAGAGTAGGATAAAAAAACAGAAGGTAAATCACGTCACAGAGATCCCGCACACGGTTTCTCAACTTGTATTCTTCAATAGTGGCCAGATCACAGGCCATCAAGTCCTACACAGACGTAAGCCCCGTGATAATTATGGAACACAAATGCCACTTACTTTGCTGCTCCCGCCGGTGTTGTGTAGCTGGTTATTCACTTTAGGAGAATTCTTCGCGACAATGCGGGCCTTCCTCGATGCACGCAACCTCGTATGCCCATCTGACATGAAACCACCGTTTCTCCCTTCGGACAGGGCAATTTTGTCGGCTCTTGTCTCCATGAAAATGGTGGTCGTCTGCTGGGAGACAACAGCTCGCGCTGCAGTAGCGACATCCTTCCAGAGATCCTGCATGTGCTGAAAAGTCGCGTTCTCATTGACCTCGCTTTCTGCCGGTGTCTTCGGAAAATGTTTCCAACGCTCATTTATTAACACTTTGCGCTTCACAAGCTCGTTGAAAACTTTATCGACGTCCTGTACACGCACTGGAGGAACGACAGAGTCAAGGTAGAATTGAACGGAAACTTGTGGAATGGTTGGAGAAAGGTCTTTGATGACCATATCGCGGTGGTATGCCATATCGTCGTGTGCAAAGCGACCGATTTCGGTACTGTTGATCATACCGAGAGGTGAAGAAATATTAGACGAGAACGCGACGCGACACGGTGGTATCGGTTCAACGAGTGATGGGAAAGTTTTTCTAAGTTTGGGTGATAACGTAACGGGTCCGACGGTCCGAATAGCAAGGGAGCGCGATAAAACAGGACTAGTCGACGGAATTAATATTATCGAGTACATGAAAGAGATAAAGCTCCAAGGCGTTGGCGTCCTACTCCAGCTATTCATCTCTTCCTCAATAGTAACACTCCTTCCCTCCCTGCCACATTTAAACCTATCCCAAAGCTATCCTCGCTCTCGAGTCTCCCTTTCATTCACATCCTTTTCCGAGTCCTATGGCATCTCCACGCTCTTATCTCCTATCTCCCCAGGTTGAAAAAACCTTGATTTGAAAAACGTGTTTTTCGACAATCAAAACATCAGGAGATTTTTCCGAGTCCGAGATCAAGAGGATATCCCTATACGGACCATCCTTCAACGAACTTATCGTCGAGGCGCCCTTTCACCGGGTCGACCTATGAGCGACTCTCTTCGTGAACTCCCCATCGACCATCTTCTGACGGAGTATCTGTCTTCCGTATGCACCCTCGTCTGTGAAGCATCGGGCTCTGAAGAGCTTCAGCACCCATTTCCGCTATGGAGGTGAACGGTACTACTCAAAAGTATTTGATCAATGCTTTCTGACCAAGATTCTTCCACTGGCGTGATGCAGGGTGTATAAGCGCTGATTAGAGTATCAGAAAAGGGTAATAAAATATTATTGATATCCCTCCATGCAGCCGACACGTTCGTCGTCTTTGGTATAATGTTCGCTTCTCGGTGGGCCCATAAGTTACTTGTCCAATAAATACACGTGCTCTACAAGATCCCTAAAAAGTCTGGCTCATGTCTATTTCCCCGGGTCCCTTAGAGGCCAACATCGAGGGGGGTACATCCAAGAGAAACAAGGCCATTCTAAATAAATATGAGCATAAAATCAACCAACATAAAAGATTATCACTGACAAAGTGGTTATTCTCACAGCAGACAGTCTGGCTGCTGCATGAGTTTCCACCAACACCAATAACGCTGATGGGGCTGCAGGTCACGCCGCTGTACAGACAGGAATTCAGTAATCGGCAACGTCTAATTAAGATACGGAAAACCTACACGTTGGCAGCGATGTCACTGACGACGACTCCGAGTAAGCCCAAGAGGGTCGCAACGGCAGGACTCAAGGCGCTGGCCTAGAGATTCTGGTCAGCTTTCACATTGATCAATGGAGGGAACTTGAAGACCAACTCACGCTCTCAGTAGAATCACAGCACTGCGCGGTACCAGTAGTGCAAGTAGCACCATCGCCACCACGAGGAAGGACTGAGGAGATAGCAACAGAGCCCGTAATATCCTGCGTGCTTGAAGTAATAGAACTGACAATGGGAAGGACAGGGCCGACAACGGGGGAGACTGCGCCCGTAATAACAGCAGCATCCTTTGATTCGACAAGGGGAAGGACAGACGAGAGGACGGGGGAGAGCGTAGTAACCTGCCTGCTCGAAATAACGGTACTGTCGGTGTCAATGGGAAGGACGGGCCCGATGTTGGGGGAGGCAGTAATAACCTGCCTGCTCGAAATAACAGTACTATCGGTGTCAATGGGAAGGACGGGCCCGATGTGGGGGGAGGCCGTAATGACCTGCCTGCCCGTAAGACCAGTACTAATACTATCGTCACTGGACGGGACAGGTGGGAGGACAGGGATAACACCGGCGTTCGAAAGGAGTGGTAGAGCCAGGAAGGCAGTGAAAGAGAGACGAGTAAACATAGTGAAGAGAGATTAAGCTACACGAGACTACTTACCTACTGATTTGATCCCTATTATATAGCTTTCCCGAGTCGTCTTCTCTGTGGCACAAATTTGAACCTGTGTGAGTACCCACGACGAGTGGGATGAACAAATGACGCAGCGAGAAATCATGATGCGGTGAACCGAGGAAGCAAGCATCAGTTAAAAATAGTCCCTTGTTACGGCGTCAGCCTTCTCCGACTACGATTTCCGGCGAATAGGTTCATTCGTGCGAACGTAGCCAAAGTTTTGCGGAGAAATTTTTATGGAAGTCTAGTGACTCTGGTGAAGGCCTGCATGTTCCTCGCTGCCGTCCCAGCTAGTTCTGGATGGCGGTACTGATCGGAAAAGACAAATTTAATGCAACGCAGCGTCGAGAGAAAACAAATACTATAATCTGGCGGTTTACACCGAAGCCGACCCAGGCGCAACTCGTCGAGACTGCCTGGCTCCGATTTTGGCGATCATGCCCCTCCGATGCTTTTGTAGCGGTTCCTCAGAAGTAGATGGATCCTATGGATCCTTACGAATGGCCGAACCGAGTAGATTATGCCGCTATGTATGTGTTCCACGACTTTCGAAGTTCGAACCTGTACTAAGAAGCATCTGGCGACTTAGAAGTCACTGGCAGAACACAAAGCCGACCATGAAACGGAAAAGTTCGTGATCGCGATTATTGTACGGGTACGATATCGTTTTCTGGAAAGAAGGCGCGAAGAACATTGGCATGAAGAATGGTGTTATACCGAACTTGATGGAGGCTATGTTTCAACCAACAAGAGCGAGCGTTTTCAAGCATTCAACGGCGGGAGGGTTGTTGTACCATCACGCCTATAGGATTATATCGCTCGTCGGAGTTTTTGGGACATGATGGGATACTGGAGATTGACATATGATATTGACGCTGATAACGAGACTCATTCTGCTTCTGATATTCTTGGAGAGTATGCTCAGAAGTTCAATATCAATGGCCGGATCCGAACACGCGTGGAAAGATGGCGAGCATGCTCGACTGTATTAGGAGAGTGAACATTGAACCGCTGGTCAGTATGTTGGAAAGGGCTCACAGTCGACTGGATGGAAAGAGTGGCTGAAAACCAGTGGCTCTGTCAGATTAACCGAACAATATTGGTCTTTGGCCTTCCTCAGAAACAGCACACAAATTTTCTGAAAGCGACAAGAACTGTCCCTAGTTATGTGCTTCTATGGTGCTTCGCGTGGGGAGCTGAATAGATTCATATTGATGCGAACGACCATGAATACATTCCAAGCGATGGGCTGAATGTATATCGGAGCGAGCTAGTCCACCAAAGGATAGATAGTAGAACAATTGATCGTCGAAGCACAGCTACGGCATGACAGCAAATCAGAGAAAAATGAAAGAAGCCCCTACACACAACGACTTCTGACACGATCAAAGGAATTTCGTGTGGGTGCCGGCAAGCTTGTACCATTACTCTTCGCCTTGGCATGACAAGTCCTTCCATTGTCGACATCAGCGATGCGAGTCTTGGGCGAATTTCAGAACAGGGGAAGGGAGACGAATGAACACAGAGCGCACCGAATAATTTCAAGAGTCATTCACGATTAATATCGCTATACTCTGCTCTGTCGAAGCGTCCTCAACTTTAGTAGCTAGGTCCAGCACCGGGAACATCGAAATCGCTAGGAAATGTACATCAGAGGGCGAAGTCTGGACGGCTTATACCATCCGTTCTATGGCATAGTTTCTCTTCTTGATTGAAATGATGGTCCCAGCATGCAGTCTGGTTTGCGTTACTCGAAGGCTTTTTGGATGACATCGACTGGGACGGTACGGGTTGCTCTAGTTCGGACGCGTCACTGGAGCCTGAAGGCCTGATCCTGGGAGGATTATGATTTTCAATAAAAAGTAGACGAAACAACGAGACAGACCTGTGTTATTCACGAGAGTATCAGCCTGCCCTCGACCTTCCCGATAATCTCTTTCGCAGCCTGGACTGAAGTAGCATCCAGCTGAACGTGGCTGACATCAAGACTGTGATCTCCTTGAATTCAGCCTTAATATAGCGCGAGGCGGTGGTCAGCCGTGCTGCGTTAGCTCCGAGACGGACACAAGCTCGATAACATGCAGTACTGTTCGTGACCTCTTCAACGTTGGACACGGAGCTGGAGAAGCGGTGTCGCAATCCATATGGAGTCTTGAGCTTGAAGCTTGAGAGAATAAACGCGTTGCGAGATAGTTGAAGAGAGAGGAAACGGTCGTCATCGTGGTTGAAGCCAAGGTTAGATTTCCGGCCCGACAAGTCCGCCACATCTTCCCATGTCTCACTACGAACACTAACCACAATTACGGGCAATTTCATGCATTGATACCGGCTCGCAGGCAATGATACCCAGGATGATGGTACCTGAGGCGGGGCGATTTGCTGGTCTTGGTGTTCTGAACATTTACCACTTTACGAGGTGAGCACGTCTCTCCTTGTTTCTCTATGTTCTCTCAAGGGTTATTAAAATGATATTATTCTTGGACCTCTGCACTAGCACTGAACGTCAGCAGCAAAAAGTCACTGTCTCTACCACAAGCTTGCACTACACCCAATCCCTTGGCGTTGTGAATATTAGAAGGGGCGGGAAACTCATGCCCGAGTGTGAAAGGCCAACATCTGAGAGGAGAGCCCGCAAGACGAACATGGCATATCGCAAGCTCAAGCATTGAGTCCAACATCGAGGACGTTCATGGAATCCATCGCTCAGACACGGTGGCGGCGGAAGGTAAGGCAGGGTTTGTTTGTTGCCATGATCAAACGACTCGGACTCTTCATCATCAACGACCTCAACCCTTTTCGCGTGCTTCGCGTATGCTGAGGACACCATTCTCTTAGGACGACACCTCGCTGTCGTATCTCTTCATTAGCGAAATCAAGGTTCGTCGGACTAGCTTTTACGGTTTTGTCAGTGTCCCGCTAATTTCGACAATTGCAGGGTCTGCTCCCGACCCTGATGTCCGACGACGAGCACGAGGCTTCTGTTGGGTTGTTATTCATGTAGAAGAATAATAACCCAACTGAAGCCTCGCGTCATGATAGTCGGACCTCGTGTTCCGACTTCTATGAACATCATGTGTCTTTAATCTCCTGACCGGTTCGGCCATTGATAGGTTGTATGCAACCAACACCACACATGAGTCACTGCTACGAAGGTGGAGCCAGTCAGCATGGACGTATAACGACATAACGCCTTGACCGGCACTAGTGCCAGAAGAAGTCGGCTTCGAACGCTCTCCCCAAAACTGATGAACACGACATTATGGGAAGAGGATAGCAGATAAGTTTGTAGTATCTGGTTCTCTCGAAACTGCGTTGAAATAAAATGGTCTTTCCTGAACAGTACTGTCATCAATGAGCAGCAGAGGTGGCGCGGTGCTGGTCATCACCCGAGATACGAGATCTTCGTAAAACATCTCTCCATAATACCCAGGCTATGTCTTGCGCGAACGAGCCCATTCACTGAAAAAGATGTTCGGAGAATGCTGATGCCGTGACAAGAGACTATTCTTGGTCGATGTTCTCTTCATGTAAATGTACCTTGGAGCGATCCAATGTCCTCACCCCGTCATAAGCGTCACTTTTCCCCTCCGCTCGACATGGGTACTCACACAGCTACACTCCATGACCGTGAACCGTCCTCCGTTCCTGGCAGTCGAAGGCTATAAAAGAGGGATTGAAGCACCAAGTATTTTCAAGCTCTCACAACCGTAATTGCTTAATCTCACTTCACAATGTTTGCTCGTATCTCTTTCACTGCTCTCCTGGTTCTACCTCTCCTTGCGACCGCCACTATCCTTCCCCGTGGCGGTGGTGACGGTGCCGCTTGCACCGCGACTGGTACTGCCCAGTGCTGTGATTCTACCCAGAGCGTGAGTCTGTCTTCCTCCCATTGATCGATGCGAAAGCTGACGAGAATTATTAGCCCACCGACTTGAGTGCCCCCGTTGTATCCCTCTTGGACTCCCTCGGAGTCGTCGTCAGTCAACTCACTGGCAATGTGTAGGTTTTTCCATTATCCTCAATAGACGGTAGCTCATGCTCTACAGCGGTTTGTCCTGCACCCCCATCACCGTCATTAGTGTTGGCGGAACCCAGTGCAACAATCAAGTCGTCTGTTGCAATGACAATAATTTCGTCAGTAACAGCATTAATCCAGATTAACTCTATGCTCACCTTTCCTTAGAACGGCGTTGTTTCTCTCGGCTGCACCCCCCTCAACGTCGGCCTCTAAGGTACCGGGGAGAACCGAAGCATTTTGGTGATTTTTAAAAGTGCATTCGTCTGTTGAAGAACAAGTAAATAGGTCGAGAAAATAATATTGCCGAAGAGTAGCAAATGTGCCAATGATTTATCGTGTTTCTGATTGTTTAACCTTTCCCAGTGACCGTTGCCTCTAAGTAACGCATGAACGCATCGTATACTAAACGCGAAATTCACCGTGTCCGTATAAGTACTGCGGTCCACTGGAGTGGTGCAGTACCAAAGCGTGCCAGCGCGTCAGAGCATCTCCGAAAGAGCAAAAGGCATATTCTAGCAAATAATCAGTGACTTCAACTAGAGATATGTGCGACTCCAAACCCGAGCAGACTCGGATGCGAAGTAAGTCGCCGGTGATCGGAGAGCGGTCCGGAACGTGGCGGACCAACATAGCTTCGAATCTGAACCACGACTGCCGCCGACGACTCGACCTCCGCCGACGACTCGACCTCCGTCAAGGCACTAGTACTTTCATCTTTTCACTTATTTTTATGCTGGAAGTAGCGGCGCCTACCTGAAGTCCCCATAAGGGCAAGATGGTGATGCTTTAAGTTTGCTAGGCATTCTGGTGCGTACATTTACACAATACTTGTTGTTAGCCGTCCTGAAAACGGTTAGTATATAGGCAGAAGTCTTCAGAAAACAAGGCGCACTTTTTCAGACATGAACTCCCCCATTTCACTCGCATGGAAGGGAGGTATTCTTGCTGGATTCTCTCAATGGATACTCAAGGATTTCGCTTGAGGCCACGCATGACCGTCCGCCGGATCACTCAAGTTCCTCCACAGCCTCGATAGCTGTACATGTACTCGTTTGGTTGTAGCACGGCGGACCAAGTAAGTCCTGTTTAGTACTTGCTGAAATTCCTCTCACCGATAACTACTCCAGGTTCATCCCACGACTACCTCCCCCGAACGAGCCGCTAAATTCTCTATCCAACTCATCTTCTACGACCAACTCGGAAGCTCCCATTTGACTCTCGCTCATTGAAGCCATTGTTATTCTTGTCTATTGGTCTCTTCATCGCAAACGCTTGGAGCACTTCCGCATCCAGGATGGGTTCCTTCATGGGGTGGGACACTCGGTTTAGAGTTCGAGGTATGCAGGTATCGCGTCACTTGGCGTTTACCAATTCATTGACGAATATGTAGAACACATCAGCTAGGGAGCTAAGTAATCTTCCCAGATGATGTACAGAAAGAGCTGGACGTGGACATAACGGCTATGAAAAGATACGGCAAGGCGCTGGAGGAATGAGTGTATTCATTAGACCAATCGGCGAGTCTGTTGGCGGACATTTCCGTTGCGGTAGGGATGTAAGCGGCCATTTCACTCTGGTTCTTGACGATTGCTGACAGACCGTGTAGGTTCGGAGAGCTGAGTACACGGACCATCTTGATCACGTCTATTTTCCAACCTTTGCGATCAACGGGCACGCAGAAACTGCTCAGGAGTTTGTCATCAACAACCCCTCCGCCGTTGGACTCTTGAAGAAGTTCGCTCTTGGTGGCTGCGACAGTTTGTATCCAGCTAGGTATAGCACCACTCCTTGCGTCAATGTTCTTGCAAAGAATAATGTTTGACAAGTACATACCCGAATACAGAAATCACGAAACGTTCGTCCGGCCCCATGCTCTGGCTCCTAAGTCTCGCGAGATGCTTCGAAATACAGATTCAGCCATTCTTGACTAGTTATAGGCTGCAACGCCACCTACTCGGCACCGCAGCGAAAGCACAGAAGACATAGTCCGCCATTTGTGCCTGACAGTCTGGATGTGTCCATGGCTCACGCTTAGATCGACTCTGGTGCCAAAGCATCGGACTTTTTTCTCTCGACGTTACTTTGCATGAGCATGAAGGTGGTCTTTTTCGAATAGTATCACTGCATCCAACGAACGACACGAGGCGGGATAGCGGCGGGGAACATCAATCGTCATCCAAGAAACTAGATCTTCGCAAACTGCAGCCTGATCACTATCTTTGCACGAACGAGCCCATTCACTGGTAACGATGGTCAGAGAAGGGTGACACCGTGATAAGGGACTATTTTTGACTGATTTTCCCTTGCTCGGTTCTTCGCATCACGAAACATACTGTTAAACAAGGCTCACAGTTCCTGACCGCGTCATACGCGTCATTCGTTCCCCTCCACTCGTCCTGGGCACTCATAGACCTGTATTTTTGTTTCTACTCCATGACTGATGACCTCCATCGCCCAGAGGAGACGACTCGAAAAGCTATAAGAGAGGGATTAAACCAGCAGGTATTCATTCTCAAGCCCTCACAATTGTACAGCTTGTTAATCTCACTTCACCATGTTCGCTCGTATCTCTGTCTCTGCTTTTCTGGCCCTACCTCTCCTTGCCAGCGGCGGCGTCATTCCTGTCATCCTTCCCCGTAATGATATTATGACCAGGGAGATTCCTACACTCCTCCCTGACTCTGTCGTCTGCCTTACCCCTCCCCCCATTCCCTATCCCCGTGATGAATCGGATGAGGGTGCGGTTATTACGGGCAGGCAGACTATCCCCGCCCTTCCAGCTCTACCAACTCCTCCCGCTCCTCCGGCCGTTCCAGCGATTTCAGCGCTTACAGGCAGGCAGGTGATTCCAGCTCTCCCGGCTCCTCCTGCCCCGCCAGCTCCTCCCGCTCCTCCGGCGATTCCAGCGATTCCAGCTATTCCAGCGCTTACAGGAAGGCAAGCTCTACCCGCCCTTCCAGCTCTACCCGCTCCTCCTGCGCTCCCAGCTCTCCCGGCCCTTCCTCGCGATGAATCAAATGTTATTAGCAGGCAGGTTACGATCTCCCCAGTCCTTCCTACCCTTCCGACCGGCGACGAAGCAAGTGTTATTGAAAGCAGACAGGTTGTTACGGGCTCTCCCACCATCTCCCCAGTCCTTCCTGTTCTTCCCCGTGCTATGATTATGGGCAGACAGGTTGTCACCATCTCCCCAATCATCTCCCCAGTCCTTCCTCGCGATGATGGTACCATTATTGCGGGTAGGCAGGTCATTACGGGCTCCCCAGTCATCTCCCCATTTCTTCCTCGTGGACAGTGATTTCGTTAGTAACGCTGTCTTTCAATTTAATTATACGCTTATATTTTCTTCAAACAGGCTGCGCCATGGCCTCTAAGGAGGCAGGCAATTTTTTGTGGCTCAGAGCGTCTTGGTGATCTTGTACAATATATTCGTTCCTTAGATAAATAGTTGGATAAAACAATATTGCTGGATAGTAGCAAACGTGTCAATACCTATAACATTTCGAGTTTTTCTGTCATTCGAAGCTTCCTGCCGAATCGTAGCTCTCCTTGTCGAATTATCGAGTGGGTGGTTCAAGTACGCCGTGGTGAGTTTTTGAAGGCCTGGCCATCGATCGATCCGTCGGAAGGAAGTTCGTCGTCGGATAAATATTGAACGCGAGGAGAAAATGTGCTATTCCACTGCCAAGCTAAGAATCAGACTCGCAGTTTACGCTAAGTTGCGAATCATTAACAAACTCTTTCAATTTGTATCCTCGACGATATCTACATCGAACATGATTCTCTTATCCATGAGCGGGAGCGTTTTATGGACCCACTCTATGAGATGCGATTCGTCCCAGGGAGAAGGGTAATCAACGTGAGGCTTAAATGCCACATTCAACCGTTGAAAATCCTTCATGTCTGGGCCTGATAGGATCTCATCTAACCTTGACCATTGCCTCACCCAATCACCGTCATCCATAGTGTGGCCATCATAAAGCGTGGGAGGAACGACCACCAACATAAGTGTCTCCACCATGATGGGTTCATCAGCGCCAGTCAGAGAATCGAGCAACCATCTCATGGCTTTCATATGCCAACCACGTTGACTACACTCCATCTCGATCTTCAAGGTCGGCATCGTCAGGGGAAGTACGTCAAGCTGAGCCGGCCATCCCGACATTACGTATTCTTCATTCATCGAAACCATCATCAGTGCATGTTATAGAGAAAATAATGCGCCTCACTCACCAACTCTACGGATACGAATATCCAAGCTCCTCAATGACCTCGACGCTGCACGGACAAACGCGCATATCGAGGGGAGGTATTCCCCACGAGGGTAGATGATACAAAGCTCGTGCAGGGAATCTGCATATACCGCTCGTAGCTCTCGCCGATGGATGAGGAACTCCATGAAGGAAATATGGAACGACATTGCCCACATCGATATCTTGTTGATCCTTGGAAGCAACCCGCTACCAACGCTCCCGAGCTCGACCAGGAAATCCTGCCGGAATCGTATCGCGCTCAATTCGAGGCTCGTCAACCCGGGGAGCTGACAGATGAGGTGGTGGAGTGACCATGGATCGGGAAATTGGAGACTGTCGAGGTGGAGAGCGGTTAGGTTTGGGAGGGATGATAGGAATGGGGTTAGGCTGGGGATCGTACTGGCACCCCAACAGATGGTGATGTTCTTGATGTACGGGAGGATGCTTTGGGAGAACGAATCGTCAGGGGTGCGCTTCAGCCTGATGCTGTGTAAAAGGTGTACGCGGGTGCGGAGGTAGAACAGTCGGCAGACGAAAGAACAGGCGATGAGCGCCTCTTTGTCACCCCAGAGGTAATCGATGATTTCGTCAATGAGTTCAGGCGGGATGCTGAGCTGCATTGCACGTTAGGATATTTCCAGATTTTCCTGTATCACGTACAGAGTGGTGCTTCGTCGTCTTAGTTGCTTGGACCAAATCTTCCATACTGTGCGAGGGCGAAGACAGCGTATTGAAAGTCGAAGTGGACATCCTGTTTATTCACGCGATTAAAGTGTTTTGAAGGAGGGATCTTGATTCTGATGGATCCACGCACTTCACGACTGGAAAATTCTGGCTCCTGGGACCGGTTCGTGACGGTGCAGGAGAAATCGGAGAAATCGCGGTAATCGAAATCACTGTCCTTTTTGGGACTCACGTGGCGGCTGTGCTTCAGCGAAGCTGAAATTCAATTATAATTTCAAGTCTCCATCTTTACCTGTTCGACAATCGTACTCAAATGCCCTCATTTCATTTGACAGTAGCTTACAACCTTTTTATGATGGTTGGGTGTCTGTGACAGAGCGTGACAATTATACCGTCTGGATTGCACTTCGGAGGACATACGAAGTAGGGCTGCGCACCGTACCGTATACGGTATACAGCCGTAAAGTTATTGTCCCAGACGGTCACGGAACTATCCGTATACCGTGCCGTATGGCCAGTTTGAATGCCTTGTCGGCGTCGGTACGGGTACCTTACAGCCGTCTACGGCCATTGACAACCGTGTACCCGAGTATGAAATTGATTTGCTATAAAGAAGTCAGACAGATGCATTTAAGACTGTCAAAAAAACTGTAAAATGCACCTGGTCTTATAATCAATTATACCACGTTGAGCAGGGTTAGAGGAATCGAAGACTTAAAGGAAAGTCACACATATTGTATTGAATGTGTCCGAATTTTTGATAAGACAGCTAAAAGAGTAAAGTTAGTAAAGCCACGGAATTGAAGGTGCTATTTTGTATCATAAATCTGCCCTAAAAAAGACTTTTGGCTCAGTCAAAAGTAAGATAAAAAATAAACCGTACTATGATGTCATATGGCCGTCTATTGGAGCTCCTGATGGTGATGGAACAACCATACACCGTACCGTACAAATAGCCATTAGGGTTCGTTCAGCTTCAGTCCGTATTCCGTATAACAGCTACCGAAAACCGTACAGTACGGTGATGGCACGCAGCCCTAATACGAAGCTTGTGTGCTTTGGCCAATATCAATTTTGTTCTGTGACTTCTCAAATTATGCCAGGTACCATTTGGCATGCATGGAACATAATGTTCTAGGGAATATCAGGTAAATATGTTGTCAACATGTGCATCGTAAGTTTTAAAGTTCGAACCTAATTCTCTCTTCGACACTGCCTTTTTTTCTCTCATCATCCTCAGCATTGTTGCCCTCAAAAGCTCGAGAATATTTACAAAAGTATGTATCCTTCTCTAGCGAGCAAATATTTCTTTAGCCAGAAATGCTCATTCTGGTCCTACAGACATCCATCATAATAATCTGTTATCGATGGAATAAGATAACTCTACTGTTTGTTGTCTGTAAACTTCGCTCACCCCAGGTCATTCATGTAATGTTTTCAGGAAATCTCTGAATACCATTTACACCGGTGTACTCAGGAAAATATGACTGTGGGGCCACATATCATGTGCAGCGACATCATGGTGCTCCTTCATACGGGGAAGTCATCAGAAGACCTTGACTGGGAGACATCGGCATCAGTAATGGAACACATATGCCTCCTCGAAACTGAGATCATTTCCCACAATGAACGGCTCCAGCCGCAGGCTATGCTGCACGATGTTCCTCCCCGGCACGAACGAGACCTTGCCGTGCAGGATCTCAAAAACCATAAATCTATATTCACGCCCATTCGACGTCTTCCGAATGACGTTTTGCTATGTATATTTCAGATGTCCACTGGTGTCGGGGTCAAACCTGAAGTGAAAACTATCCCCTGGGTTCTCGGTTATGTTTGTCATCACTGAAGAGCTCTCACCCGTTCTTCCCATTCCTTATGGACTGACATCTGTCTCGTGAGCCTGCGCTACTCCAACCTCTCATCTGGTCAACGCAGTCTGCGCAACCGTCTCCTCTCCCTATCCGGAGTTTCACCACTCAGGATCACTATAAACATGATCAATCCTTTTAAGGCTGATATACCCCATCGCCCAGTTTTCCCAAGTGATGATGGAGATGGCATTTCGGAAGACATCACTCGCCATTCTCATTGATATTCTCATATAACTCTCATCATAGGAGGGCCAGTATCAGCCACTCAGAACTTCTCTTGTCGGTTACCCCTGCTACACAGCCTCTTTTTGGCAGTGTTTGATATGAACAACCCTCACATCTGTCATCTGTTTTCATCGGCTCCCCTTCTCCAGGATGTCAACTTCTTTGACCCTATTGTCATGTGGTGGGAGTTTGCTCGAGTGGTGCCCCTTTCCCCGCTCGTCAGGATAGTGAAACAGTGTGAATTGGTCGACTCCGCTAGTACAGGATAACAGTGCAAGTAACAATGCTTACCTAAACTGGATGATGACATCATGCCAGATTTCTACACTTGTGTGAACACAGCTGGCTGGTGACTATTTTGGGGTGGTCAAAATGTGTACAAAATGCATGAAAATGGTATAAAGTTTTGGCACCGGATTTTGCCGCATGAAAATTGATAATTCTAACTAAGCAATATACAACTAAATTATATAATCTTGCTGGTGTTTAATCTCCAGAGAATATAATCATTTTGCAGTGGCTAGAATGAAAGCAATGTTATAAATTTACTTGCACTTTGAAAACCTATTGTTTTGCCGTTTGGCAAAATGCAGGATGTGATCCGCATTTTGACTGATCCAGAATGCCTTATATAGACTTCTGACAAAATTCAGCCTTTTGCTGCCCACCAGTCTATATAAGGCATTCTGGATCAGTCAAAATGCGGATCACATCCTGCATTTTGCCAAACGGCAAAACAATAGGTTTTCAAAGTGCAAGTAAATTTATAACATTGCTTTCATTCTAGCCACTGCAAAATGATTATATTCTCTGGGGATTAAACACCAGCAAGATTATATAATTTAGTTGTATATTGCTTAGTTAGAATTATCAATTTTCATGCGGCAAAATCCGGTGCCAAAACTTTATACCATTTTCATGCATTTTGTACACATTTTGACCACCCCAAAATAGTCACCAGCTAGCTGTGGAAGGAGACTACTGCATTGGAGGACCTGTATTTTCGCATCTCACATCTGGAAGATCAAGTTGTCCAACCATCTACACCCAGATCCAATGCACAGCTCCTTCCCACCTTCGTCCATAATAATATCCAGAGGCTGGTGTTGGATGGCAGACTTCATTGTATTCTGGACCGGTTCTCCATTCCAAACTTGAAAGAATTACTCATTTGCAGCAAGCTCGGCATGGATCATCTAGTTAGACCAGAAATAGAATCCCCTGATCTTGGACTCAGAGTTGGGCACCTCCTTCATTTTCTGAAGGGCCCAGAGTGCAATCTGCAGGCATTCCACTGCTTCATACCAATACCACTTTCAGCTCTCAGAAGCTTATGGAAACAGTGGTTATCGTCATTGACAAGACTCACCATCACCATTACTTCACCGACTCAAGGAGATGTTGTTTGAGAGCTGACATTCAAGGAGGGCAAACCTGGTGCCCTTCCAAACCTCCAGCTTTTGAGGCTGCGTACACCTGACGGTGTGTCTATCTTCAAGGATGACAGCCTTCTCAAAATGGTATTGTCACGGCTGGCTTGACGTCCCGGAAGTTTTACGACTCTCAAGATAATGACTGAGATACTTGACGAGGAGGTCCTTAGTCAGGATGTTATCACTCAAATGCAGCATCTGCATGAGATGAGGGTGGCGGGCATTCGTGTTGAGCTCTTTGTGGATGAGTATTTGGACTATTTCGAAACTGATGACTGCTTTGCCAAGTTTGTGGAAGAGAGAAAAACGTAGTAGTATGATTGTTTGTATATAACAATGCTGATATGTAGAAGATAATCCTTGTGTCTAATCACTGATGGTCATATTAAGACCATACCGCAAGAACTCGGTCCATGGAGAGACTCGATGGTGAAGCAGTATGCGAAAAAGAGCCTTGTTGACTGACTCGCAATTGCTTAATCCGACTCTGGGACACAGTCCATGAGCAATCATTAGGAAAACGCAGTAGGCTGAGTGTTTCAAGATCATTTTGTTCTATCTGAGTCGGAGTCCAGCGAACGAATTGATGTGATACAAACTCTTGCTATTACATCGCAGTGATTTCTCTTATATTTGTAAGGACATGGCCATAAATACCGATGAAATCGAGAGCAACAACAAATTGTCAAGGCTACCGTTGCCACCTAGTCTACGGTCCAAGGCGAGATTACCACCAGGGACTATCCAACCATGTACCCTTGGAATTACTGGACAAAATTATGAGATCTTGTGCAGTCTCGTGAGGTCGCACGAGATCTCATGGGGCTGCATGTGATCTCACGAGACTGCATGTGATCTCACGAGACCACATGTGATCTCACACGATCTCACACGAAAAAAATTCGGTCGGCACAGCCATTTGGTAGCTCACCTACCATAAAAAGACAGCGATAAGGTACAGTCAGCGAATCATGTCACAGTGGTCACAACAGCCAGACCAGACAATCTCATTACTTTCCCGGCAGGGCACTATGAAAATCTTTGACATTGGTAAAAGAAAATAACATATAATTAAATTAAATTTATTTTTATTCCTCTGAGGTCTTGCAAGATCTTGCACTGCTGCCCAATGCCCCCTATCATGCAGAGCGAATCTCAACCACTCCCACTGTCCACTCTCTTTCGTAATTCTCAAACAGCCCATCAACGTCCCAAACCTGCACCACAGGCCGATCCTGCTAACACACAATCAGCAGCTGGTCCCACAGCAGTATCCACCAGCATCCAAGCCCCCATCCCATGACGCAATCCGGTAGCCACTACATCACCTCTTTGCAGGCTCACCACCACTGGTCTGCTTCAGGAAAACACCCCAAGGCCCAATACTCAGGCGGTCACTCTTTCCCAACCTTTTGTCAGACCAGAAACGTCCGTCGCTGGCCTGCTATCCCATGGCTTCAACTTGAACATGTTCCTTGGAATGCTTCCCACATCATCGAGAAACACCGCCTTCGTTGGATCCAACATGACAGGGTGTAAGAAAGCATCCACCATGCGAATGGCATGGGGACATGGCGAAGCACCTACATGTCACGTCCTCATCTATCCCTTTCTCAGTCCAGAGCATCGTCAACAAGCCATCAAGGATGCAGATCCTAGCATTCAAACTGGATACCCACTCCCCCAGTCTGACATATACCATCTCAAGCATGTTGACGTCGCACCGTTTTGGGAGCACATGCAAAAGCTTGATCTTTGCATCACCTTCTATGCCAATGCTAACGACAATTACAGGACAATTCATGATAAACTTCTCACACATAATGCAATGGCTGGGAAGCTCCAGATCCCCAGCCTCAAGACTGACGACCTGGCTAATCTCAGCTTTCAAAACATGGGCTGGTGTTTCCTACAGCTCATGTCCCACAAAGGGGATCCATCTCTTCTTGTTGTCAACAAGAAAATTAATGAGGGTCAGGCCACAATTGACCATTTCATCCGCCACGGAAGCCTGGAGTCCAAGTTTCTGCCCAAACGTGGCAAAAATCATTCAGCTGTGCTTGGTCAGTTTACCCTGGTGATTGGTACGTCTGACCACACAACTACCTGACTGCAGGTGATATTAACTCGCAGGAAAATATTTCCAGCTCCGACCCGAGGCCCCATCTGCCACAATCTCCAAAACAGGAACTTGTACGTGGGCGATTTTGGACCACAAGAAATGCCTGATGCGGTAAGAGGAGGAATGCATGCCTGCTTCTCAGAGTATGCAATGCACAATCTCTTGTTCATCATGTGACAGTGGGGCGGCAGTTTTGATGAGAACTCCTTGCCCTCCCTATGTGCATGCAGAGGCTTGCCACCCAATCATCTTGCCCCTGAGCTGACGATTACGGCAGGAATCCCTCGTTGTCCCCAACTTACCGATGACGCCACTTCACTGGCGGAAGAACCACAGGTATGTGATCCTGTCACAATTAGAGTGTGATGTGACTGACCTGATGGTGACCCAGCCAAACACACAGTCCAACAAGCAGCCCGCTTCTTCCAGGTCACCGCCACCCAATCGACTTGGCATGTGCCCCCTTTCACTGATTGACTCGTCCAGCCAACTGCCCCCACTGCCATTGCCCCCCCCCTTATTACGCTGGAGAAATTTGGCCACAACCTCGTGATGCAGAGCGGTGACACGTGCGCAACACGTTCATACGTGTAATTTTGTGAATCCTGTGAATCCAAACATGTGTCAATCCACTAAGTAATATTAGAGTGCATACCTGGCATGGAGTGACACCTGTTGAGGCAGGAGCAGCATATAATAAAATAATCCGAGTGGAGCACATGGCTTAGACTTAGAGCAGCACACTGGTGTCATTTAAGTGTGGAGTCTCAGTGCCCTGACTCACACCCTATGCATCCCTCAGCAGTGTCTCGCTCAAATAAAATACACTGAAAAGATAATATAATTACAGAGCTTCGTGCAACATTGATCTATGACGTGCGAACCCTGCCGATCTGGCAATCACTGAGAGACATCATTCAGAACCAAGGACCACCCAGTCCGAGCCTCCTGAGAGGGCTTCAGCTGACACGAGAGAAACTCTGTACCCAGAATGAAATGTTGAACTAAGAAAAGGTTGTGCAGCAACCAAATATAAATACCAACTTGCTAGCGATGTGTGCAACAGAGGAATTAAAAACAAGGAGCCAATTAGGAGAAATATTCCGCATGGTGTGGCAACTCTAGACCTTGCCAAGCAGAAAGAGCAGCATGTTATCAAGCCCTAACTCAGATGACTGACTCAGGATATTAATTAGTGACCATGCGGTTGATGCATCACAGAGAGGAAATGGCTCCGGGGTGGAGTGTATCTATTTTCGATATTTCTATTTATATAATTAGCTGTAGATAAAAGCACGGTAATTAGAAGTAGGTAGGAAGCTTTCGAACCCCCGCAGTTGTGACACGTAGCAGAGAGCCTAGTGTGCAACCAAAGGAATTGTGTTTGTAGCTTCGAGCGAGAGAATATTATTGGATCTAGAATTATTTTGAGATGCTTGAGAGGTCGCGAGGCATGCCTTGCTCATGTGCGATGCCTAGCTTGATTCTGGACAGTAATTGATTGCGCTCAACTCGGAGAAATATTGTATTGTGATAACTTGAATGTGCATTTGTGTTTGCGGAACGTATTCTGAGTTGTTGCAAGTGGCAGAGGTTCGAACCCTTTGGCTTGTCAATACTCTTTGAGGGTTTTTGGTTTATTCCCAAGCAGCATAGGCCCAAACCCTGTGGCTTGTGGATGTGTTTCTGTGTTTCTGTGTCTCTGGATCGCATAGGTTTGAACCCTGTGGATCTACGAAAGGTTTTTGAAGTGTTTTCTGCTTAGAGCGCGAGGCTTTAAGTCGTGTGTAGTTTGTTTGATGGGTTGTGGCCATCTGTGTGTTGCACGCAACATCAATTGAGGGTTGTACATTCTTGTGGGACGTTTGTGGGCTTGTGAAATATTACTTTCGCCTCGAGGCCGAGCAATACATATCGCTCACCTCCTGTCCTAAAAGCATTTGGGCTTAGAGAATTCTTTTGAGCTAGCGCGCTATTATATCTTGAAGAGCACAAGACGTCTTTTAAGTCTATTGTTATTGTGTGCTTGTATTGCACATCTCCCCCGAACTACTGAGATTCTGTGTGTGTGTGAGTGTGAGAGTGTGTGTGTTTAGTGTGTTTACGCTATTGCATTTTGAGCTTGGCATGCACAGAGCCTCTTCAGCAGGCACAAAGTCAACCCATATACACCTCCCGCCTGTCGGAGACCATGATCTCCCTCCTCCCCGACACAATGTGCCTGAAGGGACCAAATGTCGAATCTCTCGCCGATGCAGTGCTTGAACTCTGTAGATTTTATGCAACGAATGCATGGGACAAGGACAATGAGATGTTTCTGCAGAAGATAGAGGGCCCTCTAGCACCCCAATTTCCTTCCTCCGACATCCTTTGTGAAAATTGGGATGAGCTGGCAAAATTTGGGAGCATGAAGATGATCATACTCCAGAGCCGGAGCCATGGTGACGGTATCAATAAAATGGTCCTCAGGGAGGTATTGAAGAAGGCTCTTGAAAATACCAATCTATACACTTCCTTGCCAAATGGCTCCAATTACTTCACAGCTACCTTTCGCATGAGAGATTGCACCATGATGGAAACTTGTCTGTGGAGAGCACAGGGTCTCCTGCTTACTCTCTGCACTGTTACCTTCCACATGCCGCCGCTGCCGGTGTCTCCGTTTCTCTTTCTCACATTGTTGACTCCACGAGGAGGATTGGCAAAAGTCTTGGATCTTCTAACAGGACCTGTTGTCAAGGCATTGGATCCCGCTACCAAAGATTTCATGCAACCTTGGTTCGGTTGTAAACTTACAGACCCTCTGACCTTGGAACCACCTCATCAACATGAAAGAGATCAGAGGTATCTGTGGGTTTCACATTTCTGTGATCCTCATTTGACCGTAAGTCCAACATGCTACACCACACTACACAATCACCCATGAAATATCCTCTCCCCAGCCTTACGATGTCGGTTTCAAGAAACCTGACCTGGAAAAGTCACAACTCCAAAATAGGTTGGTGCTGAAGCTCATTCTATTGTCCCATCCGATGGCAGACCAGAGCAATGGATTTAACGCCATGCAGGAGGGATTTTCTTACAATTTCAGTCATGACAAATACATTGGAGGCCTGGTAAGTTCTGCAGCTGTCTTTGTGCCAGTAACATTGGTGAACAGAGATTATCATAGCCTTTGCTATTCCACCGAGAGCTACCCCAACCGGAGAATCTCTTGTTGTATCTTCACAGGATGTATGATTGCAGCATCCACTCAGCTCAGGACCTTCTAGACCTTATCCAGTTTGACCATGGATGCGTCAGGACAGATGCCTTTTGCTCAACACTGTGTGATTGGGGTTATGGGACACAGCCCAATGGCAGGCATCTCCCCCTTTATGAATGCGTCACCCGAGCCATCACTGATAAATTGCGGAAATACTTTGAACAAGACTTGGACCGCTGCGGGCCACGCTTCCTGGTGATGGCGACCAGTCTGCCATATATGCCTGCAGTACCCGAGGAGAAGATCAAGGTGCATGCATCATGCTTATTTTAGGTTCGCAGATATGTGATTGTCCTCTGCACCTGGTGGTTCTTGTAGTTCGTCTTGCATGCCCCAGATGAATTCCAACCGCCTTCTCAAGTATTTGCACACAAGCACTTGCTTCAATATCATCAGGCTCAAGCTCGACATGAAATTATGCAGCCTTCTTGCTGGAGAGGCAACAGCACTCTTCCCCAATTTTGAGGCTTGCTTGGACTTCTGGTTGTTCGACGATGATCGAATCATTATGCTCATTATGCTTATTTAGTCATATTGCATTATATCATGTCACACAACCAGTCCATTGGTCACGTCATGTCATATTACATAACCACTTTGGCAAAATATTGATCACGATATTCATAAATCTGAATGCTAGCATGCTGAACACAATCATTGGAAATGAAGGATGAGCCTAAGTATGCAGGCCTAGAACTTAGTATGGTGCCTCCCACTCTGTGACATCCTTGTAGTAGCCCCCAGCTGTCGAGAGGGGCATTGCATGCTCAGGATAGTTCCCCTCCGTGGATGTGTGTGTCAACACACGTGGCAAACAGGGTGCATGGCCAAAAGTTACGTAGAAACTGTCACAGTAAAAAGAGGCAAGGTCTTGCTCCAAAGATGTCACCATTTCCTCCTGTGTATCTGCTCTTGTCCAACAAGATGGATGCAGGACAACCTCTCCATTTGCTCATAACCTGACGCATGGAGCATAAGTACGGAGCCCAACGCATCCACCCAGGTTTCGCCGATACCGCGGTGAGCCTCCGATAGGTGTACCACCCAACAGCGATCATGGCATCTGAGGGGAAAGCAGTGGCCTAAATGGACAAGATGCTTCCATATAGCTGATTCTGTATTCACTGTCCCTCAAATGCCTATCCAGAGACAAAAATTCCAGTCTGAACCCCAACTCAGGCTAGCTCCCAGTGTATCTCATGGACGTCTTCCCTGGAGACATCTCTGATGGGCATGCCTTGCCATTTGCCTTCCACCAAGATTCCATGGGCCTCAACAGACATTTCTCCCAAACATCCCTCCAGGAATTTCAATGCTAGTTCCCTTCGATCGGTAATCTTCTCTCTGATCCTATCTCTCATGTCCGACTGGCCCACCCAGTCATAGGTGAGGATTGCCCTCCACATCTGGTGGCTCATTCTGGTAGAAGTGTACGAAGGCTGTTTGCATGGCCAGCAGGCCTGGTCGGAGACACAGCCAGGTACTGAGTGCGCTCATCCAGCTTAGTCCCATCTGCTATGGTGGCAAATAGATCAGGCCCGAGGAAAGGTGCAATGGTGCTGCTGGGACATTTATACATTCCTTGTTTGCGTTCGACAGAACTAAGGCCCACTTTCCATGCCGGGCAGATGTCCTGGTAAGAGCTCATGAGTAATTAGGGCAAAACTGTTGGGCTTCTGGGGCTTCAAGTTACCCTTACGAGAACAGCTCGTGTGGTTGTCTATGTAGTCAGTCAGAGAGCCTGTGTCGCTTATAGTGGATATACACTCACATGGTAGGCAAACCTCCCGGGCGGGAGACGACTGCACACTCCCATGCTCTGGTACTCAAGAAGCTTCTGAGTGAAGCTCTCCTGGACTCCACAACAACAGATTTGGTGCCCCGAGGTGGGACCTGGTAAACCTGTTGAATGCCAGGTATTTTTCCTCATCACCAGCGCCTCCTACGTAAACTGAAGGGAGACGAAGGGGACAAGGTCCCATATGAAGACGGCCCTCTGCTGTCTTTAGCCTTCCCACTGCATTGATGCGTGTGTGGGGAAGGGTATCAAGGGCTCGCAGGAGCCACACCGGCACTCCTGCCTGGTGAAATTGCTGTGCCACACTGATGTCCATCATGATGCAACCAACCAAGTCCGCATCAGGCTTGGGAACGTGCTCCGATACAGGTGCAAGGAATGAAGGGCAAATGGTACCAAAGAAGAACTTGATGGCTTCAGCCTCAAGTATCAGTCGTTGCATTTCAGCTATGCACAAACACAGCCTGTGAAATGTGAGGGGCAGACCGTCCAGGCATTCCAGAAACATCCTTGCATATCCTAGGAGTTCATCTGCCCTGTTAGCTCCTGCTTTGGCAGCCTCATCTACATGGGGAATACCCTCGCAACCACCGAGGATTGCCCAACAACATTGCTGGAATACGCATCTATGTTCTCTGCACCAAAAACCAGGCCTGCGAATGAGCGATGATGGGTCCAGTTCTTCAAAATCTTCCCACAACAGGAGCTCAAACAAAGGAACGTCGGGATCAGAGTCATCCCTAGGGCACAGTCACATGCAAGCCAGGTGAGGGCATGTCCAGCAATAAGGTTGGGGCCATGACAGAGGGTCATCAACACCATACCTAAAATCTTCCCACATCCACATTTCTCGGTTCACACCAAGTGGTGGGGAGTACAGGCCAGTACAATTCGGAGAGGTGATGAATATGTTGTCGTTGACGAGTGCGCCATGCAATCCATCCCATGCCCGTAATGCTACAAAGGCCATCATGGACGCCTCAGGTCATGTTCCAAAGAAAAAAGGGTCTGAAACAAACTTACGCTTGTGCGGCTTGGCAAGCTTGAGTAACAGCTTGGGATCATGTCATATCGTGTCTGCCAAAGACGCTTGGCCTGAGGAGGCCATCCTGCAAAAGGACTTTGAATGAGCCACGGTCACGGAGGCGGTTATGGTGTAGAGGCAAAATGCAAGTCAAGGAATCAGGCGGGGCGATGGTTCCACACTTCAAATCTCAGTGATGCCCACCGACCTATGTCGAGGTGGGCATTCTAACGATGACACTATAGGTCTAGTTGCTACAAAATGCTTCTGTGGGAGTAAAAGCCAGACCCAGCAATCTGATCGATCTCTGGCTCCATGAAAGGCCCCTTGAGAGCGATACTCACTTTGACTGGCTCTTGTGGGGGTTACGGAAAAGTGTGTTCCAAACAACCATCAATAGCATGGAGTGGAGGGTCACAGATCTGTCCTGTTACCTAAGCTAAAGTTCAAAAGACTCTGCTATTTACGTTGTGGTCTTTACGCTCGCCCATCGATGTCACAGACGAGTCCCAACCCTGGTGCTGCTCTGGGTCTACAGGGCTGCCATTGTCATAGCTGATACTTGGTCTTGGTTCTTCCCCTCTCGCAGGTCCTTGCCTGCCTCGAGAGTGTGTATTTTGTTAGACATAACTGCCGTCCTGATCTGATCAGCGACTACTCACAGGAAGTGGATATTGACACCAAGAGAGACGAGCAACTGCTCGCCCAGTTGCATGTCTGTCTCTGACGAAGACTGGTCACCCTCATCTAGTTGGGACAAATGTGCAGTGCGACTCAGCCCTGATGTGGTCGGCAAGCTGGTTACCTGCAGCGAAACGGGTTGGTCACCAGAAGCGCAGGCCCAGGAACTTGTTCGCCTTCAGACCAACATCCCATGGTCCCAGCCATCCGGCAAGTGCTCCCCATGGATGACCTGTGTGTGCTTGTTATGGACTACATACCTGGCTGCACTTTGTCGACTGTATGGCACACCATGTCGATCTGGCAAAAAATCAGTACCGCTGTTACCTTACATTCGATATGTTTGTGAGCTTCGCTCCATCCATCACCCGAGGGGTGACATACCTGGTCCCTTAGGAGAGGGCCGGGAGCCACTCCCATGTATCTTGTCGGTCCTCTTTACAGTTGAACAGGGGCCCCTTTCCCTCCCAACACGACTTCATTCAATTCTTCCACACAGGCTAAGGAGAAAGCCACCTGGCCCGGTGGTGTTGCGCTGGCGTGGCCTTCACAAAAGGAAGCTGGCACGCTGGTATTCTCACATGTTGACCTTGCTATGCGCAATCTCGTGGTTGGGGATGATGGGCAACTATGGTTGATAGATTTTGGGGAGGCCAGGTTTTATCCACCATGGTTTGAGTTTGTTAACATGCTAGGGGACCAAATCATCGCTGCACGGGGTAAAGAATGTGATGCGATCTGGCGAGCTGCTGATACCTTTCATATGTGATCCATACGTCGAGTTGTATAACTACATAACGACCATACCTCCATACTGCCTGTAACATAAATCATATACATACCTTTGCTTGGTACCCATCAAGGCCATCAGACCATGTGGAGCACAAATCATCGGTACTATTGTTACAATTGTGGTCATATACATCTTGTGAGACTGCTAATCATGCCAACACATGTCAACTAAACTATCTAGGCGCCAACATCGAGATCTTCCGGTGCAACAATGCACTGCTCCTGCACGGCGAGCTCCTTCACTTTGCTGACATAGGCGTCGGCCAGAGGCCTCCAGGATGGGTGTAGAATCGAGGCGTGCTGCAGACAGAGCAGGGCCTGGAAACACCAGCGGCAGCAACCTACACCGCTCGCGTCCACGCTACCAGTATCGAGACCCTTGGCCATGAAGGCGTTCAGAATGTCGGCGAATGTCACCATCGAGGTGCTGAGGAGGGGCAGGGTCAGCTCAGTGATGAGGGCCTTGTGACTAGGAGCAGTATAACGCCCCTGACAACTGAAGAAGACAAGGTCAAAGAGGCGTCAGGCTCCACAGGACTGGCTTACCAGATGAAACCTTTCCAGCCATTGTCGACTTGAACCTTCTGCAGGTCTACGATGACCCGACGCATCAATGACGGTGCGTAGAAACACAGGTTCCAGTGGACAACGCTGTTATAGGTTGGTATGGCCACCAGGTCGCATTGCGTGATTAGCTCAGATAGACGGGCAGGCTGGACCTTCTCGAGGTCTATGGCACCGAACGCCTGAATGACCAAAAATCAAAGGGTGTCTGGAGGCAGGGCAAGCGGTATCACTCACTGGGGTGGACATTGAGAACCAATCTGCAGGACCCAGGGAGAGAAGGTGAGCCATATATGTGGTAGCGAGGCCCCGTCCCTGGCAGTCAGCTGCTGGGACTTCTGGTGAATAGGCTTTGAGGTGGGGACACCGAGGTGAGAACATTCATACCAAGATATGACATACTGCTATGACGAGGCAGCGCCTCGCAACGTGCTGGTGGCATCGTGAGGTCAATGGAATCGAATGGCTGCATGACAAGAGAGTGATAACACTGACTTGGGTGGACATGGGCTTCCGGTGGATAGGCTTTGCGGTGGGAACTCCGAGGCAATAACTACCGTTCCATGTCGCCAGCGAAAGGATACATCCCTGGCTGTCAGCTGCGAGGTCTTCTTGTTGAATATTTATATAGGCTTTGTAGTGGGAACACGGAGGCGATAACAATGGTACCATGATATGACCTAGGCAAGGACCACGCAGCATCTTAAAAGTGGTGATGGTGTGGAAGACACATGCATGCTGAGCTTGCACACTTCACTGTGGGGTGCCAGGGAGGGCGGAAAGAACCACGCTTTCTGATCAGACACGGTAAAATGAATCTGTTTGCTTCCTCCATGTGGATGGAACCGTATTAGCCAGAGTTACAAGGTAGGGACAGTCCGTTGGTGGAGTTGGTCAACAGATTGAGTAGCTTAATACCCGGCGTAGAGGAGATTGGGCGACAGGAAGCGGATACAGCAGACGAGAGGCGACCCAGACTGGCAAGGCGATTGTTCACTTCAAGCGTGGGAATGGCCCGGGCCTTGATTCCTCTCGATCACATGTGGGCATGATGTGACCACCTGGATGCATGGTCACAAATGTCACAAAGCAGTTGTTAGGCACCTCAGGAAGCACCGTAGGAAAATTTCACTCACCAATCGCAACCTGGCAATGTCGGAACTCCCGCACGTCTGTAAGTCTCCATCGTTGAACTATTGTCTTACAATGCAATGCGACATGGGAGGGACCGTAGCCGTTGACCCGAAGCCGATATATGGAAGCTAGACGCACACTTGTCGCTTCCTGGTGGGCGTCTTGACGTATGTCGGCGCCTCTCAATCCTCTTTGCCTGTGATGGCTTACTCCCAGATGATTACTGATTATTGTGGATCAGTGCAACAGGCTGCAGAGTTCGAAGCTGTTCCAATCTTTGCCCTTGCATAATCACACTCGTCTCCTAATGCATCCTTTGTCTGCCTGCCTGGATGAAGAGCAAGACGTGCCAGCTCAAGGGCAAAGTGCCGCCGTCGCAGTGACCACTCCGGCTTCCTGGACTGGCTTTCAGGACTCTAATTCAGGTGAGAAACTGATCAAGTAGTATGTTGGGAAACCTGGTTCTTATGGCTGATCCAGGATCTGGCTTGTGCACTACCATCTTATTATTGAAAGGGGATTACCAGACTACCCGAGGCTCATGGGAAAGCCATCATGCACCTGCAACATGCAGAGGCACAAAAGCGGGTCGATCTCATTGAAGCACTCATAACATGGTGACTGGTCGATGAGCTCTTACGGTGTCGGGGCATAGATGATGGGGAGTTTAAGGTTGATTATTCAATTCAGTTCAAGCTGACAGTCAAACTCAGTACAGGTAGGGGAAGCACTTCGCCAGACAGTCAGTGACTTGCAGTATTACGTGTCGCAGTGGGTCGCATGATTAGTGGATTGGCCAGTTGTGTTGTTGCAAGCCACCACTGCCCAGGAAAGCATGATGGCGACACTCAAGCCCCCGCTTCTGAACAGCTTGACCAACCTTTCGACCGAACAACAGCAGCTCTGGGTGGATTTGCAAGCTATATGGTCTTGGAATCGGAGTGGGCACATGAGTTACTGGCAGAAACTCCTTCACCTCATGGAAGGGGTAGCATGGCAAATTCATTGGATCTGACGAACCCATGGTGACCCAGTAGAGTATGCGAACAAATTGTGATCATGAGTCCGCTGTTCTTGTGCCCTGTTCACGCTGATTGGCCCACTTGACCTAGCTTCACAATTTAAAATGGGATGAACGATATCTGGGAACAAGTCGAGGCGAGTTTGAACACGTCTGGCCCCAGGAGTAAAGACTCGATGGCTGCTTTGTTGAACTGTGCCACTATTTCACCGCTCATACTATTCAAGTGGTCACGGGATGCAGCCCCCCTGCCCATTCAGTGCTTGATGGTATGGATCTCTTCTTCGATTTTGCAGGCTGGACTGATGCATGTGTTCCGTTCAGTACTCCAGTTTGGTTGATGATCGAGACAAGCCCCCAGTACTCTGTAACGTTGAGCGCGGATTTTGGTCCTTGTTGTTGGCAGTTTCTGAGGGATTGGTGTCTGCTGAGAGCAGGCTTATTCTCTTTCTCAAATTGTATAGGTCAGAAATACAGGCAGCTGCGCAGCCTAACCATTTGAGGCCCTGGTTTGAAGCCAATGTTCGATTGAAACCACCCAAAGGTGGGCAAGGCTCCTCCATCGAGACCACCTCAGAAACCCCTCAAGAGGAGGACAAGAACGCTATCACCGTTGCACCCATTGGTGAGGAGGAAAAACCCGAAGTATTGTCGCAGCGATCTTCACCAACCTCTGTAGTAGCAGCGATCGATTTTGGAGACGACACTCAAGAAGACCCAGCTGCCGAGAACCTGGCTGCAGTAGCTGGACTTCAACCCAGGAGGCAGAAACTGACAGAGACACTGTTACCATCACATGATGAGGATGGCGACGTGCAGCTCCCAGAAGAGAAGCCGAAGAAAAAAAAGAGTAGGAGAAACTGGAAGAAGATGAAGAGCAAGCCCATGATCAGTGAGGACAAGTCGGAGGCATCCGCTGTGCCAGTCCCTCGGAAAATCCACGAGCTAAACAGCCAATCCAACCCCAGTGAGAGCGAAGGCACATATGTCTGTATACACAAGCCACCTTGTCTCTGGCTAACGAAGGCAGAACTGGCCAAGCATGCTGAGAAGGTCAATGATGACGAGGACGTCGTCTGGAGGACAAGCTATTTAGAGGTCAACTCAACAAGAGGGCCTGTAATGGGGTCTGTACCGCGCCCTAAGCGTACTTGGTGTCCTCAAGTCCATGTAAGCCCACCAGCTTCACACCGCCCAAGGTCACCCAGCATTGATCATGAATACATTGAAAGGGCCGAAGCGCCTGGTATACATCGAAGTTTACAGTCCTACCACCAAGTGCTGGGAGAGATTTAGTGTTGATTGCCTGAAGGCATCGGTATGACATTTCCATTGGCTCATTACTGGTAGGCGCTCACCTCTCAATCATGCAGGACCCCTTTGATCACAATATTATGAAATCTCTGCTTGCCTGTAGAATGGACTCACCTGGCAAACATCCCCCTCCCTGGGTCAATTGCACGGACAGGGTCATCACAAATTGCCCACGTGCGGTACTCCAGTGATTTAAACATTCAGCCTTATTTTCGTGAGAGGAGTGTCCTGGTGACTGGGGTGCCCACCGACAGGTGCAATTGGGGATGGAACGCCTGCACCGTGATGGGAGCTGGGGGACTTGGATATGGAGATTCCTGTGCATGGTGCATTTCGCAGTCAACTGGTTCGTCGTCGAGCATACCTGATACCGGTGTCTGGAACAGAGCCCGTACGGCACATAACTGATGCCACCCCTGATTCCATGTTGCCAACCGTGGAGATCTCTTCTACCCTTCGAACGGTCCTCCAAGAGGGTTCAAAAGGACGCACTGGGAGAGTGCTGAACGCGCTTACCCTGCCAATGCCCGATACCACATTGCAGAGCCCATTCTTTCAGTAGGTTACTGTTGTATGATCTTATGACCCAGCCTGACCCAATTTACAGTCAGGCCGCCTCACATTTGGAGGCGTGTAAAGTCACCCGGTCGATAGGGACTGATCTCCTTGCCGCTCCGTTCCCCGCTGCTGCTCTGTCTTGGGGACTGGCTACTGTAGCCGGTGCAGTGACTCCCCCTCACACTGACTATGGAGGATCGGCTGTGAAAATACACTGTCTGGTCGGTAGGAAACTCTGGTTTATAATCCGGAAGAGGGATGAGCCTAGCGAAGCCATGAGTTGGGATACATTCATTCACGACTTCCAGGCCGATAGCAAGGTCGACCCAAATGTGTATGAATGTGAAGTGATAATTGTCGAGCCAGGCTCTCTTTGGTGAGTGCGTTTGACTGGGCTTCCACCATGCGCCCCATGACAATTCCGTCGCAATCTCATCCAATGACATTCAAACCAGGTTTCAATGTCCAAACACTTTACATGCTGTTGTTACGGAGTCAAACTGCCTAGTGTTCGGGCAACATTTCTTTCCATCATCAGGTATACGTTCGGTCAGTCATGGGTTGGATTCACATGACAGTTCTTGTGCTTTGCCATCACCAACGTAGAACACCGGGACATGAGGGTGTTGTTACTATGCCTGATGGCGTACTGGAAAAAGGTCATCACTGATGGCGAGGACGTTGAAGGTTCAGTGGTGATGACTGACATGCTGCTGGATACTTGGTTTCTCATTCTTGCCCACAGACCATGATGGCCATGTGCCCGACATTACAAGCCGAGCGGGTTTCCTAGACATCTGTGCCCTCGGGAACCTCATTATTTACCTTCGTGTGCTCTCTGGTCGACAAGATTAGTACTGGAATGATCTTCGTTTCGCTGTCGCCCAGTATTGGGAAATTGTGTCCTGGGCCAATGAGCGACTGGTGCTCACTGGCCTAAACGAAACTGAAAAGGTTTATGAGGTTCATGTGGCATTCAAGTTGTCTGCATTGACAATTTGGAATTGGGTTACTGGATTATCATGACTCTCTCAAAGGAAGCCAGTTGTACAAAGCAGTGGAACCTGGTGAAAGATTCAACCGACAGTGGATTCAAAGCCAACAGTCTTGACCGCTTTCGATGAAACCTTCAGCTGTGAGCTACATCGAGAAGTCGGCAAGTGAGATCGACAGCAGGAGGCCCATCTCTTTTGGGAACCGCTGTTTTGAGTGGTTTCGGTAAACGGTGAGTAGCTGTAACGAAAATTGGAGCAGTCGGCTAATGTGGCTTGCAGAGATCCCTGAAGAAATATCCATCCTCACCTATGCTGAATTCACATGGCAGTCCGCCCCTGAATCTGATCTCTCATCCTTAAGCAACTTGTCGGGGGATGATGCAGGAGGCCCTTCTCAGATTGGTCCTTCTCTGATTCTTGTCAGTCCATGGGGGAAGAAAGCTTTGCGCAAGAGTAGGGGATATAAGTCTTCACCTGGAAGTAGCAAGGACAGTGATGAATCAAAGGATGAAGCACTTGGAAGTAGCAACAGTGATGAGTCATTTACATCCAAGCAAAGCGGTGCACGCTGGAGGAGATGTCGTGCATCTTCGCTCGGTAGCAGCGATGACACGGACCAGGAAGATTCGGAAGATGCACTCTGCGGTGACAGTGATGAGGACAACAATTCTAGAGTCCTGGTCACTCATAGCACAGATGACATGGACAGTGATCAATCAGATGACGATGGACTTCAAGGATTTAGTGATGAGGACAGTGTATCGAAGGACGCGCTCACTCATGGCATGGCAGACATGGACGAGGAATTGGATGCTGACGATCCTGACCCTGACAAAGTGACCAGAGTGAATGATGCAGAGATGGCAAGTGTTGAAGAGTCCCGGAATTCGTTGTCCCCAGGTGCACTTTTTGACCAGGAATGGGCACAATTTGAAGAGGAGCAAGCCTTTCGAGCGCAGAATTGTCGAGAGAACGTTACAGTGCCCGTTCTTGACGCCACTCCAGAAGATATCGATTGGCCAACTGAAGACCTGAGCAGGTCAGTGCCTCCTGAACTCGGTCCCCAGTCTGTACCTGGTCATCAGCTGCCTGCCGTTCCCTCAGCGCCGTCACCAGGAGCAGGATCTTCGCTTGAGCCAATGGTCGATATGGTGCTGGACCTCCCATCATCAAGCTCATTTCCTCTGCCGCCCCTACCTCTGAAATGTGGTTTGGAACATGATGACCCAATGGAAGCACTGGACTTCAAACGGCACAAGAGCGACGCGGTAGCAGATATTCCCGATCTGAAAGATCTTATCGAATCCACCAGTCAAAGTCTCGCCGGATTGACAGGACATCCTTTGCCTTCTGACCTGGTCAAAAACATAGTCGATGCAGCAGACCAGTTGCACTCGAAAGGAGGGTCAACCCCAGTCCTCCCCGACAATCAAGAAGTTCTCGACTTAAGTGAGCAGGAACCAGACATGGAAATAGAATCTGAACCGGAGTCTCCCGAGGCCATCTCACAGTGGCGAGACGAGATTAAACAGGCCTTGCAGGCCTACTTAGAGAACCATCAGCCCATACATCCCCTTCTAACAGATGTCCAAGGTGTCACAGATCCTTCTGATTTGTACCAGGTTCGCGACCAAGATTTTCCTTTGCATTGGTAGGATGATTAAATTCATTTAGTGTGTCTCCAATGTCATTGACATCAACAACATGTCAGGATGGCACTTCTTGAGTGCCAGACCCATGCTGAGTGCGGATAGCCTGAGACGCCTGCTAAAGGTGAAAGGGTCATGGCTCAATGATGACCTGGTCAGCGTTACTCTGCGTCTACTGTGCCAAGAATATCCGTCTTGGGGAATGGCAGACTCCCTGGTCATGACTTCGAAGAAAGCAGCACCGTGGGGATTAAGAGCCTTGTTGAAGGTACGAGCAGCTTTTCCTTAGTGACCTGATTATCACGAGTCCACAGGAACATACGGAATTCAGCAAGTTAAATTTTGCTCTCCCAGTCCACCATGACAAGCATTGGCTGCTTTTCCACTTGGATTTCGCCAGCCGGAGTGTGACCTGCTACGATAGTTTGAATACTGATAAAGGTGTTCTTGAAGCCATCTATTCCATAAGCCCTCTCCAAATAAATGTCCTAGCACCATTTTCACTTGACGTTGGACCGCCCCACAGAGCTTTTGGTCATCTTTCAAGTTGGTGGTTCCGGATCCTGACAATACATTCCATTTTGAGATAGCCAAGGTCAGTCTCACTTTCCAAAAACCAGGGAGGCTCTACCCATACTCATAATGTACAGGGAATCCCATGGCAGCAGGATTCCATCAGTTGCGGAGTTTACATTATTGCCTTCGCCTGGCATTTAATGTGCTATGGAGCTCCTCCGTCCTCCCATGATGGAATGTTTTCTTCAGCAGGGTTCACAAACTGTTACAGATTAGACATTTTATACTTTCTAGCACAGATGTTTTCCAGGGACCGTGAGAGCATACTTTTGTAGTTACGATGAATCCAATGAATGTGTCACACTATTTGTGACAAACCATACACTTGTGACATATGGCGATACAGTTCTATTATCGGCAACCAAGCCATCCTTGGAGCTCCTGTATCACCTATTTTCTTTCCTACCACACAAAAAAATGGCCTCAAGTCAAGAAACTGACTTCATCCCTCCTCCACTGACTTCTTCAACCAGATCTGGCCGTCAACGGCAGCTGCCTGCATGTTTGAGACAACCAGGTATGTGGCTCATTATCCTCCGCTGTATACATATTGACAAGTCCACAGGTGATCTGCCCTTGGTTCCTCGGCCACCTTTGCCTATAGTCATTGAGGGAAGTCCACGAATGAGGAACAGGAACAGGAGGAACACGGGTGAGGAGGCAGGACAGGTTGATTTCCTGGATCAACTGTCACACCGGGGCGCAACTGGTATGGCACCCATGACATGCTTGCACCAAAACTGACACTGGTACTTTATCAGACCTGTTTAGTGCAAGGGTCAGTGGCGGACATGTACCAACCTCCAGGGAAGAACAATCGTTAACAACTTTATCGGACTTGTTTCGTGTGAGATTCACTGGTGGGAGCGGTGAACGAAGCCTTGGGGATCACCAGGGTTTGGAAGGCGCAACAGGGAGAGGTAAGGCACCTGCTTTCTGCTTGATGTGACCTTCTGATGCACTTGATATATAACGGAGGCCCTGAAGACCTAGACGATGAAGAATCTCCAATGCAAAGGAATGATATTAGCGGACGTCCTGATTCACCCGATGAAGTGGACAATGTTGACTCGGCGTCAGGCATGAGCCTGAACGATGGTTCGTACTTGTACACAATTGCCTTCAAACCCATCCTGATGGGCTCATTTCTCAGATGATCCAGATCAGTTGGAGAGAGATCTATATCCTGGTCCCGATGAAGAAGCTCCAGCAGAAACTGCTCAGAACAGTGAGTGGCAGAAATTGTTGTTTTCGTCTCCTCCATGAAAAAATTGGAAAGGTGCGAACATTGTGCCTGCCAGTCGGCTTGCTGCTCAACAGCGGAACTGGGAATGATATTCTGTCCGTGAAGAGGACATGTTGCATCCTGGGGCAGACGGCGAACATAGGGATGGAGAAACAGGTAAGTATTCAAGTCTCAGTCTCCAGTCTGACAAAAATTACAATACGACAAGGTGTCCCGCCTTGCGATACGTCCAGTGGCAATGGGCCTGTCAATGATAAATTTCGTGAAGAGGACAATCTGGAAGAGGGCAACCCTGTGCTGGTCGTAAAGTCCGACCATTTTCGCTTTCATTTACGCTCTTCTGAACCCAGATTGCAGGCATCCAGTCAACCTGTTCATTTGTATGGAGAACTCGGAAGGAACTGATCGTGCCCAAGTGGAATATAATGTAGGCATGCTGGAGGGATTAGTGGGTAAGTCAACCTCACTATGTCGTTTGCGCTGTTAATGGTGAATACCTATGTTGCAGGTGAAGCTCTAGGTGCCTTGTTGAGAGGAGGAGGAAGGATGGGACATGCTCTGCAAGGGCTAGATCGCTCTGGTTGGATGGTGTCGACCTCCACGTGACCTTTGTGTCTTCATGAAGGTGGTGGGGAGGATTTGTCATTCAGGGAGATTGGCCTCTTGGACAAGGTCCTCGAGGAGGGCAGTTCACTATACAGGACTCCCCTGCTCAAGTGCCGAACGTGTCCCGACACAGCAAGGATACTTGTGGAGACCGGGCTTTCTCAAGATGAGCTTCATGTCGTATATATACACAGAGCACCAGCGTCATCAGAAGCAGGGACTGTGGAAGCTCCCACTGAAGCGAAAGAATGGCAAATCTGGGACAAGTGTTTTCTAGGGACGATCCAACCGGTGCAGAGTCTATTTGACCCAGAGTACAACGAGCCGTTCCGGGTGTATTTGGGGGTGACGATTCTCATGGCGATCGCAGAACAGATTGGCAGCGACAAGAAAGCCTTGCACATGGGGAAGCAGGGCAGCCTTCTGGGTGTGCTAGCATGGTTGAAAAGCTGGACTAGTTTACACAAGGTTGAAATCTTTGAACGTTCTCAAAAGATGTTTGAGCGCTACTTCAGCTTTTGGAAAAAGGTACAGTCACTCGGACACTATCTCAGTGCCTATGATTTCGGTGATGAGGTCAAGCCACAGGACCGGCAGTGGTGGGAGATGTTGGAAATGATTGCTACCTGGCAAGGTCTGCCGTCTCGGGCAGATACTTTGACAACGAACCCATTGACAGAGGAGGAGCTCTTTCATGTCAAACAACCCCTCTCCCTTTCACATGCTGAATTGCTTTTTAAGAACGTACTGCCCAAAAACTAGTATTTAGTCTCAAATACATATTGAAATTATGGTTATTTTATCCGGTGGGCAACAGCCGTCACAGAGATCAGGCATGGAGGCTCGTTCTTATAGGGGCGAACCTCTCTTTTCCTGCCACAACGAATCATGCTTCCCAGTATGCAAGCTGTCATTGATCTGACCCAACAACAAGGAAGGCAACTTATGCAGTATGTTGTCTTTCGGTGCCAGTTACAACATTCTGACTGGATCCCGCAGTGCTATTGGTCGCTTCAGAGGGATCCCGACGATTGAAGTCGACATCATTCCAAACTTCGTAGTTCTTCATCCCAGCCATCCCGTAGAAGACTTCGCGAGGTATCAAATTGTTTTGGAGGGGCTTGAAAACTTGTTGAAGACTTATGTGCTGCGGACGGGGCATACACACATCGACTGGAACTCTGCTGTCCTCTATGGACATGGAGTTTCCGTGCATTACGAGATGTTGTATGCGGCGGCATTTCCTCACATTACACCAGACACATCCTCTTGTATACAGGTAAGCAGCACCATCCTTGAGTCCGACTTTGACTAATACTGTGGACCCCAGTTCTTCTGCAAAATTTGGGTGACACCCTTGGTATGTGGGCATGATCCGGCATTCAGTGTCTGCCATCTAACCATGATATCCAGCCACCGAATGTAGGAAGGGTGGTTTTCCTGCCACCAATGAATTGTCGCTCCGGAGGATGCATTATCAACGTGGATTTTGAACTTTCCAATGTCCTGGAGGCCATGGCAGTCATGACCGATGCTGACAAGGATACGTATGAGTTTCAGCTGAGCCACAACTGGCTCCATGCAGAACTGCTCACAGCCGTCAAATTAGCGAGTGCAGGAACCGTGAATGATGATCTCTTAGATGAAGCAGAGTTATTATTGCCTTGATGGCTTCGCCTTCGTATAGTAGAACAGAAGAACCGGTTTCTCGGGTGAACGGTCAGACCTTCCAGTCTGTCACATCACAATAGGAATGATATTCTAACATGGCAGTTCTCGAATCGGCTGACTAGATTATATAAACATCACCCTCCGTAGAGGTGTTACATGTCACACCAGTGTGTCTGTCACATCACAACACTGAGAATCGACCTCATCCCCACCGGTGGGCTAATATGGCATTCAGAGTCTCTAAGCCATGAATCCAGCGCACTCGACAGGCCTCCCAGGTATTGCTTGCCATTCCTGGACTGATAGCCATAGTTTGGTTTAGAACATCAACCTCTGCAGGGCTGAGGGGGCAGGCAGGGGCCTCGCAAGGCACATATGCCAAAGATTGGGTGGGTACTGTAACATGAATGTGTGCTCGGCCGGTTGAAGAAGACAACTCACAATTGACAGGTAGTGGTGCATCCCCATGGCCATCCTGAAGGTGAGCTAGCACATCAGGGGTAAGAGCCTGATGACACTGTTGTAGTAGGGTAAGGATCTCCTGGTTGACATCCATGTTAGGGACAGCTGCAAGTGGATCCACAACCAGGGGGTCTGTCGGCGTGATGTGCTCGAGGCCACGAAAGCCATCCATGAGCTGACTTTCCAACCACATATTGTTAGGCATCTCAGATCGCTTACCCTGCAATGGAACGTTCAGCAAGCGAATAATCATGTTCGAGAGTGTGAGCTGGTCGGGAGGGGTCGCATCAAAGTTGATAATGACATTTTCGTAGGAAGGGGGGAGTCCCATGGTGAGTGCAAGGATTAGATCTTGGTCACTGATGTCGATACCGGCTAGTTCCATCGCCTTCGCCATTCGCCTGATCTTTCCAACCCAAGCCTCCATGCCCTGGCCCTCAAGCATCTTCGCCGTCAAGAACTTCCTTCGCAAAGACAAGCTCATTGCAAAGCCCTGTGCACGATGCACAGTCTGCAAGTTCCCCCAAATCTCCCGTGGGTCCTTCAAGTCCATGTGCGCCAGCTGCCCGACATCCACCCTCAAAATCATCTCGGCCCTAGCCTCCGCCATCTTCTGCTTATCCCGTGCCTTCAACTTTGTCGTGATCTCCACCAAGATCTCTGACTCCGACTTCCCATCTCCATCAACCTCAATCTTGACAATGTCGGTCCAGAGCTTCCGACGCGTGAGCTCGGCCTCCATCATCACTCGCCATTCCGCAAAGTTTCCGACCGATAACTTGGGAAAACGCGCACCAAACAACTTGTCCGACATTTTGCTCTATAGGCGATCTCAATGCAGCAAACAACGAATGTGGAGAGCAAAAAATGAACAACTGGACCGTCTCGTGGACCAGAAAAGCGAACAGCCAGACCGTCTCGTGGACCAGCAAAGCGAATGACCAGACCGTCTCATGGTCTAGCAAGTGACAAAGGTGATCTCGACACCAGTGTCGGGGTGGCGGTGTAGCGATAGTCTCGAGAGTCAGCACAGAGAATGAGAGCGACAAGGACTGTGGGTTATGCTGCCTGTTTGTGTTGAGATAAGCGGTAATTCTCCAGCCGCTCACCCGGATATAGCAGGGAACCCTCGCAAACAGGCGAGGGTCATCGTCGTTCGTCTACCTATTTATCTACATGCCATGTACACTAATAGAAGCAATATGATGTAATAAGGAAAGCCGAGGAGGAGAACAGATGAACGGTGCTTCCTACTGAAGATCCCGACGTCGACTGCACCATGATGCACGACACTTGACATTCCAACATCGTGGCGGTGCGAAACGGGTTTATAAACAAAAATAATCAAAATAGCAAAAAAAAACAAAAAACAAAAAAAAACAAGGCATTTATAGAAGGGGTATCAAGGAGAATGGCGCCAAAATGAGTGTATGTTGCCCGGTCACGCTCGCGGTCGGCTGGGTAGGCATTGTGAACGCCCATTGACGCCTCTCCGTGAGGCAACCTCAGATGACCTCATGAAATCTTGCAAGATCCTGCGGGGCCTCGCGAGATCTCGCGTGACCGCACGAGATCCCGTGAGATCCCGGAATATTGTCCAGGAATTCCAAGCATAGTATGAACCCTAAAAACCCTGATATTTCGTATGTACCAAGCATTGAATACCACTAAATACTAATCATATGGATGCAAGGAAGATGGAACGAAGGTACAAAAGATGTGTTGTCCTAGCTTCACATCAGATTTTGAAAGCGAACAGGACTCGTAAAGACAAATCTCACCTCAATCCGATGACTACGTTCCAATATCATCTCTCGGATGCGAGCGCATTTACTCACTGAAAATAGAACGGTCAGCACCATGACGCTCAAGGAGATAAAAGGTCACTTACAGGAGGGAGAGGGTGATGTCGCCGTTGACCTTGGCCTGGATGGCGATCTCCACCTCGAGGTTCAGGTCTAAACGGAGCTTCAACGCTTCCTTGGGTGCGACGGCGCCCTTGTTGGAGCGTCCGACGAGTTGTCCACCAGCGACGGAGGAGGTTTCAGCAGAAGAGAATTTGGTAGCGGTTTCGGGGGCAGACATGTTGGTGCTGAGGATCCTTGCAGAGAGCTCACCCCTTTTATATGATTCGAGCGGGGGTACGGGCAACGTTGTGTTCGCTGTCAGTTTGCTGGATGCATGATTATCATAGCAACGGCGTACGTCCTCAGGCTCTATCATCGGTCTCGAAGACGAAGAAAATTTCTACGTCTAACATTTCATAATACACATGTAGAACAGTGTCTTCCTCGAACGCTTTTGGTGACTCGATATTCTTCTGAAATTTGGGAGGAGGAGGTGCAAGACGCATCCGACAGTCGTGCCATGATGGTAGATGCTTATGGGTCCCACTTGACTCTTCTGAACCGGCACAAACCGGCATTCCGATCATGGGATTCGAACGTCAGTTTCAATTTTTCCACCACTCCTGCTCACGGCTGTTTTCCTCATCTCTTTACCAATGCCTGAGAGATGCTCACTACTTGCTCGTGCTGTCAGTAGCCGCCACTCATGCCTCGTGGATCCTGTCAAGCACCTTGGCTACCTATAAAAATTTCGGAAGGGACTCCGCAAAGTCTCCAGAGACCTATACTTGCCGGACATCTTAGGGGCGAAAAGGGGCATAGAAGCCCTGGCAGCGTTCCTGGAGAAGTCAGGCGCATTCACAAAGACTGGTGCCCCCAAACGGCCACCAATGCGACCCACATTGGATGAAGAAGAAACCACGCTTGAAGACTGGCTGGGAGATCAGGACCTGGAGCGAGAGGAAGATCCCGGAGATTGAAAAGTGGTAGAGGGAGGATGGAAATGCTGACGGACCCGGAGAACAACCAAGGAACTTGCTCCATGCACACAAACCCGTGCCCCATAACCTGACTTATGGTGGCGTCAACCCCCCTGGATACCAAGGACTCAACACATAAAGACACGAGAAATCTATACCATTAAAGGTCTGAAAATCCCCTTGCGTACCTACAGTAGCTACTGGGGCTGGCTATGAGCAAGCGCCGCCGCGTCTCTGTACATAGATTACGGGTTGCGGTTTCGAAATATAGATATTAAAAATAAAAAATAAAAACCCATTGTGTAGGTCATGCCATCGTGGTTGTGAGAAAGCATCGGCTACCGGACCGGACAACCGGCAAATCCTTTACTCCAACCCAGTTACCCAAAATTCAGTCTCTCCTGCGTTCTCATCTCTCCTTGTCCCAACGCCTCATCATAAGGGCAGCTGAACCTTCAATCCACCCTATAATAACACCAATACCCTCCCCTAACGACGAATCTATGCTAAAAAGGCCCAGTCAACGTCGTTCCTCAAACTAAGCTCTCAACAACCACTCACCAACCCAACCGACGTCACCGAACACAAAAAATGCCAAGAAAAAATGAAATCAACGATGAGATGGGACTGTGCTGACGCATCTGCAAATGCTTCTAGACATGTGACGCTCGCCTTACTCGCCAACATCCGTGTCCAAGGTCAGGAACCGGAAGACATCGCCATGGTCGGGTTTCAAGATGGGAATATGCTCATGGTGAGAGGACGTGAGTGTCTCAGCTCTTCGCTGATTTAGGCTGACGAAAGTAGTAGAATTTCAAACACATCGAGGCTGCGATATATGATGCCGAAATACCGTAGAGGCAGGATACACACGGACATTGAGGATCCTCGTGCTCAAGCCGACGCTAGATGCCAAGTCGTCGGTCATCGCTGTTGCAGGGAAAAAGGCGGAGGAAGCCCGTGTGCAGTGTCGCAAGTTCCGTGCTCCAACAGACGAGTGTGAAGAAGGGTAAGTATGAAAAGCAATCTGTCGAGCTCAAGGTGGTGCGCATGCCTTGCAGTTCCTTCCTATCCGTATGCTGAACCCTGAACAGTTTCAAGATCTGCTCGACAAGTACGTTGCCGAGATTGACAAGATCCTGGTGGACATGAAGACGATGCTAGGGGTTCAGACATTCATCGATAATAGAGGGTAATCCTTCACGACAACCGAGAAATGGTAGTCAGCTGGTTTGATTATGAAAATACTGCTCTGCCTCGTACTTGCCCCGCCCATGTCAACCGTATGCACAACCCATACAATGAGTATGTTTTTTTCCTTCTTTCCTTCCTCATGTAACCTATTTTAAAACTTGAATCCAGGCTTGGGCGTGTACTGGTCACTCAGACTCGACGTTTATCATTGAGCCAAGGCCGACCCCACAGCATGCTCCAATCCATGTATCGCTCTCTTCTTCCATCCCTTCTGCCACACACCGGGATAGATTCACCAAAAACACTTTACATCAGTACACCGGGGTCCGGAGGTTGCTCTCATTCACTGTTCGAACATGCGCGTGATGTGCCAAATTCTCTCCATCTCCGCCTCTGACACTTCCCAATCCCAACCACCCAGAACAACGAATGATTCCCCTGCTCATTCTTCGCTCCCCTTGCGCCGCATCAATCAGCCGCGATTCGTCTATGGAGCTCCCTTTTCATGGTATCTTCAGACGCCAAATTACGAGAGAAGTCAGCCGCTGAGACCCATAGTTCGTGGCTTATCCTCAAGATACGGGAGCTGCTCCTCGATTCCCCCCTCCCTCCGGCATTGAAAGATATGTTCCTCTTCACAGCGATGGCCTATATCAATATTGTCAGACATGCCATTAGGGAACGCCCCGTCCTTCTTTGACGCTGTCGGGTGCGCTGGTGACAGTCAAGTCGACTTTCGAACCTCAACTTATCTTGGTGGGACCCTAGTGATGTATTTGGGTAAATGGTGGGGAGGCGAGTCAGCCGACGTGGATGACGATGAACATTTGAGAAAGGACGCGTGAAGAAAGCGTGGTCGGACATTTTGGGCATCTCTGCGGATGGACTGCCTTGGGTTGGTAGTGTTCACTCGAAGGTATTGGACAGACCGGGAGGAAGTGAGTGGATCGCGGCGGCGTATTCGGGGGAGGGAATGATGCATGCATGCATGAGTGGAAAGGCACTGGCGTACATGGTGCTTGGGAAAGACGTTGATTGGCTCCCTGCTCCGTTTCGCATGACAGAGAAAAGGTGGAAAAAGGCAAATATTGTGTCTTGGCTGCAATAATTCACCGTGTAGATTTGAAGACATTACGCATCGTGGCTGTAATAATCATATATATGTTTAGCTTGTGAATATATGATAAATTACGCGTCGGAAATATCCGAACAATCTTTCTCTCTTACCACCACGACTCTGCTCTCATTCTCTGTTTCCTTCGTCTACAATTGTCGGGCTCCTGGAATTCACGACGTTGGTATGCCTACCGAGATGTTCAACGTATCATGCAGTAGTACCCATCTAAACAAGTGGATTGTATGTTCCGTCCATCTTCACGTCCTTCTCGACGCGTCCTTCCTTGATCAAGGTCACAAGAGGTAGTCAATCTTAGGAAGGAATCAATCTCTTCGTGGCGAACGAGTCCTGAACGAAGGAAGGAGCTTTGTGAAACAGGATTGGAGAATGGATTGATCAACCTCTTGACCTTTCTGTGACCTACGTAGCCGGTGTGTACGGATACTAAAACGCGTATACAGGTATTGACGATGTAGCGTGCAGGATGAGTTGACCACCACCTCGACGCCTAACTGTCGTCCCAGAGCTAGATTCAACATACAGCACTGTTTCCAATCTGCCCTTCAGCTTCCCAGGACATCCACGGACTCTCATAGTTCACTTTTCCCCTCAAGATCCTGGTTCTCTCCACACAAGCGTGTTCCCCTTCGCCGTCATCCGCCTGTCCTCTACACCAACCATATGTAGTCACGGATTCGAAGAGTCTTGCTTGAGAGGCCGCGCAGATGATGATGAAGATCTGGATTGGTGACCCGCAACACACCTCGTGATGCGTGATGGGCGAAGACGTGGGGATATAGTACTCTACAGCTATGTACGTCTATACCGCTGCTCGTTGTAATGCTATTCTACTGATCGGCTCTATGGACTGTGTAGCACTAAGGTGGAATTCTACGTAACTTTTTGTGGTCTCGTTTGATGTTTCGTGGTGTGAAACTATTGCCTACGGAAAGGAGAAAAGAAAAAAATTAAATACAGACGTTCCGAAAAACTTTGTCCGCGGTTGCCAAACAAGGCAAGTAAAATAAAAAAATAAAAAAATGCAAGAAAAATCGTGAAAACAGCATGGTGCCTTCATTCGTGAGCGTAATGCATCATAAATAGATTCGTCGAGGATGTACGAGATGTATAGAGGTAACGTAACAGGTATGAGGTCAATAAGTCAGTGGTAGGACGTCATGAGCGGGGTCTGTGCTAGCGGTAATGAGAGGCAGCGGCGGAGCATAATTAGGGTAGTGTGGGAGACTGTAGAGATGTTTTCTCCCTTGTAAACAGCAATAAGTCATTCTGAAATGAGAGCGGATAACTTCCCTCGAAGATGTATGCTTAGCATACCAGCCACTGTGCCCTCTCCAAAGTTTCCCAGTCTACAACGCCCGAACCCCCACTAGCCCATTCCTAACCATGAATACCGACGAAATAAAGCCAGGATATCCGGTTGCAGGTGTCTTGGTCGCAGTGAAATGGTGCGAGCGGGCTATGGTGTTATGTAGCAGGAGGCCGAGAGCTGTTGACGTCGAAACTGGCAAAATCACAGCGGCCGCCTGCTTGGCTGAATGCAGGATCGTTCTTCAAAGCTGTCTTGTCTTTTCTTGTCTCTTGAATGACAATGATGGCAAGAACGAAGGTGTGACCGGCTGTTCGGTGCGAGACAGCCTGAGCATGTAAATCTGGCGGCACTCAACAGTCCTTCATCAGCCAGGTGCTCTTATTTCAAGTATTATCTTTACGACACACTGCAGCACCCCATGGATCATTAATTCGTATATTTCTACTGAATGACACGCACAAATGAAGTCTGCTTGCTATTTCTACTATTTTCTTGTATTTATCTAATTTTTTGATTTTACCTGCCTTGTTTGGCAGTGTGGACAACGTTTTTCGGAACGTCTGTAAGGGGGGATGCCCTGTCACAGGCTTGGGTGACACTTCGATGGTTCTATCCATCTTCTTCTTGTTCATGCGGCTCAGGTTCTTAGAGGCCGCGCAGAATCACCGTCCAAATTGGCATCTTCTCAAACCTTCTCAAACCCCGTATGTGCAACAGGCGATTGGCCTGACATTGTCAAGGACACTCTTCCCTCCGAGTATCTCCCGCGCTTCACTGACCAGGAAAAGAGGGATTTCTTCGCCATCGATTCCTACCGCTCGCAATGGGTAAGTGCCCCGGCAGAAGGAATGAACGCATGCGTGGCAAATACTTCCTACCCCTTGTAGCCTGTCTGTAACGAACCTGTACTGTTCGACTCGGATTACGGCTGGGCCATAGGTCCTGCTGCTGACCCATTGGCTACCTGGCTCCAAGCAACACCAGTGACCGTTCGTACTTTGCTGAAGGACCTCCACTCCCGATGGCCGAGTAATACACTGGTGGGTGTGAGGACTTGATATATATTGGCCATTTCTGACTGCTGGTGATAGTATGTTTCCGAGTTCGGCTTCGCGGAGCCTTTCGAAAACGAGAAAACGGACCTGTCGCAAATAAAGGAGGACGTGGACCGAGCGAGTGAGCCTATAGTCTCATTTTGGGGTATCCGAAGATTAATCAGTGTTCCAGACTGCTTCCTCATGTATCTCGGCGAGATGTTGCTATCCATACACGAAGATGGGGTTCCGATATAGGGTGCTTTCGCTTGGGGTTAGTTTCAATAAAACAAGACATAACATTTGGTTGCTAACTCATTGCAGCAATGCTCGACAATGCGGAATGGGCAAGTGGAACGTCCGTCAGGTGCGTGCTCTTTGTTCAGGGTTTAGATATTTTCTTGTCTTAGCATGAGCGTAGATTCGGTATTCAGCATGTCAATTACACGACACTAGAACGGACGTACAAGCGTTCAGTGCTGTCCTTGGGTGAGTTGTGCGATGCCTTCCAATGAACGCCAAGATTTACGAGTGAAAATAGCGGAATTCTTTGCGTCGCACCTTCAAGATTGAGTTCTGTGTTGTACGGTACGGCCAAGGTTGGTTTTTGTCGAATATGAATTCAAGAACAAGGAATACGTGTAGCCTAATAGCCATGCAAATAAAGACTAGTCACCAATACAACCTCCCAGAAAGACAGTTTAAGCAGACCGTATATGTATACCCTTTCCAGAGATTTTCTTCATGTCCGACATATTTATCTTCAATGACAATCACAGTAGAGGCATCGAGGCGTTACTTTTTATTCATCCTGATACACTGCATCCTTGTCAAGATGTATATGAATGTTGAGTTTGTATCGAGTGTTAGCAGGAGAGACAGCACTTTCCAGCTCAATAGTTTGAGATTTTGGTTCCGAGTCGTTGTCATCTCGGCCCGGAGTTACCGGCCCGCCCTTGATCTTGACCGCCGCGAATTTTCGGTACGTCGCAACAGCTGCTTCTGTTTTCCGTGCTTTCAAATGAGCGAATCGTACTCACACATTTTGCAGGTGTGTTGACTACAGAGGCATTTTGTGACATTTGTCTTGGCAGCACTGTCGACCAGTCAGGCCTTACAGCTGGCAAACTCGTCTGAGGCTGGCTCACTCAATACCAGCATAGATTTCGGTTATGTAAATCTGATAACCCTAGCCAGGCCTTTGTTGTGATCAGGTGCCATCTTAGTAACAAGCACCAATAGGCGCCCATCGATGCCTCGAGGTCTTCCTTCTCCCCATACCTTTCCGACATGTCTAACAGACGTGGCAGGCAACTGTGCAAATTCTTCAACACACCTAGGGGATGTCGTTTTCAAGACTGCAGGTTTCTCCACGAACGAGCCGGAAGTCCGACGCCTTCGTCGTCGCCATCAACTCCGTTGCATTCTCCCAGACCATCAGGCAGGTCTGGCGGAATCACAGCTGGCGGGGGGAACTGCGAGTTCTTCTGGACTTCGGGAGAATGTCGACGAGGATTTGATTGTATATTCCGCCATGTTCGCCAGCCGCAGACTCAGAATGCCGCAGGGGTGCCTGTAGAAGCAACGTCTCCAGAAACTGACACCCTCGACTTCCTGACGACCGAAGGACTTGCTGGCATTAACAACATTTCTTTGGACAAGTTGCATACGTTGAGCCCGACGGAGGCGCATAACATGCTCAGGGCATTCAATAGCCCGACATTCCAGTTCACAGCCCCTGATCAAGTCATCAAGTTCGTCCAGATTCTAGCCAGCGTTGATCGCAGAAATTCACAATGGGTACTTTCTTTGCATTAAGCCAGCTCTTCTGCTAACCAAATGATCTCATAGGATACCATTCGGGCCCAGTCATTTCTTGAAATGATAGTCGATTTGAAGGTAAAGTTTTTGTAACTCTCTAGATAATCGTGTTCTTATCAAACCAACTAGCACCATGTCCTCGCTCGCATCCGCGAGGTCTTGCAATACTCCCCTGTCGCTTGCCGTGCTGGTACAGGCTTTACGGTTCTTTCGTTTCAAATCGGATACTTCCCGCTTCTTCAGGTAACTATCATCCCTCCGTCTTTTACCACATCTCTCATCAGAACTCCAGTTCTTTGGCTCAGACCTTGTCCTCAAAACCAATCTCCACCATAATATCCAGTATGCCGTCTCAAATATATATACGCTCCCTGTCGAGCTGACGTCCTTTAGCGCCTTGTACAGCGCCTTGGATAGTGGTCTCGATCATATGTTCGACGTCGTTTCGTCTTGCATGGAGCAAATGATCCAGAATCGATCTTGGAAGGATCCTACACCAGCCCTCCCTGCCATGCGGCAAAGCAGCCTTTCGGGTGTGGTTGTTTTCGGCACGATCACCACCCTGCTTACTCAGTAAGAGCTACTGCCTACTTTTGGTCGCTATGGTATTAACGCTTCTCAGATATTTTCAACGTTTCAAACATGCCATTAACAATCATCCAAATATTGTCGTATTCATTGGCAACCTTGTTCGGTGGTACGATGAATGGGCAAGATTGATCGCGACATCTAGCTTTGATGATTCTATTGACCCAACCGTTCAGCGGTTGACTTTAGAACAGATCAAAGAGTCTATCAGTAGACTTGACGCAATAGTAAAGCGAGAGCACGCAAATGCAGAGAGAAGACGAAGACCAGCGCAGCCGCAAGGTCTGAGAGAAGAGCATCGATCTGAAGCATTACAAGCTCAACTTATTCAGACTTATGACGGTCCCGGTGTCCTTCGTCTTCTTGGTCCTCGCCATAGCAATGATCACCGCGACATAGCTGACATACATATTGTCCCTACCCATGACGAGATGATCTCTGCGAGTCTTCCATACATTCCCGTTAACCGTCCGGATGCTCCACATCATTTGGCTCCAAATTCAATGGAGCGACATCTTGACATTCAGTTCCGTCTCTTACGTGAAGAACTCGTGTAAGTCGTCCTACAGTGTTCTCGTGATGTTTACTGAGATATGTGTATGCCAGTGCCCCCATTCGCGCGTCTATATCTACTCTTCAGCTTGACTTCGATGCTATGCAAGCACCAGCTCCAAGACGTGAGGCGCAGCCAATCCAATTGGAAAAGTTAATCAAGGCAAGGGGAGGCATGTATCGAACCTCTGGTTATAACTCGACTATGTTCCATATCTATACAAATGTCGAATACTCTCCTCTTCAAGCAGAGCGACGTGGTTTCACGGTCGGTCTTGTTGTCGATGCGCCTCCTTCAGACCGTGCTCGAAACTCTGACCCCAAAATCAGAAAAGACTTCTGGGAGCATGCTGGCTCGCGACGTCTCAGCGCTGGCAGCCTTGTTGTTTTAGTCGTCGCACATTCGGGTCGTCTGAAGATCTATGTTGGCAGCGTTTCTTCATCAACAGATGACATCATCGAGTCGTCGAAGGTCCACGAGAGCCGCATTGAAATTCGCGTCAAATTTTTTGATCCCGATGTAGAACTTGGCGCCCTTCGACAGGAAAAGATCACTATTGATCAGCATCGATTCGCGTTCTTGGTGGATAACAACATCATGTTCGAATCTATCAGACCCTTTTTGGAGAAGTTGCGTTCAGTGGAACCTACCTCCATTCCATTTTCTAATTACATCTGTCGGGACACTCTGAGAGGAGTCGCGGTTGTGCCTCCGAAGTATAGCCAAAATCCATCTTTCCGATATAACCTGGAATGTCTATCGAAAGATAGAGTCAGGGAGTATGTCCATCCATTGAACGCAACCGACCCTTTATCAATCCGGAGAGCCCGACTACAGCTGAGGTCGTCAAGCATTTTAGATCCCAGTCAATGTGATGCTGTGGTCGACGCTTTGACACAGGAAGTTGCTCTAATTCAAGGGTATGTTCTTGTTATCATCTACGTGTTGAATGATGCAAACAATTTCCTTGGGTTCTAGACCTCCAGGTACCGGAAAGGTGTGTATCATTGAACCTTCGATGTGACGTGCGTTCTAAGAGCAGGTATAGAGCTTTACCGGCAAAGAGTTGCTTCGGGTCTTATTTGCCAGCAAAGTCAAGCCTATTGTGATGATCGCTTTCACAAATCATGCACTGGATCACATGTTACTATCTCTGTTGGACGCAAAAATCACGACAAATCTTGTTAGGTTGGGATCGCGGTCCTCGGACGAACGTATCAATGAATTTACCTTAGACAAGTTAGAGAGGATGAAGGATGGAGCGTCTTCACCCTTGGATCAGATTGTGCGCAAGGAGCGGTTTGCCATGGGCCGACTAGAAGATGAGATGAGGACAATCCTACAGCATATCCAAACACCTTCGCACACCTGGGAGACAGTAACCAACTATCTGCAAGAGACCTTCCCCGATCATCTTGCCTCATTCGTAGACCCTCCTTTCTGGATTGGTAAGCTAGCAGAAGAGCTTCGTCAGGATATCGAAGCAGAAGGGGAATGGACAACCGTGAACGCAAAGAAGAAAAGGCGTGATGTCGATATCCCGAATACCATATATTCCTTTTGGAAAACTCGGCAGGATATCTCGTTCCTACAGCCCCCACAGCCTCCTCAGACTCCCGCACGGTCATCAAAAGGAAAGAAGGGGAAGCAGCAGCAGCAGATGCAGGCGCAGGAACTTATCCTTGCAGCGGAGCTCCAGCAGGACTATTTGACACGCATGAACAACTTCTTTGTGCCGTTGGGATTTCTAGAGGGCAAGGTTCCGCCTATTCCAATGACTTCCAGACCAATTGACGAGCTTCTGGTCACCGATGCTATCTGGAGCATGTCTGTCGAAGAGCGACAAACTACTGTCTGCATTATGGGAAACCGAAATGAGGACCTTTGCATATAACAAGTACAGACAGGATTACGAAGAGCGCCGGGAAGAGTATGAAGCCGCTTGTAAGCGGTTCAACGATGCCAAGGATGAGGTTAGTAGCAACTCACTGAGCATGTTGCAGTCATTCAGCTTATAAAAATCTCAGAGTCGACGGCAATTGCTATCTCGAATTGATCTTATTGGGTGCACCTACTAATGGCGCTGCCAAACTTACCTCACTGTTGACGGTACGTACTTACAAATTGCCCTCCCACTCTTTTTCTAGTATTCACATGGGATTTCAGACCATTGCACCCAAGGTTTTGATAGTGGAAGAGGACAGGACAAGTTCTAGAGGCCCATATCTTATCTTCTCTTGTGCCATCTGGTGAGTGAATGATGGAATCTGTTCTTGCCGAGTCAAGCATTAATTGTTCATCAGTGCAACATCTTATTTGTATAGGTGATCCGCAGCAGCTTCGTCCTACCTTGGCAAATTTCTGTCAGTTGAATGGGCAGCGTCACCCGATTTTCAACTTCACTGACCCGTTTTCTTAGCTCTCTCTATGGATAGTGCAAGAGGAAAAGAATTGTACAAATTTGACCGTTCTTTGATGGAACGACTGGCGGATGGTGGGTTCCCGATGTCCCAGATCAACGTTCAGCGGAGAATGCGTCCAAGCATTTCTCATAACATTCGGTTTGTTACATCAGCTACTAGTTTGGAAATCAGTAATTAACGTCTCCATCAGAACAATTCTGTATCCTAACTTGGAGGATCACGACCTCGTCAAGAAGTACCCTCCCATTCAAGGGATGGAACACGACCTTTTCTTCTTTACCCACACAAACCGGGAGAAAGCCGCAGATGAAGGCTCGGCATCCAAAGTCAATATGTTCGAAGTGAGTTGACCTCTAGCTTTTAGAAGGAAAGAGAGCTTATACAGGAGCAGGTTAAAATGATTGTTGATCTCGTTGTGTACTTTTTGAAGCAGGAGGCTTATAGTACCCCTGGAGATATTGCAGTCCTTTGCGCGTATTTGGGCCAGTTACGAGAGCTGAGATCCGCCCTCGCGTCCCTCAAAGTTGCCGTTTCTGTCGATGAACGCGATCAAGATCAGCTAGCCAGAGAGGGAATGGATGATGAAGGGTATATAGAACAAGTTACCGTGTCGAAGCATGTACGCCTCCATTTATTTTCTTTGTTAAATGGGTGATGACACTTTCTAGGTTCGTCTAGGCACTGTTGACATTTTCCAGGGCGAGGAAGCAAAAATCGTTATTGTTTCTCTTGTCAGAAACTCTGGATCTTTCGATAGCGATGAGTCAATTGGCTTCCTGAAGGTAATTTGGAAGCTTCTCGTGATTTGCGTGTTCAGTTTGTTCATGTGGTTTATACTTTTAGTCTGCCAATCGAATTAATGTGGCTCTATCGCGTGCTCAGCATGGACTGTATGTCCTAGGGAACGCGTCCAACCTTCGTCAAAATCAGACCTGGAAGACCATCATAGACGAAATGGAGCAGCGGGACCAGATCGGGTTCGGCTTTCCAGTAATATGTCCCTCGCCACCCAGAACAGAGACATACAATCACGGCACCAGGCCAACTCAGTGTCGTTGCACCAGAAGGCGAGCAGCTACAGACCAACGACTATGACCGTCAGAATTAACCAATACTACCTGTAGGTGGCTGCTGCTTGCCTTGCGATTACCGTATGGACTGCGGCCACAATTGCCCTTCGATGGTATTTTCAATTACCTATTCTATGTGCCGTGGATACTCAAGGTTTCTCATTTTATTAGTGTCATCTCGATCTCGATAAACATCGCAGCATGCGGTGCGATATGCCATGTCTCCGAACCCCATGCCCGCGTATGCATCCATGCGATAAGAGATGCTCGGACAAATGCGGCCCTTGTGAATTTCCCCTTTACAACATCGCCCTGCCCTGTGGTCATGTAGCATCAATCCTATGGTACGAGGAACTACCCTTACATTAGAACTTGACTCACTTGTAGTCTTCTCTGCTAGTCATCAAGCGGAAGACCTGGCTTCGGTTTTCTGTCACGAAAAGGTCTCAAAACAGTTGTCGCTTTGTGGACATGATGCAACAATGCGCTGCTCTGACGATCCTCAGAAGCACAAATGCATCAAAGTTTGCGGAGGAATTATGCCGTGCTGCGAAAAGACGTGCAAGTCATTTTGTGGAGACTGCACAGGACTTAATTTGCCAGGAGCTAAGGGGATCCATCGCCTCTTGACAAGCAAACTTCGCACCTTCAAGCACAAATCCCATCAATGCGAGCGACTCTTATTCTGTCAACACAAGTGCGGTCTCGACTGTTCTAAAGACCACGAATGTAATACGTCGTGTAAGCAGCAGTGCCGCCAACGTTGTTCCCACCACAAGTGTCCAAAACCATGTGCCCAAGACTGCACCTTGTGCCGAACCATGCGACTGGAACTGCCCTCACCTGTCTTGCCCAGTGTTATGCGGATCGGCGAGTTGTATTATATTTATTTCCTCTCCATGTTGTTGATTTCGCTGCAGATATGTGCACGTCTACCATGCGATGAACCATGCCCTAGCATTCTTCAATGCGGCCATGTCTGCCCTTCAGGTAAGGGATACTTCTGTCGGAGACTGCTACCTAAGCTGAGAACGGCTCTACCGCAGTATGCGGCGAACACTGCTTGCAACAGAAGTGCATCGAATGTCTCTCAGACGACGACAAGATGGACATCGTAGATTTTATCATGCAACGAAGACTTGTCGACATCCCTATCGGGTCAGACGATATCAGCGACAGGATCATCACTCTGGATTGTGGGCATATTTTCACAGTGGAGACGTTAGACGGTCATTGTCAAATGACTGACTATTACGAGATCGACGTAATGGGGTCCTACACGGGAATGAAAGCACCTCCTACCGAATTTCAACGGCCACCAAGCTGTCCAACTTGTCGGGCACCCATTACAGCTCGGCGCTATGGAAGGGTCCTCAAGCGAGCGAATCTCGATATCTTGGAACAGAATGTGGCCAGTACGATGTCCCAACGCCTGGCCGAGATTGTTCCATCTATTGAGACCCTCAGCAACGGTCTGGAAGAACTAGCAGCCCGGGCTAAAAAACTTGAAGCCGCGCCGAATTTTGAATGTCACCCTGCTGATAAATTTGAGGGCCTAGTCGAAGAGCGGAAAGCTTTCATGACGGGGAAAGCAGACGAAGTCTTGGACCATGGTATGCTCACTGCTAGGTCTATGGTCACTCGCCATGGTTTGTCGGAGTCCGAGGCCAGATCATGGATGGGTATTGTTGTGGATCTTCACAGAGTTTACAAAAAGGTAACTGATGTCACAAAGACTCGGTCCGCCCACGTCCGTGCCTACGAGTCAGCTCTTTCTACCCTTTATCGCTTGGAACTTGCAAATCTCGCTGCCGACCCACCATCGGACATCCGGGTCCCTCCTGAACACATTGCAATGAGCAATGTTGACCGGAAGATTGGACAGCCTCCTCACAAGGCTGATCGTCGCTATCATCTCGAAGCATTCATATTATCCGTCGAGTTGAGGCTCATGTTGGGAAGCGTTGCTCGTTCTCGGTTCGAGGCACTTTCGATGACTGCCAACGAACCTGCAGCTCTTCATCATCGTAAAGTCTGGTATTCGTTCACCTTGTTCATCTATCAGTCATGCATTACCGACTGTCAAAAAGCTATTACCATCGCCCATGCAACTTCTTCATCACGTTTGGCTGCTCGCTCTGCCAGCTTGATGCTCTGTTCAGACTTTGAACAGTTCCGTTTTTCGATGCTGGAGAAACGTAGGGACACATTCAAAGATGGTGCATTCGCGCAAACTCGAGATGCCTTGGTAGCTGAGGTTCAAGCTGACAGGAAGAAGTTGAAGAGTCGCTTGAGAGAGCTCGAACGGTCGTATTTCACAAGCCGTTCGTCGAATGATCCATCCCAGCTCGGTGAAGATCGTCGATGGTTCCATGGGAATTGCGGCGCCAAAATCGAGCGTTGCTTCGCAGAATACGGGAAATTGGAAGATCACATTATAAACGACGGTGTTTATCAGCCAGTGTCCCTGCAGGAGAAACAGGACATTGTGAAAGCCTTAGGATTCTCGCATCGAGGTCATTTCTACAATTGTATAAACGGTCACACATTCGTTATCACAGAGGTATGATCATTGTCGTAACGTATACCCGACAAGCTGAAACATCTTTTTCAGTGCGGCGGAGCGATGGAGGCCAGCCAATGGTCAGTTCACTAATTGGAGCGACTGTTGTCTTCGCTAACACGACGTCCTATTTTAGCCCCGAATGTAGAGCGCCTATAGGTGGTGGAAACCACACGCTTGACTCCTCTAATACCCGTGCACGAGAATACGAAGATATCTCAAGAGAGCAAGGTGGAGCAAGAAGCCCGTGGGCATGGGCAGCAGGCGCTTAAATAAGGAAGAAATGAGAGTAGACAAAGATCGTGGCTGATAATCATCGCAGAGGTATCGGGTTTCAACTAATTTGTAATATTAGAGAGGACAAACTATTTTGATGAAGCAGGAAGAGATATATGGCTACTAGAACCGGACATTTTGTTGGTGTGATGAAGGCTGGTCTACCCTTGGGTGTGGGTAAAGTATGTATATAAACAAGAGGTGAAACATTCGCTCGCATGTCTATAAAAAAAACGTGACCTCTGGTCCTCCGGTCCCAGTCAAGTCACACATGATTTGAGCCATGAGGAGGGGTTGCGTCGTTCGTCCAAAATGAGTCTTTACTTCGACCGCGAATTGTAGGACTGTGGACATGCCGGCCAGATAATAGATTGAATGCAGCAGGTCCGACAGGGATGGTTCTTGTTCGAGTGACGGCTCCGACGAAATGAGGAACAAGTTTTAAAGACACCAGGGCAAAAGAAGGCATCACCAGATTATGAACGAAAAAAAAGAAATCCATCCCGGGCCGCAATTCCCTCGAGTACGTCATCGATCGACCGTTCGATTTGCATTCGAGTTCTGACGAGTTCTGAAAACTTCTTTAGTAACAACGACCACAACACTACTACCGATGGGCGGTTTTCTATGGTTCATCGCTGGTGCAGCTGCGGCCACCATCTATTGCAATGGTCGCATACAAGCAGGGTACTATGCCGCCAACCCGAATGGATACTACGAACGAGGGTGGACGCGCCAGAGCGCACAGGCTCTTGACTCCGATGAAAGGGCGCCGGAAGGCAATGAGAGGGAACGACAGTATGCGTATCGAGCCGGAGTGAGGCTAGAGGGCCAACAACGATTCGGATTGGAGCTACCTCAACAGCCCCGAGAGAGAATGGAAGCTCCGGCACCACCACCTCAGCAGGAGGAACAAGTTTCGCTTGACCATATCAGAGAGCTCAGTAAACAAGCAGATGAGGCTGCACGTTTTCCACTTTCTGAGGCATCATAATGCTGAATCTCTTTCCTCTTAGATGTCTGCTTGTCTGAAGCTACACTTGATTCTCTCATGGCGACTATAATTGCGGCCAAGAACGTGTGTCGATAAATTCATTCTTCGAGACCTGGCTCTGAGCTTATGTGCTCCTAGAAACTCGCAGAACGTCGTGCTCAGGAGGAGAAGCGGGCGTCGGAAGTGAACGAGTTTCTCCTTCGCTACGTCTGAGTTTCATCGTTGGCAACGGGGGTGGATGGCACGGGCTATACTCTGACTAGTGACTTGTGGTACGAGTCATCTCTGTTCCGTTTCGTTCTTAGTTCTGATTCTCGATCTTCGCCACTAGCATGCATCCTCGATGTCCTTCGCGCCCGTGTCTCTCCAAAGCGTGTGCACAGGTCGTTGAGTGCGTTCGGGATAGCGGTTCATATGGGTCTTGTTCATAAGATGACGGCATCGCTAGATTGACGTGGGAGTCAATACGGTTTTTTTGGTGAGTGTAATCTCAAATTTTATTTTATTTTATTCTACTTTTTTCCCTAACAGCATAGCGGGCTGCTAGGCGACTCGGTATGGACCTACTGAGACACAAGCTACCTCGAAGACGCAATGACAGAACCCGAAAATGCTTTGCGCATTGGTGTCACGGTCATTCCTGCACTACGCTTCAAGTCCTAATTTCCAACTCGTATCCTCTATTCACAGTGAAAACACACGCTGCGGCCGTGAAAGGTTTTTATCCATTCTTCTCATCGTACCAAGTTCTTAAGGTCCATTGCAGCATTTCGAGAGATGGGCACATCCAAGAAAACTACCATTGGCTCGACTGGTAACTACCGTGCATGTGATACTGGGAACGAGCTGATCCTCGTTTTACAACACCAGGTACGTTTTATTCTTCTCGTAGTGATTTCTTTAGCTCACAGATTAGGATTGATACACAATGACACATGACTGCGGGAAACTCGTCTCCACGTTTCTTTGATCTTGACGCCGCGCACGACGTCGACGGCGACGTGCAAGCCATCATGGCTAGCGTCAACGGCCATTTCTCTTCTGCTGACGACATGAAATCTCACCTTCTGAGTCTTCTTGATAGCAAGGAACAACAGCTACGGCAAGCCGCGACCTTTAGCCAGCGGGTTCTCGCCCAACGAATGGAACTTGAGGATCGTATCCGGCAGCTTCAGGAGGTCGAAGCTGACAAGACAGACGATGAAGACGTTGAACCTGAGGCGGTACAGAAATACCAGGAGCTTACTGACATGATGATGAGCTGGGATACGGAGAATGCATTACTTTCAAGTGCATTCAACAGTTCAGTATGTCCCCCATCATGTTACTTTCATTTTGCTCTAAGAGCTTCTGATAGATAGAACGTTCTGCTATTACCGTCTCCGAGTTACCTCGAGACGAACCGGAACGTTCACGTACTTCAACCAATACATCCGCTGCACAATCTCGACGGGCCAAGAATGCTGCACATCGTGCCGATGACGTCGGTGTGTATGGAATACTTTCCTTTTCTTTTGCTTACAATTCCACCAGAGTTTGCCTTTGAAATTGGCAGTGGCCTTCTCAATGAAGTACGACGACTTCAAAGTCTTCTCGGTGACCGAGAGAAGGCCATTCAGGACATGACAGAGAAGAAGGACGATCTTGATGGTACATTGGAGTCACTTCGAACCGCTCTCAAGCAGCAAGAAGCAAGTGCCGGTGCGTCCTAGCTTATCTTTTCTCAGTGGCTACTAAATTTTAGTGGTAGACAAGTACAAAGAAGAGAACTGGAATCTCGAAGTTAGCCTCCAGGACCTCCACACCCAACATGCCGATACCCAATCCACCGTTCAGCGCCTTGATTCAGAACAAAAGCGGCTCACGAAGCTTCTCGCTGCCTCCCATGACGCTTCCGAGCAGTACAAAAATGAAAATGCCCAGCTTCAAAGTACCATCAAAGACCTCATAGCAAAGCACGAAACTGACGTGGCTTTGGCACGCAAGCATTTCGCGGCTTTGGCGCACGATAAGAGCGATTTGCAACAGGCCATAGATAGGCTCGAAACAGAGAAGGAAAGGGCTGGCAGAAAGTTTGGTGGGTTCGGAAGCCCGGCGACACCTAACACCACCGAGGGACGTCCAGATGAGAACTATGGGTACGGACTTTGGACTGAATTAGTTGCTGTGGCTATAGTGTTATTACTTGTTATATTTGCAGGGTACTGTCCCCGATTCTTTCCGAATGTAATGAGGAGAAGAGAGGGCTTTGTCAAATTGAAAACGACGTTTTGCTCACTGTAGGGTGTGGGCAGGGGCTATTTGGTCGAAGTTTGCTGATGCGTGCAACATCTTGTCAAATAAACAGGCTTTCCGGGAGCTCTGGCCAATAGGATGAAATTGTCCCGTCGAGTTTGAGTTATCTTTGTAAAATCGGTTTCGTCCGTTCAGCCATTTTGGTTCGCCCGTTTACCATGTCTCCGCCGCTTCGCTGTCTGATTTGCATGTACGTTATTCCTTAGTTTTAAATAAATGTGCTACATCTGGGAGAATACTTACTTTCATCCCCCAGATAACCTATTGTCGGCGTATAACAGACTGCTACGGTAAGCCATTCAAAGTGGACTTGTGTTCAACGCTTACTGGTGACCATAGGCAGGCTTGATCTGTTCATCAGGGACTCAATTAAAGGACGGCATTGATTGGAAGCCATTCTACTTGATTTTGTTGCGCTTGACGCGTTGACTGCAGTGCTCGGCGCTCCCAGTGTCTCGGAGTCGTGCCCGTCGCTTTATATCTCGTGTGCACCCCTTGGTGTGGCCATATGCTTCTGTATAAATGCCTGTGTCGTGTTCTCATGGCAGAGGAAGCTCACCACTGTATGCAATGTCGGGTTGCTGACAGCAGCTCCAGCTACGACTTTCTCTGCGCCACTTGAATCATGGCTTCCATGAATTACTAAGTGAGAAATAGCCTATAGGTGATAATGGTGTCGAAAACTGCAGTCGTCACCAATCGGTTTAACACGTTGGGAATGCCAGTACAAGAATACTTCGGGAAAATCTTGGCTCCTCAGCGTTGAGCGGTCAAATGAGAGCATAAAGAGTGCCTCGCAGTCTCAAACACTAATGCAAATGTTGCATGTGTGTCTATCAAGGTGTCCGAAAATAATTATTATTAGTGACTTAACAATGATTGTTATCCACGTAATTTGGGTCTCGGAGCAAAACGGGAGTAAAGGAAAGAATTGGGGACCGGCGTGGAACCGCTGCTACAGGGATACCATTTCGATCAATTCGAATGGACTGTGACGCGTGACCTTCCAGGACCAGTTCGAATGAGGCCCTTCGAATGACTAATAGGCCTGCCATGACTGGAACATGTGCACAAAATTTGAATGACTGACCGAATATTACGTTATATTTTATGTAAATATTGTCAATTTGTACTTCTGTACAGCATAAATTACTCATAAACATGCCTGGAGAAGAAAGTTTTGTAAAAATTGCGCACTTTTAGGCCAAAATTTGTAAATAATGGGACATTTTGACTTTAGTGACCTTGAGACCTTTTGCCGCTTGCCGGCCTTACTTATTCCCTCCGAGTACGTCATCGATCGACTGTTCGATTTGCATCCGAGTTCTGACGAGTTCTGGAAACTTCTTGACTAGTGACAACGACCACAACACTACTACCGATGGGCGGTTTTCTATGGTTCATCGCTGGTGCAGCTGCGGCCACCATCTATTGCAATGGTCGCATACAAGCAGGGTACTATGCCACCAACCCGAATGGATACTACGAACGAGGATGGACGCGTCAGAGTGCACCTCTTGACACTGATGAAAGGGTGCCGGAAGGCAATGAGAGGGAACGACGGTACGCGTATGGAGCCGGAGTGAGGCTAGAGGGCCAACAACGATTCGGATTGGAGCTACCTCAACAGCCCCGAGAGAGAACGGAAGCTCCGACGCCACCACCGCCCCCACCTCAGCAGGAGGAACAAGCTTCGCTTGACCACATCAGAGAGCTCAGTAAACAAGCAGACGAGGCTGTACGTTTTCCACTTTCTGAAGCATCGTAATGCTGAATCTCTTTCCTCTTAGATGTCTGACTTGTCTGAAGCTACACTTGATTCTCTCATGGCGACTATAATTGCGGCCAAGAACGTGTGTCGATAACTTCATTCTTCGAAACCTAGCTCTGGACTCATGTGCTCCTAGAAACTCGTAGAACGTCGTGCCCAGCGGGAACAGGAGGAGAAGCGGGCGTCGGAAGCGAACAAGTTTCCCCCTCGCTACGTCTGAGTTTCCTCGTTGACAACGAGAGTAGATGACACGGACTGGGCTGACTCGTGGTGCGACCTATCTTTGTTCGATTCCGTTTGTAGTTCTGATTCTCAATCTTTGCCACTAGCACGTATCCTCGGTGCCCTTCGTGCCCGTGGCGCACAAGTCGTTGAGTGCGTCCGGGATAGATTCGTATGACCTTTTACCTAGGTTTCATCCCTGTAGAAAGCGATGTACACACGCGCCAAGGGAATATGAGTGCGACTTCATGCAAGACATGGCCATATAGAATATAGCAAGCAAGCAAGAATAACCTTAATTTTATCCTGCTCTGTGGCTAGGTGACTGCCTTTCTGAGCCAGTTAGTATTCGTAACAATGAGTGGCTTCGGTGCTGCCGAGTACTCGTAAAAATTGGTAGAGCGTTGTGCGCAGCGAGTACCAAATTCAGGAGGAGAAGTAAACAGTTTCCCCTCGCTAGATTTGACCTTACGACAATGAGTTTGGGACTTTCCTACGGTTGATGGTACGCTCCATCGAAATTCAAGTCTATCCGTCCCTGCTTATCGATTTTCGACGTTAGCATGCACCCCTTGGTATTCGCCTCAATCCTTAGAGCGAGAGCAGAACTCAAAATGGTGTTATGGTCTCGCCTGTTTTTCCATCGAAGATGGCTGCTCTCAGCTCTGACGATTCCAAATGGTTACTTGTAATATGAGTGTGACGATGTTCGAGATACGCAATTTACGGGTGTGATTGACCGTGTATTGCTCGGGGTAGTTCGAATTAGGATTACAATCGTAGCGATACGGCCGTAGACTGTAACAAAGTCACATGCGGTACTGTCGCGTACCGGTGTCCGTGCAGTTTGACGAATATCTGGTGCCAAAGGGTAAGTTTTTTATGCTTCTTTAGGTCATAAGTACTGACCAAGTTACGGCATAAGATGGACTTCTGTCACTCTCTCAGCAACCGTTTTGAAACCGTATGGATACAGTCGCATATTGGGTCATCAAGGTTGGCCAGTACGAACACGCATCCATATTTACCGCCCTACGGTTGCGGTGCACATCCTATTTTTTTTTGAATCACTCAGAGTCATCAGAGGAACGGGACCACATCAAATCTTCGGCCCCGGCGCTACAGCGTGAGACATCCAAATCAGCTAGTCTACAGGATGGTGTACATCATCTTGCCCACCTTCAGCCACAGTGATGGCGTCTTCCGAGTATCTCCCTTCCCTTCCTCCCAAAACGTCAAACCTAGCAACAGCTTGGGCGTTTCTGGAGGAAGGACTGGATACTATCATGAAATCTGACTCGACGAAGGATGTTCCTACAACATATGTGTGTTCCTATAAGGCTCTGGTTTCTCTGGCCGATAATCATATCCGCAGGCGGCGTCGCTTAACGCGGCTGTGTTTAATTATCACACGTCGTCAACGGACGAATTCAAGTCCAGGGGGTCGGGCCTGGCCCAGACGCCGACATCAGCCTTCTATGATAAAGTCGTTATATACTTAAAAGTCCGTCTCAAAAATATTCGGGATGTACGTCGGCTGCCTTGCCTCCTGTCGCCTTGTTCATTGATAACTTCAACAGACCCACAATAGCCTGCAAGGAGAAGAGCTATTGAGGTACTATGGCACCGAATGGCGACGATACGAGATTCGAGTGAGCTACATGAACCGGCTGGTGTTTCCATACCTCAATCGGTATTGGGTCAAAAGAGAAAGAGACGAGGGAAGAATAAAGATCTACCCGATGTACACCGTGCGTTGTCTCCATCAATGTCTTTGGCGGTATCTCAATGGCAGCAGCTTGCTCTGGTACAATGGAAGGCAAGGGTACTTGACCCGATCAATCAGAAAGGTCGGCTAGCCGATGCACTGTTACTCGCTATTGAACGAGAGCGAAACGGGCAAGTCACTGACGAGGAGCTTGTCAAAGATGTCATCGACTCTTCATAAGGCTTGGGTTGAACGACGCGAACCTCGATGAAGAATGTCTCGACGTCTATAAAAACGACTTTGAGGTACCCTTCCTCGTCGCAACAGAGAAGTATTACAGGGGGGAAGCAGAGGCATGCTTGGCGGCATTCAAGGGATCAAACTTCAACTATGTCAAGAAGGTGCAGGATCGACTGCGCGATGAGGAGGATCGTGTCCAACGATATGGTCTGATTCCCCAAACACGGGCCAGCCTTATTCCTCTACTCAAAGATCTTTTTTTCCCACCGTACTTCCATGCTGTGTGGACAAGGTTTCAAGAGATACCTGAATTTTACGGAGATGAAGACTTGCCTGCCTCGTTATCGCGCACACGTGAGGGGCAAGAC